CTATTATAGTAAAATAGGCGGTAACCTAGAATTAACTATCGCTGCTAGTCTCTTCCTCTTTATTACTTTCACTAGTTTGTTCGATTATATAGTAGTATTGCTAGGGGTCTTCGGCGGTAGGTTATAAGTCTAACCCGTCGAAACCCTCGTATTAGACGAGAAATTAGCTATATGCTAGAAGTAACATATCCTAGGCATATTAGGTAGTTTTAAACTTCTTGTATGCTTTTCGTCTCTCTTCTATAGTATGTTTAGTTAACTAGTAGTTAGGTTTTCTATATACGTAGCACTTCTTAGGCGTTAGCAGTAATAAGGGTCTGTTACGGCTTCTTCCTCGTAATAATCGACTTCGTAATAAACGACTATATCGTAAATAACGCCCTCGACCGTTAAAAGTTCTATCGGTCTAGTACTACTCTAGTAGGTTAGCTACTATGTTAAATTATTATTAGTTAAGACGGGTAGCTATCTCGATCGACGAGATTAATTAGCTACGAAGTCCTTCGTACGTCTTAGCCGGTATAAATAACGCTATTATATACTCTAGAATATCTCTATAAGCGTATAGAAGTTAGGTATAGAGGGATCGGTCGTTATAATCCTATTATAGCAAACCAGGCTAAATCTTGCTTAATTTATTATATAGTATATCAAAATACTCCGATTTAGTCTTTCTAAGGTTATTGCGAATGATTTAGGGAAGAGTAGTTATATTCTACTACGTAACGTATGCTTATTGCCTTTCCCTAGTCTCGAAGTATGATTTTAATTAGTTAATTATAGTCTCGAAGTTAGGCTATAGGTTAATTACTTTAATCAAGGCGTAGAAGTAGGTTTTAGCTATTCCTTTTAGTATTAGGGGAAGTGCCTTGTTATATTAAGAGGTATAAATTCCTAGCATTCTATAGTAATCTACGAATACTAGCATCTTCTTTTCGAGTATATCGTATATATCGCTACTATATTTTATATCGTCGGGGTATAGTTTTGCGAATTCTATTAATTGCTTTCCGATACGGTCTATTAACTCGTATAGTTAGAAGTCTATTAACGGAGAGACCGTAGGATATAGCGGTCGGTACGGTAGTTGCTACTATTATTATTCTTATAGAGGAGGTAGCTATAAGGTTGGTTCGACTCTTCCTCCTATACTATTAGCTACTATTGCCGGTCTCGTAATCTCTTCGTAGAATTCGGGGTCTTTTATTAAAGCCTTTAGGTTGCGATATCTCTTAACGCCTTGTTCGAGTTCTTAAGGTAACTAATAGTAGAATTCTTCCTTTTTAAAGGCTAATGCTACGTTTTTCGAGATTTTCTTACTATCTATTTCGACATAGACGCCGTTACTAATTAAATAGTCTCTAAAGAATCGTAAGATTAAGGGAGGTATATTCTAGAAGTCTTTTTCTAACTAGTCGGCGAAATCGAGAGAAACTTCGTTCTATAGCTCGAGGCTTATAAGATTCCTCTTCTTATAAGTCTTAAGTAGGAAACCTATATAGGAACCTAGTTGCTATAAGCTAGCGTTTATAAGGTCGATTGCCTAGTTGCCTTATACTACTAGATCGATTATACTTTCGATTCTCTATAAGATAAGGACTGTTAATTAGCTTTTAGTAGTAACGCTGCTTATAAGCGATCCTTCTCGTAAATTTCGCTCTATTCTAATAGTATAAAAGGATTACTTCTATTTAGAATCTTAAATTCTAATCCTTAATAGCGTTAGCTACGATTAGTATAAGATATAGGCTTAGAAGTAGGAGTTAAAAGACGATTCGGGATATTACGATTCTAAAAGGAAAGAATCGTAAAATCGGGGATTTTCGTTAGTTCGTCGTTTATTTCCGTTAGCGCTGTTCTCGCTAATATTCTCGAAGGGTATAAAGGTATATATAGGTCTCGAATTAGTAAGGAGAAAGTTCTACCGTAGATTCTCTCGTAAATCTCTCTTTCTCGCTTTAGGCTTTGCTCCTTACTATTAGGAAGTTTAGAATCTAGTAGATAGTTAGCCTTATAACGCTTATAACTACGTGCGTTTCTCCTAAGCCGCAGCCTCGGAGGCGTATACGTATAGCTATATAGGCGGATTACCGCTAGTAGTCTCTACTTGCCTTTCGGCGTATTCTTCTTCTAGTAGGGAGGTCTTTTATAATAAGCGCCTCGCGGTTAGCACCTCGTCTAGGGATTTATTAAGAAACTAGCAGGCGCTTCGTAATTAGCACCGCGCGTAGGGGATAGTTATAGTTAGGGAAGTTATTATCCCTTATAGGATTTGTAAATCTTCGCCTTTATAGCGTGAAGAGGTTAGAAGACTGTCGATTCGGTAGGTCTCTTCTTCTAGTAATTAAAAACGCGTAATAGAACGCTCTTGCTAGCGATAATTAGCTACGATTAACCTTATCCCGCCTAAGGTAAGCATAGCAGTCCCTAGGTTACTCGAATAATCGGATTGCTAGTAGATTCGAGGAAAAGAAGCTTTCTTCTACTAGTTTCCGTAAATCCTAGTTACTCTCGCTTCTTCTCTCGTTAGTACGAAATCCTTACTTTTACCTAGGCTTAGGTATCTAGTTTAAGAAGTCGTCTCTTCTAGTATTAACCTTGCTAATCTACGGTTTATCCGTAGCAGAGTAGTAATTATAAAGTTAACTAAATTAATAGTAACTAACGTACATGATAAGCGAGTGAGACAGACAAGCGAGTGAGACAGTAAACCAGACCTTCGCGACAATAATATCGAAATCTATAACAAGAAATCTTAGATTGATTAATACTACTCGGATTCCTGTTCTTCGGATGTTTCCTTAATAAATTGACATGTTCTCGCGTTGTGGCCTGTATTCCCGCATACGCCACACCGACGATGAGTCGTCTCAGACCTCACTTTGCGACCACTACTCCGTCGCGTTTCCTCTTGTAGTTGCGTGTCTGCCTCTCTTTGCGACTGTATATCCTCTCCAGTAGATATAGTAAGACTTCCTCCTTTCTGTAGACGTGTTTTCTTAGCCCTTCGACGCCGACTTAATATTGCATTCTCCTCTCGAAGGATTTGAACCTCTGACTCTAGTAATGCTACCCGATGCCCTAGTCCTTCTGTCCCTCTGGCTAGCTTACTCACAGCACTATAAATTGATGCTGGAGAGCTGCTTCGGTGGCGTGAGATTCGACTCTTAATAAAAGTAGACTGTGATCTTGCTTCGCTTGGGTTGCTCGGCGTCCTAGAGATCCAAGGGTCTGGTGTCTGAGGGACCCCCTCCTCAGGCGTTGGCGTTCGGAACTTTACATCCAGCTTTGAGAGAACACTTTCTGCATTCAAAGGGACAAGTCCAGCTCCTCGGAAACCTCCCTGGATATTTTTCCTCGTAAAAGACTGCTTAAAAGCTTCGTGAAATGCTGCAAAGAAATCTTCCTTCGAGATATGGGTTGTGCCTCGCCGCATCTTATTCTCAATTTGCCGACCGTAGGCATTCTTTAACGGCTGAAAACAACCAACATCTAAGGGTTGAAGTAGATGAGACGAGTGAGCCGGCATGCACAGTGTAATAATGTTGTTTTCTTGACAAAAGAGCTCGAAGGCTGCGGAGTGGTGACTTTCATGACTATCAACAACGAGGAGGCGATATTTCCCAGACGTACGTGGTTTTGTATAAATGTCGAAGTGTCTGATCCAGTCAATACCTCTCTCGTTTGTTGTCCATCCATTTTCAGACGTTGCAATAGCCCAATCGCCCGGAAGAGAGGTTTCTGTATACCAGCTTGAGAGGTGATACTGGCCTGCAACGATGATGTATGGCGGGATGCTCTCCCCTTGGGAATTAATAGCCTGGATAACTGTAACCCATTCCCTATTGCCAGGCTGTGTCATCTTCGTATTTGAACGCCTTTCAGCACTTGTAACAACCATTCCAGAAGCAATAACGCCCATCATAAAGCCGGTCTCATCAAAGTTGTAGATATCAGCATCAGCAATACCATACTTCGCAATTGTATTCTTCACAAGCGAAAACCAGCCACGAATCACCTCTGGATCTTCGCATTGAGCTCTCTTATAGTCATACTTGCGAAAGAAACGCGTCCTAAGCTGTGGTTGTCGCTTGACGAAATTAGAAGCCCAGCGCTTCCCAACTGGAGGCGCGTCGCGCTCTGCGAGAAGTCGATTGGCCATTTCTTCCACACCACTCAGCCGGGGAGGAAATGATCGCGCATCTAGGTCGAGAATATACTCAACTATTGTCTTCTCTTCTAAATCTGATAAATTCCGTGAATTAGGCATGCTGTCGCGTCGTGAGACTATTCCCTTTAGTCGCCGGCTTAATGTTGCGTGACTGACTGTATAGAGTGCACCTGCGGCCCGAGCACTAAGTTTTGGGTCATTTCTCATTGCTTGAAGGGCAATTTGTAACCTTCTTTCAATACTAGCTGATTCCATGATTTATTGTAGAGGAAAAGGTGCCGGTCGCGTCAAGGTGCGACGGTCGCGGTTTACTGTCTCACTCGCTTGTCTGTCTCACTCGCTTATCATGTACGTTATAAGGTTTACTATTAATTAGTATAGGTTTTATAAGGGGTGAAACGGAATTCCGTTCGTTAATAACAAATAATAGTAAATTAGTTCTAATCGATAGTTTATGATAGTTGAAAGTGGTGTTGTTGACTAGAAGGTGGGGATATTCCCCCTTGGCCTGTCACGTGGGTCTGGGAGGCTTGGGCCTCTCAGCCTGGCGGGCGTGTGGCTGGAAGTGCCACACGACTCCGTATTCCAACTATCGCAACAGATTCCCTATGAGTTCAGTATCTTCTTAGGTGTAATCAATGCTAAGAAGTGACACCTAGCACTGTCGCGAACTTGCACACTGCTGCCTCCTGCGTCAACTCAGTGAGAAAGGGCAGTACCGGAAATGGCACTCCCTACTGTCTAACGTGTGGCAGTTGGGAAGAATACGAAATCTCCATTCCCGCCACTAAGTGCGCCTGCGATCACTATAAAAAGCGCAACGTCGGTAATGCTCCATCAGACCGGTGCCCCGACTGTTACTTTGTACGTGGCTTCGTAGTTGATGATTCTATTGGAGCTTGTAGTCTTACTTACAACGAACAGGACGGCCTCTCATGCATCTCTCGTGGTAAGCACATCGGTGGTAATGAGATGGGAGATTACTGCCGCAAGACATGCGGTGCTCAGGGTTCTAAAGCAAACTGAGGTATACGGAGAGCCAGAAGCAGATGTAACCCTTATTGCCGGCGAATGTTTCTTAAAAAGAGCGTGATAGAAGCTCTAATCATAAACAGAACAATTCATTCTATCGATCATAACAAAATCGTAGCTTGTGTACAACTCCTCGTCTTTCGTCGCTAATCCGAGCATCGACTCAGTTTTGTGATCCCCTTAAGACAGTCTCAGCTGTGATAGTCGCTTACCTACACCGGCTTAATCTGTGTGACAAAATTTGCACTTTCCAACTATTCATTTTTACCGCTTGTGGTTACGTCGTGTGCACACTGAAACAAGCTGGATTAGCATCTTTGCCGCTTTACTCAGGCTGCCTCAGTATTATACGAGGCGATTTACCACCTCAGGCCATCACCTCGAGTCGGATGTATTTGTAGGCATAGCGGCACAAGGAATACATCAAAGAAATGCTCCACATTTAAGAAAACGATCCAAACTTCAAGTGTTCTCGGTTGATTGTCCGATCAACTTTGTTGTGTGCCTGCCTGGTGTTACGGGTTATGCCGCGGTTGATGTGGCGTAAGCTTTGCCTACGCATTATCCCTACTTAAGTACAGCCAACCAACAAGTAGGCAGCCTGTTTTTACGTATCCTTGAGTATTAAGCTCAATGGAATAGCACCTCTGCTTTTACACGTGCTGAGGGCTGGTGTGCGGCTGCCACTTCAACCCTGCTTGGGGGGATCTGACTCTTAACACCTGGTACATGGGAGTTGGCAATATAATCAAAACGAAGTCAGACCTACGGCTTCCAACTGATCGATAAAGCTTACTCATCAACCATTTTGAAAACTTCATGTATCACAAATGAAATCCAAGTCATATATCAGGAGACGACAGTGTAGGTATTTGTTGAGATTGATGAATGGAATAGCCATTTGATTTGGATTCAACTTTATCGCTGCTAATTATCCCATCCTACTGACAGATTTTATTCTCTTTGAGTTATGGTAAGAATGATTTCTTTTAGCAGATGCGAGCTCCTGACTTGGCATAACCGTATCTCTGTAATCAGGATTAGTCTCAGGACTTCAAGATGCGTATTATTTGTGTTCTTACCTTGTTCCACCCAGGGACGTTGAGGTATCCTGTAATTAGTAGTCAGCTTAACGGTCCGCCTTCGAAATATCATTCACAAACATACCAGGCTCCATCCAACCACTGCTGCGGCCAGCACAGTTGTTCGCCACCCAGTTAACGGCATCAGCCCATTCATCCACACTGCACGGGTTGGCAGTGTATGCGCACATGTACGCCACAGAGTTTCCTTGATACTCGACCAAGATACTGCCCGCAGGATACTTATGGCTGCCAGCGTTCCAGCAAGTGGAGTAGAAGGCATCCCAGGCGTGGTCGTAAAAGTCGCTAAACAGGAACCAATCTCCACCGGGGCACCAGGGATAAGTACCGGACGGCCAGTTGAACCGCTTGTTGATGCGGGAGCTGGGCCCGGCTCCCTCACGTTTCGCAACGGGGGGCGCAGCAGAATCGGTGACGTTGACATTGAACTCAGTCCAAACTTGCTTGCCATCAGCATCGGTGGTAAGGAGATAACTTCCATCAGCAAGTTCCGGGAGTTGAACGCTCTGAGCCATGGCAGAGCCAATGACGGCGGTTGGGAGGAGAATGGATGAGAACTTCATTGTGAAGAAGTGATGCCTGCGTTGTTTTGTATAATCAAAAAATAGTTTGAGAAGTGTTTGAAGGCTGTTGAGTTCTAACAGTGATTCTGTGAGAAGATCTTGGGGGTATTTATATTCAGGTCTAGAAGGAAGTAACATGTACTTGTGTCATGTTGTTCTCCGCTGTCCGAGGGAAACATCGTGGTCTCCAGTCTGAGGGCGCTGTTCGGTCCCGTCTCATAGGGTGCGGAATGGCTACAGAGAAATCGCGAGTCACAAAATGGCCTCATGTGTTCTTGGTAGTTCCGAAAGGGAAATTTCGGATTGAACCACGACTCGTACCGTCACTCATGGTTGGCTATATTTCGCATGCCATGCACCTGTTGCTGGGCACTCCGCACTTGATGAGACAGTTCTCATAGATGCCTTCTAAAGGCCCATTCAATCGTGATAACTTACATCGTGATGCAGTATATTTAGCCACACCCATGGCGGTCTAGACTCGAACCTTATTTTGTTGGTCAAGCGGCAATGAATGGGGGTTCGTCTGATTTACAGATCTGTGGGACTATACCCGAAGTTGTGGAGTTCTCATGAAGGTAAAATGGCTTTTAGACTTGTGCTCCTTCCTGATACGGCCATTCTAGGTAGTCGATGAGTAATCGCACGCCTTTCAAAGCGGTTCAGCTCATCTGATAATGGAATAGTTCATGAGTAAGCGTCAAGGCCAACGTTGCAGGCGAATATAATACCATGTCGGTCCGTTCCGTTGATACTGCCCGGAAACCCCTGTTCTTTTCCCTTCTCTTTTTGTTTCTTTCTCAGAGGTGCTAGAGGTGTTTTCTTGCGTGGGATAAGTGCTTGAATTCATATCATTATACGTGGTAAGTGCATACGTGAGGATAAAAAGTGGAACATTAACTAGGTATGGACGGGGGCTTTCAGTGATTGAATTTTCACAATTATGTATGCATTAAACACCCTGGTAATGTGTACGGAACTCCCGGTGCTTTTGCATATTTCTTCACCGAGTATGAAACTGATCGTCTTTTAGGCAACGGAACGGAGCTGTAGCACAAATCCGTATTAGCGTCTGTAACCATGTGCAAACGTGACATTAGGCATACAAATGTAGAATTCTCTCCAGCAGATAGTCAAAAGGCTGGAAAGAAGAGTAAAGAAAACAAAACCAACAACAGGGAGAATGGAGTTTTCGTGCAGCAGCATCAAATCAAGCGAAACACATATGACACATATGTTCAAAGCCACAAGGGTCTTCCGGGAGTGCGAACTCATTGCTAGTATTGAATTTATGTCCAAAAGACCCTATGGTCGCATATGTCGAGAGTTGTTGTCGGCATCATCCCGAGGGCTGCATATTTTTTTGGTTGTATGACAAACTAACGAAGACCTGTCTTACTACGTTTTTCCAATGGCTAGAACGGATGACTGTTTACTTTCTCTAGTAATTGATTCACGTCTCCAATCTTATGAATATCTGTGTGTAGCCCGTGCTAACTGTGAAAAGGGAACTCGGCTCACTGTCTGATGGACTGCTAGCTTGTATTTATGTTGCTTTAATTGCATCTCTTAGGATCGGTGTTTTGCAATGTTGTCTCAATCCACATAGTAGGTTGGCATTAGAACAAGCAGAGATGAGAAATGAGCTCCATGCCAAGCTTGCCAAGCCGACTTAATATGATGTCATGTGCTGCAGAAGAAAATTTGAGCAGGTAGATAAGGGGGAGGATTTAACCGTTCGATCAGCGTCTGCGGTCCATATCCCATACTTTGCAATTACATGTCTATCTTCCAGTGAATATACCTGAGCCATCATGAAGCTTCTTGGTGTTCTCTCATTGATCTCCGCGGCAAGCTCGCTCAGCCTGGAGCCCAACTATACTTCTCCTGCGGGTGTTGAGATCTACAACCCTTCCACGTTATTCACACCCACTGGACCATGGAGTTTGATGTCAAAGGCAGGCGACACTCTCTACGTTGCTGGTACAGCATCCTGTGTCTAAAGTATTCTAGTTTACCAGCTGATAATGAGTGACATCAGGCATGCGAGGCATCTACCCGTCAAACAACACGCTTGCTCCAGTCGGGATTGACCGAATTCGCCAGGCCTACGCCAACATGATTCAGCTCGCTGAGCTGGCTGGCACGGATCGTTTCTCGGCAGTCCGTCTGGTTGTTTACACTACGGATATGTATCGGTATAGGCCATTGTGCAATCAGGCGCAAACGGAGTTCTGGGGAAACGATCCCAACAGACATCCTCCCAGATCAATTATCGAAGTGCAGAGGCTAAATGATGACGACATTGTGGAAGTGGAAGGGACCTTTCTGGTTCCCTTGGACCCAAAGTAATCTCTCGATTGGCCCTGTATACATACTCAAGGAAGCAGACGGCATTTGGTAGCGAATGTGGAATGAGTGAGCATATCATGCTTGAGTTGCTACAAGTAGTCTTTCCACACGTAATGTTCAAATTGAGACAAGCAGAACAATTATGGACTTACATGAGCGCCTATTCAATACGAAGAGACTTTTCTAAACTTGGAAAATGATGAGTTTTTGTAGCAAGAAAAAAAAGAAGAAGAAAAGAAACGTACAGAACAAGGCACAATCACCATCATTATATACACACAAATTACACATGCACCGCAAAACACAAAAGCACATATTTATGTACTGAGACTGGCTACTCACCTGTCTTTCTTATCTAGCTTGCCAGACATTCTATGTTCATTCTTCTAGCCCTGACGTTACTAAAGCAGTGACACTTGGTTGAGAAAAATGGTGAAGAAACCCACGTGATCCAGAGGGCCCAGCCTTTCGGTGGCTGAGAGTTATTCAAGTCTCATTAAGAGCCGTGCGAAACAATTTTATCCTGGCCATCACAAACTGCCCAATTGGATTCCAACAAGAGGGATTTACGGGATAATGCCTGAAGTGACTTGTGAAGACTGTTTGCAAGTGATGTGAACTACCTTTTCTTGGGAGCATTTTATTGCGTTTCCAAGGCGCTTAACCCTTCTTCATTGGTTGCCGATGCACAGGTAGGTCGCTGCTACCGAATTTGTCTCAAACGCTGATCTCATGTCTCCTGATCCAATACCTAGCCAAAAGGTAAATCTTTTGGTTTGAAAGCACGAAATAATACGAATCAAGAGCTAGTTTAAGCTGGGTAGAAAGTAAAAAAATTAGCCATGAATATTTTTCCTGCCATTAGTGTTCCTGTCCTGTTGCATCTTCTTGAATCTTACTCCCTGCACTCAAGGCTTCTCCACTGCTTGCGAAGAAATTTGACAGCACCGATGGCGATTCCTATGTTTGTATTTCCTTCCCAGTTGTGTCACGTTGATATTCAACCACCGATCAAGGTAGGATGTCCTATCCGAAGCCCGAGAGAAGCCAAACTCAGGCCTTGACCCTTACTATGAGCCTGCCAAACCCACCTTTGCCAGTCTGGACCTTTAGGCACTCATCTCTAACTGCTAGAATGTCTAACAGGTCAACCGCCCGAAAGATGGCTTTCACTTTGCCGGTAGCAATAAATTCTCCAGCTTTTTCAAGATCCTCTTCGTTCCCCGGGTTGCCGGAGACAAATTCATGTTGAATATTGGTCCCTCGAAGTTTGAAAGCGTACCACAACTGCACCAAGTTCAACATCCAGATCAACCAAAAGGGGACCATGTCGGGTCCCATGATTTCTTTAAGCAGTGCAGGTGGAGGAATCGACGCAATCGACATGATGATGCCCGTCTTGGGGCTGAGAAGCGGGATGGCGGGACTCATAGTGCCCCATTGCGTATTCAACATGAAGTCCACGCTGCCCCTGGGAATGACGTCCTCGAGATTGGTGGTCTTGTAATCGATCAGCTGATCTACGAGGCCGGGAAGACACTTCTCCACGAGTCTCATTTTGGGTGTTGAAACGGTAGATATGATTTTTGTCGCGCCAAAAACATTTCTTGCCACCTGGATGCCGCTGAAACCCCCTCCGCTCAAGGCGGCCGGGATATAGACGGTTTTCCCTTCAAGGCTTTCTTCTCCGGCGAGTTCCAAGCCGCGCTTGATGGTTTGGTATGCCGTAACGGTGTATCCGGGCAGTGCTGCCGCTTCTTCGAAGCTAAGATGCGACGGTTTGGGTAGAAGCATTTTCTCTTCTACGAGAGCGTACTCGGAACAGAAGCCTGGATTGGGACCGCTAAACGCCGGACGGGAGAAACCGTGACCATACACGGCATCGCCAATTCGGAACTTGGTGACTTGAGAGCCGATAGCAGCGACAACGCCAGCCCCCTCAACACCAATCTTGAGTGGAAAACTAAGCAAGTCTCAGCTCTACAAATTCTTTCTGATCGTGCTTTTGCACTGTATGGTGACACACTTCTCTTTGCGCAATGAAAGCATCCGGTTACCGGCGGGCCTCATTAAATCCCCTTTCATGATGGCTCCGGCGTGTACCTGAACGATGATTTCGGTGGGCTTTGTGATTGTCGGAAGGGGTAGCTCAGCCACCTCGAAGCCAACGGGTGTGCAGTGCTTCGGCGCCACAAGTGAGCGCATCGTTAGGGGAAGGTCGGCCATGATTGTGGTTCTGCGAGAGTAGTTGAGACACGGAGGAGGAGACCAAAGTTTACGGGGAATCACTAGCTTTTTAACTTTGTCTAGCCCGACTTTGACGCGTACGCCCGGTCCGGCAAATTTGGAAACTTCGGTCGGCGGTTCGGTGGGGCAGTTCGGCGGTTTCGGTGGGATGGACCCACCGAGACGCCGAAATGTCCAACGACCTAGACTAAATACGGACTGTATCCTCCTACATGCGGAGCATCGAAGAAGAAAAAGGTGGCAACACGTGCAGTGCATCATTCACATTCTTAAAGATATGTTGATGCCCCTCTTTACGCGTCGTTTCCTCAAAAAAACACCAACTTATTGACGCGACGTCGCCCTGTTGTCGGCTTTAGGTGGCGGGCTGAGTCAAGGGACCAACGTCGCCCTGCGGAAAGAAGGGCACGCGGCTGAAATAGTGGCATTGGCAGATCAGTTTTCTCCATCACGGAATCCTGGATTGTGATAGTTTCGACTTGTCGAGGGAGAAATATTCTACAGCATTTCTTTTCTCGCGATGCGCCGCCCACAGCAGGACCGCAGGAGAAGGCACGGTCGCGATGGTGGAGTCGATCCTTCCTAATGGGAGATTCGATGAGGTCGCGACTGCCATGATGTATTTAGAGAGGAAAGAGTCCACCGGGAAGGGGAAGTAACGAGTTGAGTCATCATCGCACCTGGCTTCTTGATCTGCTTTTGAGGACGTCATCGACACTTTCGCGTTCTGTTTTTTTTTTCCCACGACCCTACCGCGAGTTTGTTGTGGCTCCGGCTGGTTTATGAGATACACAAGTCCATCTTTTGTTCTTCTCTCGCGCTTAGATACCGGATAGTTCGCAGATTGCAATGCGTCTTCCTTTTCTCTTCCTCTTGGGCATTGTGGTGTCATACTGCTCTGCCGCCTTCGACCCTAATTCAAAAAACAATGTCGTGGTTTACTACGTAGGTGTTCTTCCTCTTCTACAACCACTCACGTGCTGACTTCATATCAGGGACAAGGCCCCTACCAAGGAGATCTAATAGATGAATGCCAAAAACCCGAGATCGATGTCATAGTCGTTTCTTTTGTGCACCTTTTCCCAGCACAGGCCAACGGTTACCCTGGCACAAATTTTGGTAACCGGTGCGGCACACAGGTCTACCCAGGCCCGGGTTTTAATGGCGTGATTGACCCCTCAAGAGACCAGTTGAAATCAAACTGTCCGACACTGAACGCCCAAATCCCGGTGTGTCAGCAACAATATGGCAAGAAGATCATTCTTTCTTTAGGAGGTGGAGCTGGGGGGTACCAGCTCACGGGAAGAAACGAGGGCGAGCTTTTAGCCACATATTTATGGAAAATGTTCGGGCCCAAGGCCTCCGATTGGACTGGTCCTCGTCCTTTCGACAGTAACGGACAGGTCGTCGAGGTGGATGGCTTTGATATGGACATTGAGTATCCGTCAATTGGTAAACTTACACTTATATGTTCATCCAATCCAGTCTATACCACACAAATACTAACGCAAATGACTCTCAGACAACTCGGAAGGCTATATTGCGCTTGTTACACTCTTACGCACCTTTTTCCAAACGGCCTCGAAGCAGTACTATCTTACCGGTGCTCCTCAATGTATCGTACCCGATGCCAACATGGCTGCTATGATTAGTGCCACCCAGTTCGATATGATTTTCGTCCAATTTTACAACACACCCGCTTGTTCGGCTGCAACTTGGGCGGCAAGCAATCCATCCTATACCCCTGGTCAAGTTTATCAACAGGCCGGATTCACGTACGACGCCTGGGCCCAATGGCTGTCCAATACACCCAGCAGAAATGCCAAGCTATTTATTACTCTACCAGCCGCACAGAGTGCCGCGAATCCTGGAAACTACATTACCCATGTAGAAGCAAGAAATCTCATCAACGCCTACTACTGTAGACCATCATTTGGGGGTATTGCTGTTTGGGAGGCAACCCGAGGAGATGGAAATCCCTACAATGGCAAATCTTTCCAAGCCGTCATGAAAGATTGGTTACTGGAAGCTAATGGAAACCCTCTGTTAACGAACTGCGAGGTACGTCCCGATAAAATGCAGAGATGATCAGAAATTAACCAAAACAGACTCCAACAACTTCAATCACGTCAGCCAGTCAGAGTCCCTCTACCAATCCGACACCGACGCCGCAGCCAAATCCTGGTGGGGACGGACGTTGTGGAAACGGTATATCTTGCGGCGCCGGATACTGCTGTAGTCAACATGGGTATTGCGGGACAACCACTGACTACTGCGGCGCGGGATGCCAGCCAACATTCGGCACCTGCGGGGTCCCACCCAGTTCCGGGCAGGGGCCAGGTGCTTGCGGAGCTGGTGTGGGATCATGCGGGCCCGGCTACTGCTGTAGCCAACACGGCTATTGCGGGACGACAGCCGATTATTGCGGAGCAGGTTGCCAGGTAGCATTTGGCACCTGTGGTGGATTTCCTGTTTCTACTGATGGCTCTTGCGGTACATGGTCGACTTGCAGGGGCAATGGTGACTACCAGTGCTGCAGTGAGTGGGGATTTTGTGGTAATTCGGCGCTGCACTGTGGCCGCGGCTGCCAGCCAGGGTTCGGTATTTGCAACTGACTACCTCCCGAGAGCTCGTTAATCATAGGTAGATGAGTGTTTCCATACTATCTGTACATATTTAGGTAACTTAATACGATATGAGAAGAATGCAATTTTGGTGTTTGTTTCAGACCTTATTTAACACTAAGCCGACGCGCGCCGATAGAGCAGAAAGGAAAATATGAAGATGGCTTTTTTTTTCATGATGGATAATCTGCCACAAGGGCTTTCTTCAACTGCGAAAATGCATTGTCTCATTTCTTTGATCTTCAACGTCTGACATTCAGGCGTTCTTTGTTCTGGTGTGCAACAGCCAACGCCTCACTTCTGAGAACAAGAGTAAAGTTCTAAACGTCTAGCGTTCGGTAAGTTGTTCGGCGGTCGCCTATTTCTTGATCTGAGTGGCTTCGATATAAGCGCTAAGCAGCCAGACTGCGCATCGTCGACAACGCCCTACCACCTTCAATATCCGAGTGAGCGCTATGTGATCGGGCGCCGCCAAAGTCTGTCTTTTCGTTCGGAGTGCGTACCGACAGACGTTGATAGGCTCGTTCGTATGACACGTCCACTAAAGTCTAGTGAGAATGCAAAGCTTGTTATTATTGCGCTAGGTACGTCTGATCTCGACGACCCAAGCCAAGCCACAGAGAACTTTCCGTCACTTCATTCGGACTGACTCAATCGGACTGTCATTCAAGTTTCCCGACCAAAGTTGTCCAAAAAGGGCGCCAGGAAAAAAGTTTTCCTGGTCGCAATGTGTCTGCCAGTACGGGTGGGAGGGTGAGAGTGTTTGCATTTCCGGCCATACAGCTGAAGCTTGAATTGACGATATCCGTCTTCTTCGCATTGAGACTTGATCGGATGTTCATTTACGGTTTTCTGCAGTTTGTCAGCCACTTGCGGAGGCGGGCGCAACGCTCATTCGTTGAGTTCGCCGGTCTCCAAGCATATTCGCTGAATGATTAAGTCGTCCAAGACTTGGGGGCCCTGAGGAGCGATATGGAACATTGAGGAAAGTCACCCACCGGCTTCGTGAGACTCAGGACTCAGTCAAGGTTCCTGGCCTCCCGCCATCGTCAGGGGTAGTAGCATGTGTAAACGTGTCACTCTGCACAACCATCACTGCTATAGGGTTTGAGTTCGTTCGGCGGATCCTCGGTTTCTCAAACTGGCATGTTCGTCTAAATTTGGCAAGTTTCGCTATGTACCACCGAGCCAAGCTTGTTCATGTAAAAACCGAAAAATCGGGGTGGTTCACGGTGTCAAACGACGTCAACTGAAAGAAAATGGCCTACCGGTGTAAATGTTGCCACTAGAAGACCATGCGTATGCCAAGTCCAAGAACAGAATATTTGGCCATGTTGTACTTGCCGAGAAGCCTCGGCAAAGGAGCAAAAAGTCGGTTCACCTGTGCGCTTTGATGGAACCTTTCCAGAACACGCTTGCCCAACCTACGGTCCGGCCACCCAAACTTAACACGCCTGCATGTCTGTTAGGGTAACAGCCGAGGGAAAAGATGGTTGCACTACCCTGAAAGTGTGGCATCCCCTGGGTAAGCATGGTGGTATGCTGGAAGGGCTGGTAGCACACAGGGTGACGGTGAGCAACCTTCCGAAGCATTTCTCACGATGCGGCGTATTGATTACTTAAGAGTCCTACCACGACTGGGTAGTATAGAAATCCGTGGCGAAACACGCAATCCGCGGAGGCCGGATTCAGATTCGGCCGAGTAGATAGGTAGCTAAACCTCCTATGACATAGAGCAGCTCACACTATACTCTCCTGAGTTGGGGCCATCGTAAGGCTGGTCGAGGCGACGTTAGTCCAACTGACCTTGATACCAGCACGGAATATATCAAGGGATATATACTCATGAATAATGATATCGGATAATCACCATTCACGTCGGGCGTGTTCCGTCGTTCTGGATAATCAGAACGCAATATAATGGGGATGTTCCGGGTCCAAGGTTGGCCAATGTTTCGCTCAAGGTTTACATACACCCGACCCGACGCACAACTCCGCCAGGCTTGACCCAGCAATGTTTGCACAAATACAAATAGGCGTGCCACGTGCCCACAATCTCTCGTTGGGTATGTGCAGTCTGCATTCCGGGAGGGGCCGGTTTAAACCAGTCCCTGAGCGACCATCTCGAGTGCGATTCGCTGGTCATCGTTTCCTCTTTTGGCTTGGCTAGACCCCCCAACAACATAATGTCCTATGCCAAGGATCTCGCTCATGTTGGATGTCCTCGAATTCCTCAACTTCCATGCTCGAAAACCTTATTGAGTGACATCGGGGTTCACCCACCATAATGCGACATAATATAGTACGTGCTGTTCGCCTTCAAGCCCTTCCCTGCCTTGACCGTTGCCACCTCTTCACCGCTACCACAACCGGTACTGCCGGCGTCGCTCGCTTTATTATTTCAGTCCCTTCGGCACCAAGTCTTTGTTTCTTGTTGCCAGCATCAGGGGCCTTAAGTGCCTAACGTCGTGAAGCGCTTGGAGTCACTGAGCAGATACCACCCTTCCAGCGATCGGAATATATCTCCTGAATGCTAGCCACCACCTCACTCACATGCTTCGTGGCTTTTAATGTGTAGCGAGTTTCCCCAGGCCAACGGTACGAGAAACTCTATTTCTCGTTCTCATCTCCTGTCGGTCGATCCGACAATATACAAGTCTCGCTTAATCCAAGAGCGCCTTACCTAACTTGGCTAAGATGCAGAAGCTTGAGGCCGCCGTGTGCTTCCATTGTGGATTTTGGTGGCAGAAGCCTGAAGAGGTTTTCGGCGACAAGCCATACGCTAGCAATGTCTGATGGCTGATCAGAAGCCACGCCGGCTGCGCGTCTTCTGGTGTGTGTCCGTGCAATGACTCGCTCATGAAACGGGACACTCAAGGTCCGAACGCACACACACACTAGTGTGCTAGTAGTAGCAATGAGCCTGTCTCAAAAAGTTCCATTGTCCTGCTCTAGCCCTCCCTGTTGCCCACCCCCTCTTCTGTACTGGTCCGTCCGCGGTAGATTAATCTCGCACATATCGACGTGATTCCCATTCCCCTCCCTCGCGCGAAGCCCATATCGGGGGACCCGAGACATCTCAACTTCTCATTCAGGGTTTTTGAATGACGTGGGCTACTCTCGATGCTGCCATGCTCAGTGTGAGTGACGGATCTCTCTGCACACTTTCTTTCCTCTCCTCCCTCCATATGATCCAATTCCGTCAAAAAAAAAATATCATCTTGCTAATCCTGCTTTTCCTTTTCCGGGCATGAAGTATTTCAAGGTACAATAATCGTCGGACTTTTTGAGTTCCGCTGCTATCATGTGCTGGCTGGCTCATCATGGGCAATCTCCTCTCACCGCACTTCCAGCTAGAAGAGGTCACCGAAAATGACATGGTCATCGCCTCGCTGGCCTGGGGCTTCACCCTGGGTTTCGGTTGGCTCACGATATGGACGGCGGTTAAGCAAACTACTGCCATGTACAGACGGCAGGGCGACCGTATCTTGCGCAATTCCTACATCTGGATGATTTGGCTCGAGATTATCGTCTGCGTCATCTTCAGCGTCATTTGCTGGCTTCATCTAAAGGGAATAATACCGCCAAGGTAAGATATTAATGTTTTCCGGAAGTCATGAGGGATCGACACTGATAACGTGGATATAGCTTTTCGTTTTATTTTGTTATTCGTAAGTCAACCCCCGAACCTCCACTGCCACGATTCAGAAGGCTAACATATATCCAGTCACGACATGGGCTCTCCAGGTATGCCACTCTCGCACGTGAAGTTCAGTTCAGTTCAGCACACTGACCATACAGGTTCAATTCCTCCTTCAAATCATCATTAACCGCTGCTCGATCCTCCTCACCAACCATAAGCTGGCGTGGCGAGTCAAGGTGGGCGTCGCGGTACTCATCACTGCGATCAACATATCCGTTTACAACATCTGGATCCCCGCCCGCCTCCAGATATCCGACCGCTACATCGCGATCAACGATTGGTGGGACCGCTGCGAAAAGGTCATCTATCTCATCGTCGACGGCGCCCTCAACATCTACTTTGTCCGAATTGTGCAAAAGAACCTAGTCGTGCATGGATTGACGAAGTATAGACGGCTTACGCAGTTCAACATGTTCATCATCGGGTTTTCCCTGAGTATGGATGTTCTCATTATCGCCATGATGAGCTTACATAACACCTTTGTGTTAGTTCAAGCACCCCCTCGATTGCCGCCAGCTGTTTCTCGTGGGGCCATGCACAGTATCCCAATCTTGCTGACTCCCATCCAGGTACATGCAGTTTCACCCATTAGCCTACATGGTCAAACTGAAAATCGAAATGTCAATGGCCGAGCTCATTGGCAAAGTCGCCCGCAAACGAGACATGGGCATCCTCTCCGCGGCGGATTTCAACGGAAACCGAACCTCATGGCAGCTGTCTGAATACAGCCTCCAATTGCCCAGTTACGCCCGTGGCCAAGTCAACGGGCAGACGAACCCCGTCGAGCTCAACAACGTCGCAAACCCGACACGAGGCAAGAACGTCGCGGCAATCACGTCCATGCCCTCGAGTAGGCGAGGGTCTATTGGAACAAGTGCCGAGAGTGCCCCAGATACACAACAACCGAAGATGGCAATATACAGAACAAGAGAAGTGGTGGTGGAGATTGAGAGGGTACAAAAGAGCGACGAACCACCACCGATAGAAGCGACGAGCAGCGGTGGTCAGACAATACCGGAAGAGATGTTTGACAGTTTCGTTGTCATCGACGAAGACGACCCACCGGAAGAGCCGCAACCGCCGCCACAGCTCTCGCTGGCATTACCAGACATACAGGCTCCATGGGCAGGCGGCTTCAGCACAAGGATATGGGACGGGACGAACTGCGAACAAGATCCGTCACTGCCTGCATCTGTTGCGAAGGTCGGTTCCGGGTGGCAAGAAGATGCCTAATATCCTTACGATACATGAGTTTCAGAGTATTTGAAAAGCACATGATAAGTCGACCGTCGACTGTTTGGTCTGGATCTATACCCCGCCGGACGGACTTGAGCGAGCGGGAATACACACACACACACACACACACACACACACACACACACGTCTGTTCAGACGAAGACGCCACCTGCAGATGGACCCAGCGCGAAGTTTGGGGCTAATGTGCGGCTGAGCAACACTCGGATTCCACGACGAGGGGGCTTTGATGATGAGGGTTTCGCCTCTCATTCTCGGCCCAATCGGAAAATCCTTTACTTGTCCGATTACGACAAGATCGCCTGCTGTCGCTCATACATGCGCGCTGCAGTTGATGCTTGCCTCGCCGAGGAAAACAGTATCGGCATATATAAAACGCCGCCTTCAACTCACATCGAATCGATGGAAGGCGCAGTACATCTATATTTCTCAGAAAAATATGTTCTGAATTTAAAAAATAGAGCATGGGGTTTACTTGGGCCTCGTGGAACACAAGAGATGGTAACTTGGAGTAGCGTTATCACGCGGTACATAACCGGGCATGGCGTTTAGGGAATTTTTACTTTGTTAACACTTCCTGGCATTCGCAACCAGAGCAGTACATCATCATTTGAACCTTGGGTCTGGACATGGGATCACGTCTAGGTTTGGAAAAATGGACATCAGTTGACGTTTTTGGAATACCCCCGGCGACATGAGTATTACGATTTGCGATGAGGTTTTCTCTGAATGCTCACCTAAACTCTCATTGCCTGGTCAGTCAGGCGGTTCTGATCAACAGAAGTGACGTGGATATACAGTCTCCTTGGTAAGAGTGCAAACCTACAGCCTCATCAAAAGGCTTCTAAAATTGCCTCAAGCATGGTGTTGTTCTCGTAGAATGAGGTTGTAACTTTTTAATTGTTGTATGTTCGTAGTATGTCCAACGAGACAGACAAAGGTCGCAACCGATAATACAGGAACAGTGACCAACACTCGGTGTCTCATTTATGTATGCTCGCTCGATGACACTGATGTTCGTCCGCAGCCAAGCTTTCCAAAGGTTGTGACTGGTTTCGAAGCCGTAAATAGTCCAATCATACACTGAGATATCAACAACAACGTGATGCCATATCGAATGTTTTGCGCAGCCCATGAGCACACTAAAGAATCCTGGCGGCTTTCATAGGCGACTGCCAAGCCCATAGCTTGTTTATAGGATCTAGGCCTCAGTAGGAGGTTGTCACATTGCGGTACAGGACACTCCGTAAACAGCAAGGCGGTTCTACCTGCTTTTATAGGATATAAGAGGTAGGCTTGTATCCTGCCAAGAGAACAACAGTAGATCAAGAAAGCTTGTGTCTGTATGTTTGAGACCGTAAGCGATGTTCGCGTGCCCGGCCCCGTCCGGATTCCGCGTCAGCAGCCACAGTGTACGTGGTGAGCAATTAAGTATCCCAATATCCATAAGGAGGAACATGTTCCGTAGAGACTCCATCTTTATTTTACGCCCATGCACATGACCAATATTTTTGCCCGACAACCGATGCGAAGGAATTCTTCTCATCTTCGTGTTGAAGCTTTCACAATTGCTAATCATGGAGGAAAAGAGAGTAGAGGCAGCGACATCAACACTCAATGGGGTGATATCTGGATCGATATAAGTCCTAGGAAGGCCCCGTCGTATTTTCTTCTAAATGCGACATCAACACACACACACACACACACACACTCCTAACACAGGGCACAAAATTCTATAAAAAGAAATCACTCAACGGTATACATTATGCGCCAAATCCTCCTCGCAGCTCTCCTGCCGCTCCTTGCCAAGGCGCAGCAGGCAGGCACCCTCCAGCAGGAAGTCCACCCCAAGCTAACCTGGAAGCGCTGCACTGGCGATGCTTGTGAGACGGTCCAGGGCGAAATCACGCTCGACGCAGAGGACCGTTGGTTGCACGTCACCGACGGCTTCTCAAACTGTTTCGACAACCGGCAATGGAGGACTGATCAGTGCAACAGTACAGAATCCTGCACCCAGCGTTGCGCGCTTGAAGGCGTAGACTACCCCAGTTTCGGCATCAAGACGAACGGAGACACCCTGTTGCAGGAGCACGACACTCGGCATGCGTTTGGAAGGATCGAAAACACCCGCGTGTTCCTGATGGAAAAGGGCACAGAGCGGTACCAGACGTTCACTCTTTTGGGGAACGAACTGGCGTTTGATGTTGATCTGTCCAAGGTTCCATGCGGGCTCAACTCGGCCTTGCATTTTGTCGCCATGGATGCTGATGGAGGGTCGTCCAAGTTTCCGGGTAACAAGGCGGGTGCGAAGTATGGAACGGGATATTGTGATGCATCTTGTCCGCGGTCCATCCGATTCGTTGGCGGCAAGGTGAGTTGACGCTACCGTTATTATTGCCAGAGAAACTTCTAGCTGATTGAAGATTCTTGCCTACAGGCCAACTTCGACGGCTGGCAGCCCTCTTATTATGATCCTAATCGTGGTCAAGGCTTTCTTGGTGCATGCTGTCCTGAGTTCGACGTTTGGTAAGGGACTAGAGCTGTCAACGAGATGTGAACTGACTGGTTTACTAATCCGCTTCTCCAGGAACTCTAACTCCAACTCATTCCAGATGTCCTCGAAGCTTTGTAGGCAGACGTCTTATTCGATCTGCCAAGGAGACAACTGTGAGGGCGGACAGCGCTTTCCGGATTGTGACAGGGATGGTTGCGATTATAACCCATACAGACTGGGAGCCAAAGACTTTTACGGTCTGGCCAAGACAGTTGACACAAGCAAGAAGTTCACGTAAGGCTCTCAACTATCGTCTTCTCACTATGCTTGAGCACTGAAGGCGCGCTAATATACGTTGACTTTTCCAGTGTCGTTACGCAATTCGCAGAGGACAAAGTCACAAAGTTCTTTATTCAAGATGGCCAGAAGATCGATGCCCCTGCGACTACTCTTCCTGGCGCTGCTGATAGTAGCGGCTTGAATGCGGATTACTGCCTAAAGAAATCCCAGTATTTCGGCGAGCATGACATGTTCAATGTTCTAGGTGGCTACCGTCGCCACAACGACGTCCTGCGCCAGCCCTTGGTTATGGCCCTGTCCATCCAGAACGATGTGAGTTCAGATAACTTTGTTTCTTGCTAATTTGCCGTCTTGGCGAGTTTATTCTGTTCTTACTGACACGGAGGCATTCAGTATTATGCTGCAAACCTGTGGCTTGACTCGAGGTACCCTCTCGACAGTTGGGCGCCCGGCACTGAACGAGGGCCTTGTGAGTTTAGTGGCAACGTCCCGGGTGTCCCTGAAGTTGGCGATAAGTAAGCAAAAAGGCATTCGCTTTTTCAGGCGAGATAACTAACAGTGTTACAGTAAGGTTTCGTGGTCAAATATTCGCTTCGGTCCCATTGGGTCTACTACGGACGTGTGAGACCTACTACACCCATGGAAGGCGCGGGGATGTGATGATAAGGAGACGGTGTGGGGATGTTGAGGAAATTGCCTGGGACAAGTTACCAGGCTGTCATTCGTTTCTGCACTTTAGGGTCCGCGAAGCTATAAACAGCTACAAGATACACTGTAGCACTTGCGACTTGGGCGCAAGTGCGAGCCATATGCGCCTCGAACATTTTCGCATTAGACAAGAAATTTACTCCTGTAGCTCCTTCGCATCAACCCAATTTCCATGCAACCCTGCTCTCAACCTCATAGGAACTTTGACTATGGCCGCCGGCGAAGTAAACCGTCTCGTGTCGACAACATGAAGCTCGCTAGACATTGTCCTGTAGTTATTCACTAGCGCCACAATAAACCCATCGCCCTCCTCCGCATCCTCCCTCCTAGGCACAAAGACCGGCTCCTGGACCATGTGCGTCGAACCTGGATAGTACACTTCCAACTTACCTGTCACGTGGTCAAGGTGACCCAGCGCATTGTACAGCGGATGTCCACCTCCGAGCACAGGCATGATGGCAGCAAAATCGGTGCCCAGCGATGGATCCATCATGTCAAAGTAGCTGTGACGGTGTGGTTTCATGGCGAAACGCTCGTCGATGCGAGGGAATTCCATGTCATGCTTGAGAATTACCGTCGGTTTCGGTAAGTCGAGAGACTCCGTGGCCCTGGGGTCGAATTCGAAGCGCACGTAGTCGGCGCTGATGTCTCGCGGGTCCGGGGCGTTTCCGTCTTTGTCTGGCCACCAGAAGAAGACGTTCTTGTCGCTCAGGGGCAAGTCGAATATGATTTTTCCATCAGAGGTTTCATAGGCATTTGTAGTATGTCCAGGGAAACCGTTGGGAGTGCGGAACCACTAGATCTGTAAACGGGCATTCTATTCGGGGAGAACGGAGATTGGGCAATAATATACCTTCACATCGCTGCCTTTGGCTCCACGTCGAGGCAAAACTCCGATGTAGATGGGGATATCGGGGTCCCACTGCCAATGCTCGCCTCCGGCTTTGAGTCTTTCGATATCGCACACCTGGGGTATCATGGGGAACAGAACCTGACGATAAAGTCAACAGACGGGTTCGCACTAGAAAAGTAAACGAGATGCGTATGACCAGGGTGCTGACCCAGTTTTCTGTCACTGCAAAGTCATGAATCATACCAACAACCGGCGCCACAAGCCACACAGTCTGGTTAAACCTGCCATCAGGGCCAATACTGAAGTAGCACACATCAGGCGTGCCATCTCCTTTGGCCTCGTAGCCGAAGCACACTAGCTCGCCCGTACTGGGGTCCATCTTTGGATGTGCGGTGAAGGTTAAACTGGGGAGCTGGCCATCAAAATCACAGAGCCCCTGAGTCTCGAGGGTGACGGGATTCATGAGATATGGTGGTGCATCCTCTTTTATAGCAAGGAGGGACTTGTTAAAGTAGTAGATATTGGTGTTTGCCGTGGTGCGGACTTTAAACTCGACTGCGTCGGTGTATTTATTGCGATACTTCCCTTGAAGACATGTTAGAGTTGACCCATAAAACCCAAATGACGGGTTTAAAAATACCTGCCAGGGCTCGGTTGGCTTCTCGCTCTCTGACGAATTTCTCTGTTCGAACATATTTCTGTTGGAAGTCGACGTTACCGCTATGAAAGCGGAACGCCGAGACGTTGCCGTCTCCGTTGAACCACTTCTGTGGGTTAGTCTCGACATTAGAAAAAAAGGGGAAAAGAAAGGGAAAATGTCGAAAACAACCCACGGGATCATTCTCAATATGTGGAGGAAATTGCGGGTCGGGCATGACACGGTAAAACGTTCCGTTCAGCTCAGGCGGTACGGTGCCGACAATCTCCAGATTCCGGACCTCGCCCTCAAATCGGCACGGCTTCATGAAGCCGGAGAACTGGGGCTGATCGGGGAAGGATTTGGCGGGTGGGGTGGCGAGCAACGCTCGGAAGTGGCCGGCCATTGTTCCGGTGTGGGGATGCAAAGTTGGATGCAGCAATGAATGCAAACAAGATGAAATGGGGTTCTGAAGCTCTTTTGTCAACATCAGAGTACGAGTTCGCATGCTAAATTAGGTTATTGACCAAATGACAATTGGAAAGATTTTAAGGTATTCGCCTCTCCGTCATTCGAAAACGATCTTGCCTTGCCGGCTTCCCGTCCAATTCCCCGCCCGATTTGCCGGTGACCCCACAATCGGCGTATCACCATGCCACATGCGTCCCTGAGTGCTATGCAGTTCGAGTACTTTGAACATTATTGATGACCGGCAAAGTCTCTCGGTAAAAGGCTTCTTGTCATGTCTCTTTGTTAAAGTGTACTGGACTAGTCCCTCCCGAAATACAAGGCAGACGACCAGATCCTAGCATCATGTGGTCATCGATGGAGCAGCGAGCCGGCGACAATTCAATTACACTGGTCAGAGGTCGACGAAAAATACGCGACTTCTTGATTTGAGACGTGCCTGGTACCCGGCCTGATGAAGTCGACCGATTTGAGGGCTTGTAACCGAGACCAGTTCCCTAACTCCCCGGATCATGGTTTCCAATGCCACATCCACATTTGTCAGCGGCCTCGGTGGAAATGGCGAAGTATATGGCACCGAGTCCCGGAGGCACGCCAAGGCAATCAACGCCTGGCCAATGACTATATCATCCCAGCTAGTCTTCTTTCCCCCCTTCCCATTTAGGATTTAGTAGCGAGGCCTATTATCTGGTCGGTCTGGCTGGCAGCTGTCTGGCTTTAGTGTTTGCTTGAGAAATTCTCTTCTTGAGCGCATGCATTACTTGTGGAGGGCGTAATTAGAGACAAGATTGAACAGTCGATTTGATGCAGCGTGTCTGCTTCTGTTTCTGCCTCGTGAATCAGACCACGTTGCTGCTCTATCTTATGGTCAAGGATGCATCGTAGACTTAAAGTATGCAGGCTAATTACTCGTAGGCTAGGAAACTTCGGATGGATAGCCATACTCTAGACTACTTATAGAGGAGGATGGAAAAACCTTTCCAATTTTTGATGGGTATCATTTGGCTGTTGATTGCGCTATTGAAAATATTTCACGTTGCTTTAACCTGTGCACAACAGCGGAAAATGGCCAAAGGAAAGCATGTTAGAACAGCAGTCTAGATACAATATAATAGAATTCAAGTTGATATAAACCACTGTTTTCTTAGTGTAATGAATACAGTTTTCCAACTTGGAACATATTACAGTGTTCATGTTTGAGTTTGTCGTGTGGAATATGCGAACAACGGATCTTCTCAATCATCGATGGCAAATGTCAGAGACGCTATAAAACAAATGAATCAACATGCTACGCGTATCGACAAAAAAAAAAGAAGAAAAAAAACTGTGATCTGAAGAGTATCTGAATAAAGTATCGGAATGACCTCAATATGACGCGTTTCGAAGTTGCGGTTGCTATCTGTCGAGAACAGGCCTTCGTCCTAGGCCCGAGATATTCGACTAGAGCGTTGCAAAATACCATACAGAACGCAACGTCATAATATCATGCTTCAATAAGCCAGCGCCAAGACTGTCCCCTCCTGAGTATGCTCATACCCATAGACACAACAGGCAATCAATTCATCTTCACAACGACATGACCCTAACCCTGAAGTTACTCAACCATATCTCAGTTCCACAAAAGCTTAATTAGCCGTACAAGCTTGGACCAACTCGCCTCGTACACCACGTAATAATGTCGGGTTTTCCTTCCTGATAGGGCCATAAATACGACGGCAATAAATGGTAAGATCCGCCTCAACCTCACTATTTTTTAAAAGAGGAGTGAAAAAAAGAAAAAAAGCAAAATTGACACCGGACCCGTGGTTCGGATTACCCCCATATGCATCCCCCTCGGCACCAAATTCAAGAGAAACGCATCTGCCTACAGATACATGACGCCAAACCCGCAACATCCCATCAGCTGGCGCAAGACAGCCCCTTCAATCTCTCTCAAGCCTCATTACCACAGTCTTGGTAAGGCACGGCGGGAGGAGATACCCACGCATCCCCTCCCCCCCCTAGCCCCCACATCCCGGGCAGCAAAAGACAGGCGCCAAAAGTCCCGACCCAACACCTATTGGCCCCGGTCCCGTCGTCCGTGCGCCCGCTGGCGGTTTTTATCAAAACTCGGGATCATCAAAAAAAAAAACCCACATAATTACCATGTACTACGTACTCGTGTCTTCCCTAAACAATTTGCTGCCATTTCGGACAACTACAAAAGTCCGAGAAGAGGAAGCAAATCGTCGCTTTCATTAGGTACGTTTCTAGAACCCCACACGGCAAATATTACCCGCGCGCAAGAAAAAGAAAAAATAAGAATTAAAAAAAAAGGGAGAAGGCTCTTCGGAAATGCATCCCGCCGGTGAAAATTCGCTTCCGTTCCGGATTATCCCACGGAGTCCTCCGTACTACGGATTCTCCCTAGTACGGATACTCTCCTACTGCCTCGTAACGTGGCTAACTAACCTCCTCCAACCCCAGCGGAGGAAAACCAATGGCCCGCTGTCTTCGAACCACCACTCACAAACAGTACACCCCTCGACCCACCATCTTGCAGTTGCACTGCCGGAATGCCAAGGCGTCATCCGGCCGACTTTCCCTCAATCGTGTACCAATTCGCTCTCAAAGCATCAGGGCACAAGGTCTCCTACAATGCCAACTGTCGACGAAAAATACAGCGAAGGAACTCCTGATCGTGCCCTCTCCCCCAGATAATACACGAAACCTCCCGACCCTAGCCCTGCGAAGAAGGAAAAGAAAAAACGACAATGTGGAGAAACATCAATTCCAATCCCTGACAACACGTCAAGGACTCTACTCATATGTATGAACATACATTGTATCAGTACAATACACAGCACGTGCTACGCCAAGCTCTCCGCCCCAATACCCGTCCCTTACAAAACCTGTAGTGTATACAGGCTTCTTCTTACTTGCGGCAGGCAAATCATTCTAGAGCCAAGCGAGCCGATCCTCCCCCCCTTCCCTTTCAGCCCACTGAGAGCGTCTTTCGCTGCAGAGTTCAAGGCTGCATTTTTTTTTTTTTTTCCTGTTCAGCAGGGCGCGGCGACAGAGAACCCGACGTATTCTGCCCAGCGTAACATCAGCCAAGATGGCCCTGCCCGGCCAAGCCCGCCCGCGAGCAAGGGGAGGGGCCGGTTTTGCTGCTGTACGTACTATGTATACTATGTAGCTGTATAGAAGGGGGTAAGTATAGCTCGTTGGTCGGTCTTCTTGTGGGTACGGTACGGGGGGCCCACATGAAGATCCAATTGCGACCTGGCTGGACCCAAGGCCCTTTGCACGCCGATTATATAATCGGTGACAGCACATGTAGTCACTCAGCAAGGGGGGATTTTTTATATTTTTTTCGTGCGTGATGCCATACATTGCCTTTGATGATAACAAGCTTTGTGTTATTGTTGCCACCTGTTTAAGCTCATTAGAGAAGCTTAAGGATAGGTAGGTGTCGTTTGGTTTGCTGGCGTCTTCTTCGTCTCTTCTCTCCACACCAGCACCATGATGATGATAGTGGGTCTCGCCACCCGATGTTCTATCGACACACACAGGTGGATGAATGGCATCATTGAAACTGTCTGCGGGTTAACCTGTAGAATTCCCGTAGAATTGCGTATCACGGCAATCACATCGCATCTCCCAGTTGGGCTCTACCAAAGGTTCATAATGTGAATCGAGAAAAGTCCCGTGCTCATTCTCAAACAATATGGGGATTAAGTAATATCAGAAACAACCGTTGAGTGAAAACACTCCACCTGCAAATATACTCAAGTTGGGACTCAAGTAAGCATATACTTACCCTAAAGTAAGGTAAATTCTCACCACACCTAAACCAACCTCACGTAACGCTAGTATTAAAAGACAATGCAACTATGCTGTAAATCTCAAAGTTCTCAAATCGACACTCATAAGTGTACCGCGGCGGTATGGTCATAAAACTAACCGCATCTTATCCCATCATACACACTGAAAATAAATAACCTTAGTTAAAACACCAAAGCAGAAACAGCGTTGTTCCAAAAATACCCATAAGAAGGGAAAAAAAAAAAAAAAAAAAAAAAAAACCAAAACGAGCGATCAGCGCAACGACCAAGAACAAGTGGCCGGCGGGTATATCAGCCGATGTACCGTACCTTCAGACATCGGATGGACAATAAAAAAGAATTTAAAAAACAAAAAAAGACTATTGTGGGGTTGGTTATTGCACCGCTTGAGCCCGTCTTGGTCTGTTTTCTACCACCCCACAACTTACAGAAAGGAACCCACACTTTCTCCTCACGCCAGACGATATCAGTGTGTCAAGCATTGCTCACCGACACATCTGCGTCAATTTCATCACAGCCAAGACACGGATAATTGCAAGGTCATGATGTAACGGTTGAAAATATTGGGTTGAATTTTTTGCTTCTAATCTTGTGAACATGGCTTCTCAAGCTCGCGGTCCAAAGTCCCTCGTCGCCTATTCTCGCCACGCGGGAGAACATGTATAGAGACGGAAGGATATATGTAAAACTTTCTTCAATCATCAACTCCCTTCGGCCAGATACAAAAGTCTATCTGGTACCCATCATCGCTCATGCAAAAGACTCGAAGATGCAAGACAGATCAGCGTACATGTGTAGCTTCCTGAACGCCACCCCCCTCAGAGAAGCTCGACGTCGTTTTGTTTGGGTGAGCCGTATCTTTCCTTCGGCTTCAACCCCGAATCGCCGGCCCCCTTCCTTTCCTTGACCCCGTGCGTCACGGGATCGGTTGTATATAAAAACTGACCAGGCAAGCCCTGCCTTTCCCCATGGTTGCGCCCTTTGCCGCCAGCTTCCAACGAATATCCAAGTGGATTTTTGAACATGGAAAAAATGAAAGAGAGAAAAGAAAAATGGGTAAATGATGTTGTGGTAGATACAGTCCGTACTCCGAACCCGAGGGACCCAGGGGGTATCAATAGGTTTTTAAAGTGACAATGGAGGTTTGACGGAGGTTTTGAGGGCTGGTATGTAGGGGACGGAGCGCCGGTCTATGATGCGTTTTTTGTTTTTTTTCGATGTATCGAATATAGATAGATTAGACATAGAAAATATTATCATTTGTCTTGATGTGGTACTGCACCCAAACGTGCAAAAAGCCGCCCACCTGTGTTGGTAGTGGGTGAACGGCGACGACCGTGAGGCCGAGGATAGGGGACCGGCATCCACTGGGTATCTTGAAAAAAGTAGCGGATATTGCCAGGCCGCAGAAGAAGTGGCCTCAGGTCGACGGGATGTAAGTAAAGGCGGGAGGGGGAGTGAACCGCCCGCTGCTGGATCAGGAAATGGTCGCAGATAATGCGCTCACATTTCAAGGCAGATCACGGCGGCGGTTCGGGTCGTGCGGAGGGAATTGATGATGGTTCCTCGCATTGGCCTGGGCGGCTAGATACTCAGCAGATCCCGTCTGTCGTCCAGGTTGCTCAGCAGGCAACTTGGTGTCGTCGCGCCTCGGTGGGGCTTGTTGGGCAGGAGCGCTGGTGGAAGGGCTGGGCATGCCAGGAACGAGCTCGGTAACAGCCTGAGCGATGGACTTGATGACGTATCCACGCAGTTCGCGATCCTCCCGGCTGTCTTCCTTTTCGAGTCTGAATCTTTCGTCCTTGCCCATGTTGCTGCGACGAAGGTTCCTAATCTCTTGCAGGATGTAAAGTAGAACCTCCTCGGGGCAACGATTCCGCTCGGCGGACTGTTCGTTCTTGCGGACATAGCGTCTGGTGACATCGGTGGCGCCATCGATAGAGAATGCTATGCAGTAGGACATCTTCTTGCCCCAGCCCTCGGTGTATAGCCTCGGGTTGTCCCAAGCCTCCTCGCAAGCGTCGACGTGGACCCATCGCTTCTGGTGCTCTGAATATACCTCAGTCCATACGTGGTCTTCGGCATTCCATACCCAACGGACTCTGCCTCCAACAGCTCGGCACAGCATGCTGAAGCAGTTGGCCCACTCGCCAACACGGCCTCGGCGGGTGTGCAGCAGCCGCCACACATCACCGTACCTCGGAAACCGTTCGTAGGCACCACAATCGCCAGCTGAGCAGCGATACAGTTCAACTCGTAGGGCACCACAGGCGCTCTCATCGGGTGTCGGTGCGGTCATGCCTTGGGCGATGGTGGGCGAAAGGCAGACGGGGCAGGGTGGGTTGTTGACCCACGTGAAGAATGATCTCTTGAACCATCTAACACGCACGTTAGGACAGGCTCAACAGGGTCAAGAATGATCATAAACTCACCTCAAGAGTGCCCGGATAACGCAATCTTGGTAACCCCAGGTAGCTTTACGTCCGTCACCCATACTCTCGGCCTCGGCCTGCATCACTTGGCATTCCTCCTCCGCCTCGCCGTATATCCGGTCGAGCGGTATACACTGCAGTGCCTCATCCAACAAACCGGGGTTCTCGTACTTGGTCGGGGTGAGAGAAAGACTGATGAGAAGGTTGCGAAACTTTTGAGACTCGCGATCGTTGGCTGCGGGTGGGGTAGGAATTATGGGAAGATGACGGATGGAAGAGTAAGCGGGCGGTGTCGGTGGCATGGGTGTTGAGGCGTTGCTATGGGAAGTTGAAGGCCGACCGGGTCCGGGGGATGCGAGGCCGCGGAGGTTGGCACTGCTCACCCGCTCTCTGGGTTGAGGAGTACCTTGACGGGAAGACGATCGTAATTCGTTCATGCGCTTGTCGCGAAGCAGTGACTCGAATTTTACCCTGAGATCGCGAGCCCACTCTTCGCCATACTCGCCATCGCCGTTAGGCGGGCCCTCTGGGGGGTATCCGTGACCAGCCATATTGATGTCGTCGGAGTTTGAGGTGGATGTGAATGTCGAGAGTGTCGAAGGTAGAGACAGGTGGAGGAGAGTCTTCGACAGAACTCTCCCAGTAGTCGTCAGTGAGACGAATCGTCGTGTCAGATCAGAGCGGCGAGGTGGATTGACTAAATGGGTCGATGATGGTTGTAAGTGACCACGGTCGTCGTCGTTTTCGTCGTCAGCGTGGTGAAGTCGTCAAAAAAGAGAATCGTAACGTCGTCGATATCGATTGCTACTATCGACCAAAGGCCGTGTTTTCTTCTTCTTTCTCTGGTTGTTGCTGTTGTGATTTTTGGCTTCCCTCCGTGAATCTGGGCGGTGCTAGTCTCGTTGCGTCCCGGCTCGGCGTTGAAGAGAGTTTCCTAGCCCTGAAATCCTTGGATCGGTCGGGGTGAGCGTCCTTCTTGATCTTCTTGGCAGGACGTCGAAGTCGAAGCGATCGCGGCCGCTCTACGAGGAAGGTCTCGAAAGCAGCTTCGGGTGCTTGTCGGTCGGTAGAAATCGAAATCGAATTCGTAGGGCGACGAAGTGCGGTGTCAAGAGGAAGGGATGGGATGGGGGGGGGATGGGGGTGTTGAAAGGGTTGGTAGCGGGCGGAGAGGAGGGTGTAATTGGGGAGTGGGAAGTGGACCGTGCCAGGGGGGGTGAAAGAGGAGGAAGAAGAAGAAGAGGAGGGAATTGGACAAAGAGGCTACGCATACGCAGCAGTCACGCAGTGGCAGTAAGTGGTAAGAGGTGTACGCAGGCCCAGCAGCAACGACAGGTAAACTGCTGCGTAAGTGAGCAGCAAAAAGAGGCAAGGCAAGGGAAGGGGGGGACGTGGAACAGGGAAAAAAAGGAAGGGGGGGGGGGAGTGTGAAGCGTAAGGTCGCATACGCACGCTGCCCTCTGGCTGGCTCCTCATGGACGGTTTACGCGTAAGCTGTGCAACGCGGGCCAATGACAGGGGCTAGGTCAGTCAGAAGTGGAGCCCGCTCAATCCGCCCCGGCACGCACGACGACCCGAAGGCCCCTCCTCCCTCCCCCAAAGAAAGTAGAGTGCAAGCTTGATTGCCTAGGGGAGAAAGGATGAGGGAGGTACCGAAGTACCGCTACATGCTCATCTTGGGAAGGGAAAAAGGGCCCCAGTCTGAGATCTCCTCCCGTTGAGGGCAGGAGAGGACCACAGGGCTGTTCATACCCAGGCGACCTGCCAGGCCCCCAGAACACACACTTCCAATACTGCGTTGGTGACGAATTTGAGCTTATCGATAAGTTCCGTTGCCTCCCACATACCAGAAATACGCCAGGCCAAGAAGAGAGAAACGTAGGCCGGAGCGGACCACGGTAATGAGCTCAGTCCGTTTTTTTTCTTTGCTGGCGCATTTGCCCACAGAGCAACGCAAGCTTGGCACAGAATGACCAGGCACAGCGGCAACGCAATCCTTCCGGTGACGAGGCCGGTTGTGGCCGGTACTGACACACGCACACACGACACATTCATACGCACTCTCTCACTCACTACGGATAGAGAGAGTACGGAGCACTAATTTGTCTTTGAGTGTCGCCGACTGGGGCGGAGATCCGCGCAAGCAAACGCAGAATTGAAATGAGATTGCGACGGTACTTCATCTGGTTGGCGAGAGCGAACGAGGCTGAAATTGCGACGACGATGGCGATTGTTCTATCTTGGCAAACCTTTTCTTTTTTCCCATCATGTGTCAACGGATTGTGGACAATTGAGCAGTAGAGCCCATGATCCTTCTTGATGACGCCGCCCGTCTCTCCCTAGAGCACTGACTGGCAGTACTGTATGAATTCGTCCTCTATTCGCAGGTAGATGGCCGTCGAGCCCAAATAGAGTGAGAGGAAGCAGTGTGAATTGAGCTATCCGTATCTGTATGAAACTATGAGCTCGGCTTCATGTATCGGTACTTTATTCCAGTGCCTACCTAATTAAAGCTCCTGTCACTGGTCAGAGCCAACCCTTCCCCTCTCTTTTCCACACACTCTCACACACACACATCCACTATTAGGTACCTCCTCCTTGAGTCGCCGTATGTGAGAAGCCGACAAGAAAAAAGGCGATGACGAGGCGTGGCTGAGGTGTATTTCGTCTATTTCCAGCTCCAGCCCAGGCCAAAACCACTGTTTTAGGCCTTGGGATTGGCCCCATCTGTCCCAGATCTGTGGCTCAGCAAGGCCAGCGCCTCGCCCTCAGCCCGCTATTCCTTTGCCTCTCTGTTCTTCCTTCTGGGCAGGCACACAGCAACGACCGTACCATGTATCTTTGGTAACTTTGTACCTGCAGCGCTCAGTTCACTTCCCTCTGTAACTGAGTCGAGAACCTTGGGGAGGGAAGAGGCCTACGGATGAGCCCAGCTCCGACGGCAAGCGCCTGCCCGCCGTGACTGCTGACGACTGCCTGCCACTGTCCACTTACTGTGCTTTGCTTTCTCCGCACCTGCCGTTGCAGCTTTTTTGCAGCGCTCTTGCACCTGCAGACTGCACCAACTGAAGGCCAGGAAAGCGCAAACGCCACTGTAGGTAGGAGTCGGAGCAGGAGCAAATAGAATGGCATGAGCAAAAACAACAGCAAGAACGACGGTAACAGAGAGGGCACTAACAATATTTCCATTTACGCAGCATCGCCTATCCCGGTGCCAATCATCGCTCGCCTAGGCTTCCTCCTCCGCTGCTATACATCGTTGTCCGTCAATCCTAATATCCTCCGCCCTCAATACAACTAGACCATTTCTCGCACATTGTCCAGATCAAGCCACAATTCCCTCCATCGACCACACTGCTGGTGGAAGTCACAGCCAGCCAGACGGACCGCACGGCACCTTAAGCGGCCACCAGGATCGCCATGTGAGACCAACCGATCATCAAACCAAAGCCTACTTCAGAATGGCTCAAAAAGTAGTCAATAACACCCCCGTGATAAGGAACGTTTACTCCAGCAAGCCCCTGTCAGTCTGCCAGTCAAATATTGGTCATCACTGTGAAGAAGACTCCTGACTGGTTCACCCCCATTCACTTCCCCCTTCAAGGCATGCCGTGCTGCCACACCACACCTCGCTCTTTTCGCGTCTCCCTTCGGCCTTTGGACCCTTACAAATTTGTCCTTGCCATCTGGCGAATTCAAGACTGCCTTCAGTGTTAGTGGATGTGGCTGGTGTCCTCCGTAACCCACTACTTTGCTGAAGTGAGAAAAGGGGAGCAATCACTGGGGTACGACGACACAATTTAACCACAGCAGCAAAAAAGCTTACAGGTAGTGCGACATCTCTATTTTACACTCTTTTTCTTCACCAGCCCGTCCTCTCATTGGCTACTTTCCACATCGGCAAGGGCGCGACAGGGGCTGGGCGGCCATCTGTACTCAACCTCAGTCAGGCACATTTTCAAAGTACTCAGGTACTCCTGGACGTCAAAACCCCCCGGACTCAAGGTTCTGCCTCATTCGCCTCCCGCTCAGCCTCGTTTCCCTCTCCCGGTCCTGGTCTCTTCCGGACCGCGGAGGCAACATCGACACGTCCCATTTAGCTGGCCACGTTTCCTTCATCCCCGCATCTGCGTCCGTTCCTGTGGGTGCCCGTCCTCACGGTCCTCGACTGGCGATTCATCAGACTCACGGCTGACGACGAGGCAACATGATCCGGCCCAGCTGCCCTTGCCAGTAGCCTCTCCAGTCCATTCATGGGACAAACCACTACTCAGGACAGATACACAACACCCCGACAAGCACCTCTGGAGCTTCTTCGGCGGGCCAGGTCCTCCCGAGATCTTTTTAGCGGCCGCCTTGAACCATGAGCGATAAGCTCTCCAATCCCAAGAGATTCTCATCTGGCCCAGGTCTGATCCCACGTCAAATTTTCTGTTCCGTTACGTGGACATGCGTCAACGGTGGGCTCGTTAATCGTTCTCGCAAAAACTCAAACATCCGTTGATCTTGACTGGTTCTGTCTACGCCTTGAATCTCAGGTTCGCCATCGTATGCTACCACGCAGTTGACGAGTAATTGACTCTGATGAGACGAACAAGCAAGCCGTTGGTTATTCCAGTTGTTTGATGAGGGTAATAATCCTCCGGCAAGATGATGACGAGTCGGCAGGCACCGATTCAAGCATAAGCCTAACGTGACAGAGGATGCCCGGCCGTACAGAGTCCTCCTTCGGCGCCATCAGTCGGCATCTTAGTACGATTTCGCTGCAATCGACCCATTTTCAATTTTATCACAGTTTGGAAGTGAATATATTGATACCATCGCCAACGGCAGGGGTCTCTCTTGCAGACTGGCCTTTTCAAGGACATCAAATCTCGACATGATCTTGTTGGTCCCTTCTCCAGGTACTCCCCAGAGTCTGGAACAGAGGCCCTGATCGGCAACCACGGTGCCCTTTGACAAGTAACCCGTTTAGGTGCGTGCCTTGATACGAGAACCCCCGGGCGTGGCTCTTAGCGGCTCAGTGACGCGTCATCCACCTTGTCTCACATTGGCTCTCCAATGGTGGCTTGCGTGTTTGTTCCAAACCCGTTGCCACCCCACATCAGACGTCCACTCCTTGTCGTCTCGAACTGCCACAAAGTCGCAGCAACCGACCATTCTTTGCTTTACTCACGAATTAGAGGGCAAAGTTACCGGCCAAGGGGCTCAAGTGCCTAAGTTTCCTGGGGCTCAGAAACCACTCAATCCATCAGTCCATGTCGGCTTTCGGCAGACTCGCCAAGGGGCCCTGCATCGTTACCGATCAATTGCTCTCCTCCACCTTCCGTCTTCAGAGCTAGACATTTTCCAGATTTTCGCATTTTGCTCATGCTAAGAACTGGAGCAGTACAAAAACTGCTCTGCTCAGAGCTTTACGGCGGAAACGAAACGGCCATGTGGGGCAGTAGCAGCGCCGAAAAGGCCCTCCCTGGTGCTGGGCTGGTCGAGGGGATTCCACAATGGGACGAACGACTCACAACCACCTCAGTCCCATATGGCGGGACCCCAACCCTAAGAAGTTGCAGGCATTGCATGAAGAGGAGTGTGGTTCAAGTCGGCATAGCCCCCGACTCTATGAAAAGCAACAGCCGGACTCCGAGTTACGCGAACCGTCATTAGGCAGTAATGGAGAAAGCAACAAATCCCTCCCTGCCCATGTGCGTTCTTGTTGCGAGTGCCAAGAAGTCGACTCATGTCCATAAAGACCTGCTGTTTATCCAGAACCTCAGGATGCCACTTCTTACAGACTCCGCCTCTAGCTACGTATTCCGATGCCTGCTCGTGTCCCGTTTTCCTACATTTCCTTGTCGTTTGTAATGTTGGAGGGCACAAAGCCAACCAACTTCGAGATGACGAACGCTCATCCCGACTTCATTCGTTTTTTTTTGACGATGTTTGCTCATGGAGCCCGCAAAGAGTACCCGCCCCCAAGTTCCCGCGGCCTTTCTGGTGAATTATACGGCAGCTGCGTTCCGCATTCCAAATCCTCGGACTTCTCATTCCGGTCGCGGGGCCGGGGCGTCCAAGTGTCTAGTGGCAGCTGCTGGTCCGGCGGAGAGAGAAACGGGCGAAAGTTTGCCAGTGTCGATCTCTATTCTCTCCCATCTTGCTGTGCAGAATATGGAGGCGGGCTTGCGTGGTCTGACCCGGAAGGTTCATCGTCGGTTTGTGTGCGATGCAGAAGGGAGGGGTGGTCCTCAAAAACTTGAGCGGGACGCGCGTACCCTGGACCCTTCCCTTCCTGTTCATCCTTGTAGCTTAGACATGAGAGAGACAGTCGGGTTTAGTCTTTGGCTGTGTATACTGCATCTGTACTAGTGTACTCGATACCCGCACCCAGCGGCCTCGCGGTCAGCCTTCTCTTCGCTTCGCCCGTTGGCGAGATAATAAAGTATCGGTTCTTGACGAAAAGTGGCCTCGAGAATTTAGTGTAGTTGAGCATGGGAAAAAGCTTCGCCCCATACCCTGGCCCCTGGCTTTCTTTCATCTGGTTTTCGGATGTCTTGTCGTTGATGGGCGTGTGACTAAGCTAGCCATCATCTCTCTCTCTCTCTCTCCCTCTCCCGGTGGGACGACGCGGCGGCGTTGGCGGCTGAGACTCTCTTCAAATGATTAACGGGAGGAACCCCCACATTGACCACAACGCCAAGCGGATATTTGAATCCCGATTTTACTCGTACATCGTCAAGAGTGATCTTCAAAAGGGCTCAACCGCGTAGACTGTACATGGGACACCTGATTCTTGCGTTCTCGTCGTGCGTATACGAGTTGAAAGTTTCGAGCTGGAGATGACGCAGACGAAACCACGGGATCGTGGGGGGGGGAGTTTTGGTTTTGGTTTTGCTGTCATCTGTCCCGTGGTACCCTTGATGATAACCATGTCCGATGAATCAAGATCCGGTCGATAGACGGAGCTCCCGCCTGTCTAACTCTGCCCGTTTTTGTATTGGGTTGACTAGGTTGTTGGAGGGGTGCTGAGGTGTCAATGTTGTCAAAAGCGAGGTTGAAGCTTAAAGTTGGATCCCTTTGTCAGTCTTCACTGGGATACGTACGCCTTTGGTCGACGAGGATACTCGGATGGAACATGGGGCCACGACAGAGAGTGTGAGAGTGAGAGCTTTGGATGATGTTGGGCCCGGTTTACCGACGAGGTATGGGTGCCGGGTTAGCTAGTTTTTTCTGGGAAAGGGTGACGCCTCGAGGTTGGCTAGTGCCCGTATCTGTTGGCTTGGCCCAATGTCTGTCGAAGACTTTGTCATCGACATTGGCTGGGATGAGGAGGAGGATCCGGTCTTTTGGACGGGTCGGGCGGTGGCGCTGGGGTGGTTCAGTATACGCAAGTCGTTCTTCGTCTTACGAGGGACGCCATGGTGGTTGTGTGCGTTTGCGTTCCCCTGCCCCGCGCTATCATCCCATGTCCTTTTCTCGCGGGTTCAAAGAAGACGGGATTGAGACTGCTGGAGGAGCTACACGGCTCGCTACGGCTATGGTATCACATTTGCGGGACAGATGGCGTGGTAGTGTACAACCAGAAAAAAAAACTCCTGTTCAAGTTCCAACCAACAAAACTTTTTCTATACCGCCTCTCCTTTCCTCTTATCTTCTTCTTCGGCATACAATGAGAGAAGGAAGGGAACACCTGACTAACAAACAGAAGATATATATGCATGGGAGGGGGCCCGACGTGGCCAAGAATCCTTCACCGCCAAGAAGGACAATGAGCATGCGCGGCCTTTCTTAGTATCACCCCCCCTTGTTTTTCCTTTCTCCTTCCCCCTCTCCCTCTTCCTCTTCCTCTTCTTCTTCTTCACACCGGAGACCCTGTCATGATGACTAACCAATTTTAACGACATGTTGTTTTTTCTTACCACGAGGTAGAAAAAGCCAACGGAGGAGACTAGATACGTAGTACGAGACATGAATAATTGTGATGATGATGTTTTCTCCTCCTTCCTTTCCTTTCCCTCTCTCTCTACTCTTTTGATTTGTTTTTTTTTTCTTCCTTTCTTCGGGGTTTGCTGTAAAAAGTTATGACATAGACTCTCCCCTCCCCTTCCCCTCCGCGGTGGACGGATGGAAATACATACATACATACATACATACATACATACGGAAAGAGGGTGGTTGACCCGCCCAAGAAGACCCGAGATTTTGTGTGGGCTTCCGTAGATGAGTGACTGGCCATTATTGCGCGGCTGCGTATGACGGTTCGTGCTTGAGCGGCTTTTTTTCCCCCTTCTCTTTTCGTATGCGTGTGTGTGTGTGTGTGTGTATCGTCGCGCACCCCCCCCCCCCCCCCCCCCATCCCTTCCTCCGCGGATTTGTCCGTACGCCCTGCTTTCCCACCCCCTCCCTTTTTCTGTTTTTTTTTTTCTCCCTCACCGGGAAATGGGCGCCCCGCCAAGAGAAAAACAGGTATTGGGAATAGCCAAACTGACTAAGGGGGGAGCCACAGGGAGAACGTGAGGAGAAGTGAGTGATGTGGGCTTTTGTGTGTGTTTTTCCCCTTGCTCACCTCTCCCACTCGTTGGCGCCAAAGTAGCGCTCGGGCAGGTCCACCTCCCAGATCGGCCTCTCGACGAGGACGGCCTCGAGGGACGGGGTGCTGGTGCTGGTGGCCTGCTGCTGCTGCTGCTCGTCGGCGGTGGGTGTGGAGAGGGGGGCTATGCCTAGGATGGGACGGTACTTGTAAGTGTACCACCACCGCGTCTTTCCGTCGGCGCCTTCTTCGGTCTGGGTCTCCTGGTTGCGGTTGCGGAGGGCCGCGAGTTCGGTCTCGCTGGTTTCTTCCGAGTCCGAGTCCGAGTCGCTGTCGTTGCCGTTGGCCGCGTTGTTGTCGCCGTCAACGTCCATTGCGTCCGGGCCGGCGGAAGCCTCGATGTCGTCCTGCCATTGTTTACCAGATTTGGAGGCGACGAAGCGGTCCACCTGTGAGGGCACGATGGCTCCTATGTCCATACGCGCGCCGGCACCGCTCTCGACGCCCTTGCGCTTGCGCTTCGTGCCGTGCTGCTGCTGCTGCTGCTGCTGGAGCTGCGTCGTGTTGTGCACGAGCGCGGTGTCGGCGTCGGTGTTGTTTGTGGGCGCTGCGAGGTTGAGGGAGAGGTCGAGCATGAAGAGGAACGACACACCGTAGATCCAGACGCGCGGTCCTTGCCAGAGAAGACCCTTGGCCAGGTCGCGGGTGTCGCGGATCGTCGCGGGCAGACGGGAGACGGGGTTACGGCGGGACCAGGCGGTCAGGGAGCCTGCGGTTGGGTTGAAGGCGAGGATGTGCCATGACGTGGTGACGGCGACGAGCGTGTACTCTGGGGTGGAGGCGTCGTCGCTGCTGGTGGTTACGTCGTCTGAGAAGGAGAGCACGACGGGAGGCGCGGGAAGTTTAGGGAGGAGAGCTGCGGTGGGATTACGAATCCAACGCTTCCCGTCTGCGGAAGCAGCGGTCTCCTGCTCGTTAGACGACTCGTCGTCGTCCTCGCTGTCTGACGCTGACGCGTCCTTGGAGGCGTTGCCGTTGCCAAGGACCCATGTGTCAATGTAGCCGGCCAGATCCGTAGATGCGAGCATGCGGCTGTCGGGGGAGAAGGCAAGGTGGGTGATACTCCTCTCGTAGTTGCCGAGGCCGCCCAGGGACTGGTGCTTGGGGATGTTGCGGCGGAGGCGGTTGACGATGCGGGGCTTCTGGACGGTGACGGCACCGTCGTCCTCGCGGGTGATGCTGGCGACGAGCACCTTGGAACCGTCCTGAACGGCGGCGAGGTAGCTGCCGTTGGGAGACAGGACGACCTTGCTGGCGCCGTTGGAGGAGAAGGGCTTGGGGAGGACGATCTGGGCGAGCTTAACGTCCGAGGGCTTGGTAGGGTTGTCGTGCTGCAGGTGGAAGGCCTTGACATCGGTGGAGGTAGCGACAACGAGGAGGGAGCCGTCGTTGGTGATAGTCGCCGAGGTGATGTTGGACTCGCCCTTGATGAGAATGGTCTTGAGGAGCTTGCGGTTCTTCTCGAGATCCTTGTCGAGGTCAGTGCCGTCGCCGTAGAGGCCGTCAAAGGTCTTTTGAAGCTTCCAGACGTGGACTTCTCTGTCCCACCAGCTGACAAGCAGTCTCGCAGACGCGGCGCTGGCAAGAGGTGGGGTCTGGGGAAGGTTCGGGAGCGTCCTGTGGTTCTCGCGGCCGAGCTCCTTGAGGGGAAGGACGACGGGAGATGCGTCGGGGCCTTGATGTGTGTTAGATACGTGCGTTTGAGCATTAAAAGACATGATTTTGAAAGGGTTGCTTACCTCCTGAAACGACAACGCTCATCTTGATGCTCTCAAACGAGGCCATGGCCTTGACGTCGTGCTCGTGGTATTTCCTGCTCCAGACCTTGCCCCATCTGGCACCCGAGCCCGAGGTCTTCTTGTAGAGAACGGTGCGGCGGTCCATACCACCGCTCATGATGGCGGTGCCGTCGGCGCTGACGGCAAGACTGAGAACATCCTGTCTATGGCTCTGGATGCGCTGCATCTGAGTGTAGGTCTTGCCGTCCCAGATGCATACCTGACCGGTCGAGTCAGCGGAAACGATGTCTCCGGAAGGCAGAACCTTGACGCTCCAGACGATGATATCCTTTGCTCCACCGGCCAAGTCGGCACCAAGGGCCATCTTACGTAGCATCGAACCGTTGCGCATGTCGTAGGCGCGGAGGGTGCTGTCGGAGCAGCCGACGACAACGACGTGGCGGGACTGGAAAGCGATGCTGACCATTTGAGCCTTCTTGGTGGGCGACTTGACGAGCAAGCGCTGGAAGCGCAGCTCACCGTCTTCGACAGAGTAGAGAGCGAGGACACCGTCAATGGTGCCGGCGACGAGACGAGTTACGGGCTCAGAGGGAGAGGCAGGAGGCTGGGCGGCCAAGCACCAGATGTCGCCGTGCTGACCACTCGCGTGGCGCAGAGGACGGCCGGTTTCGAGGTCCCATTCGGTCACAGCAGAGGTGTATCCGATGCTGAAAAGGCGAGAGCGGCCGGGGATGACTGCAGAGGGAAGAGAAGTATCGTCGTCGGGCTCGGTGACCCAAACAAGGCCGTCGACGGAGCGGTCTGCGCCAGATCGTAGGACAGTCTCTTGGTGCCAGGCACCCGAGAGAGGGTTCCAGATCTCGATATCGCCATTGGCACGTCCTACTGCCAGACGCGAAAGCGAGGCATGGAGCTTTGAGCGCGGCGAAGGGTGAGAGAATGCGAGAGCGTTGATGGCAGAGGGAGGGTAGGGGACGAAGCGGCAGCGATGGAGGTCCATTGTGAGATTGTTGGGTTGGCCTCCTGGCCGGGGGAGGGGGATGAGTTAGGTTACGATTGATCAATTGAGTATCGCCGGTTCAAATTGAGAGCCCGCGAAGCTGTTTTGGGGTGGCGGGGGTTCGTCGTTGGTGGTAAGGCTGACGATGTATTGGATCGTGGTTTGTGCAGCCTCTTTCTGCGATGCTGGGGAAAAAAAAAAAATCCACGGCTGCCAAAAAGTTTTGTCGGCGTTCGGGGGATGAAAAAAATTAAGGTGTGGTCTGTGCACTGAAATGCCCCTCCACCCCCCGCCAACGGGAGCCTCTGAGAGGACGAGAGCGCCAAGCAGGATTGGTGCATTATCGTTATCTATCCATAGTGTATTCGGAGTGTTTGGGGATTATTTCCCAGTGTATTCAGATTATTCTAGTTGTTTTTCCAGATGCTGGTTCCCTTGTTCCCGTAGAGTATAAGTGTAGTACGTATTGCTGTAACTGTATTAGTGTCTACTGCTCTACACCGGACATACACGCTATTATACGCTATTACAAAACCAGACGCACACACCTAAACCACCCACACCAAAAATGCGTTACTCATCAATCTGCACCGGCGTTCCATGGCTGCACACACCAGAAATGTCAGTGTCGCGTCATTGGCTGTAAAGGCTGCTGGACCCCTTCTGCAACAAGCCATCGGCTGCTAATTACACCCATCAGTCCAAGCCGCTGGAATGGTAGTGGAAGACTCCGCGACCCGTCATTGTGATGTGGCGGCCATCTCCGTATCTCGGACCACAAGGCCTTTAGCGCGTCTGCCGCTAATTTATGTCATTCTTTTGTCCAAAATTCTCTTGTCTCTTTGTGAGCTGATGACTTTAATGGGCCAAAGGGGAAAAAAAAACATTTACACTAATCAGTGCAACTCAATTACATCAGCATCCATCTACCAAGGTTCTCGTTAAGGGAAAAAAATCAAGGTCTCCATAGTAAATACAAGCCCTCCAAACAACAAAGCGATTCTTGGGGTTGATTCATGCCCCCCTTATGGCCTCTTTAGCCCCTCCTTTTACGCTGTTTGAATCCCAACTGCGACAACTAAAATCTGCATTGAAACTTCTCAACCCCTGCTGTCACCCATCGTCTTATCAATCGAATCAAATCAGCCCAGCAAGGAAAATTTACCTTGCTTAGCTTTCTTTACAGCTTCCTAGCTCTTGTGCCGGATCCCGCCGATTCGTCATCCACCTGCTACTTGACTACTACCCCTCCCCCTCCTACTGAATCCCCCCTCCCCACCCCTCCGAGCTTTGTCACGATCGCGCCGTCTTGACACTGTTTTCCGACCTCGCCCGCAGATTCTTCCCCCGTCATACAGTCTTTGACTCCTTCTTCTTTATTGTCGCATCTCATTTGCGACTGTCTTCGATTTTACTGCGCCAAAATCCAGCACAGTTCACCAACAATCTGCGATCATGGATTTCAACAGTTCATCGCCCTTCCCTGAGGGCGTCATATCCTTCCTGGATACTGATCTCTACAAGTTGACGATGCAATGCGCCGTCTTCAAGTTCTTCAAGGATGTCCCCGTCACCTATGCCTTTACGAATCGCACTCCCGAGAAGAAACTGTCGAGAACCGCCTTCAAATGGCTGCAGGAACAGATCCAAAGTGAGTGTGCCCCTCCAAACCTCCCCCACCATGCGGTGCAGACGCGAAAACTACAGAGACGGCTTTGACTCACCACGCGCAAAACAACAGAACTCGGCAACATCTCCCTCTCCGACGAAGAGTACCGCTTCCTCAAGACTCACTGCACATACCTGACCGACGAGTACATCAACTTCCTCAAGGAGTTCCGCCTGCACCCGCGCGAGCAGGCCGTCGCGACCTTCACCACCATCGGCGAGGACACAGGCGCCGACTCCGACATTGGTGACCTGCACGTCGAGATCAAGGGAACATGGCTCGAGACCATTCTCTACGAGATTCCCCTGCTCGCCCTTACCTCCGAGGCCTACTTCCGCTTCATGGACACCGATTGGAGCTACGAGGGCCAGGAGGAGCAGGCCTTCGGCAAGGGCATGCGCCTCCTGGAGGCCGGCTGCACCTTTTCCGAGTTCGGAACCCGCAGGCGCCGCGACTACCACACCCAGGCACTCGTCTTCCGCGGATTGGTCAAGGCCAGCAAGGAGGCCGAGAAGAAGGGTCTGCCGGGTAAGCTCACCGGAACCAGCAACGTCCACCTGGCCATGCGCTTCAACATCCCCCCCGTCGGCACCGTCGCCCACGAGTGGTTCATGGGAATTGCTGCGATCCACAACGATTACAAGGCCGCGACGGAGCTTGCGCTGCGTTACTGGGTGGGCTGCTTCGGAGGCAAGCTCGGCATTGCCCTGACCGACACCTTTGGCACGCAGGATTTCCTGAGGGCCTTCAGCCAACCTGTCCACCCCATCGACGGCGACGAGAGCAAGTTCAGAAAGGCCGACGGCACGCTCCAGACGTACGCCGAGCTGTTCCAGGGCGTCAGACAAGATTCCGGCGATCCGGCAGACTACGTCAAGATGCTGCGCGAATACTACGACGGCCAGGGCATCAAGGAGAAGAAGACGATGGTCTTTTCCGACTCGCTCAACATTGAGAGGTGTCTCGAGTACAAGGCCATCTCCGAGGCCGCAGGCTTCGTCCCGACGTTCGGTGTGGGCACCTTCCTCACCAACGACTTCACCCACCTCAAGACCGGTACCAAGTCTGTGCCGCTGAACATTGTCATCAAGCTGAGCTCCGCCAACGGAAGGCCAGCGATCAAGATTAGGTAAGTATTACATGAAGAAGTTGGTGACATTTCCTGTTTCCCGATTGCTAACAAGCCGCAGCGACAATGCCGGCAAGAACACCGGTGACAAGGAAACCGTGCAAAAGGTCAAGAGCGAGCTCGGATACGTCGAGAAGGAGTGGAAGGGCGGCGACGAGACGCAGAGATGGGGAAAAGAGGGCGATAGCAAGGCATAGAGCTGGCTGTACGGTACTTTTTTCGGAGTAGAGCGCTTCTGGCGACAGATCCGGTGAGCAGGCGATGGCTGCTGCTCTGGGGAATATACAAAGACGGTAGTTGAGGCATCTAAGGGTGGCATTGGCGAGGCGTCAATTTTAACGACAATATGGATAGACGGCAAGAATTTATGAAGTTCATTACTACCTTGGCTATCGAGCAGTACCTAGTGGTCGACCACCATTGCGCATTCTGGAAATATTTATTGGTGCGACAAAAGTGAAAAAAGAGCACTTGAGGTTGCCGATAGACCAGCTGCAGGGTGAGAAGCGAGTTTGATACATCTTTGCTTTCGGTTCATGGCCAACAACTTGTCTTTGTATTAATTTTGCAATAAGAAACATTTAAATGACAAAGGCAGCTCTACCACTTCATTCGAATATCCAAGATGAGGCATATCAACACCTTATACTTGATGACATTGGGGACTGTCAACATGATGCGTCTGCTCTTTACTTGGTCAGCTCCTCTTGTAGCGGAAGTAGATGAAGCCAGGACGAAGCCAACCCCGAAGCAAAGAATGCGCTGTATCCGGGAAGGTGAACATAAATAACAGGATGCTAGACATCTGCCTTACTCTCCAAAGAGGAGGAGTAATTCTTGCTCTTACCAGCCTGTTCCATCTTAACAAGCTCAGGAAAGAGAACCTGCTCAGTCCTACTTCCCTCTTGGTGAAGAGCACTTGCCAACGTCTTCATCACTCTTTAGCCTCTTCCTTCCTCAGCCCTGTTAACCAAGGCAACGGAAGCCGCAGAACAGCTACTCGTAATAAGCCATATCCTCTTCGCCATCTCGTCCCGAGCTCTCTAAATCTCCCACCCACATCACAACACAACCTCTCATCCACTCTCGCTTCAATTTTGGCTCTCTTTTCTTGGAACCCGGTTTTGGAACTGTATTCCCACTGTCAGTCCCCTTCGAAACGCAGCTCGTCTTTCATTCATTCCATTTCTGCCGCTCTAGCTCCATCGCTCATTATGCGGCTTCCCAGTCTTTCGACACCATCACGTCGACAAAATCAGACGACAATCGTCGTAGGCCTCGTCATTCTGGCCCTCTGGACAGCGTTCGCTGTTTCTCAGGCAGTCCACCCACTACGTGACAGAAATAATGTGGGAACCATCGATAAACGACATGACAACCTCGAAAGAAGACAGATGTTTGGTCTTCCTGGTCTCCCTGTGGGCATCTTCGGTGGTGGTCAACCCGCTTCAGTCCCCCACCCAGGTCCCCCTGCCACCGACACTACTCTTCCCCTAGCTGCTCCGGCTGCTCCCAATAGTCAAAATGGCCCTCTCGGTCTCGGCGGATTGCTTGGCCAGACTATTCCCACTGGAGTTGTTCAAGTTGTTGCTCCTTTAGCTCCAATCCTAGGAGAAATGGGTGGTCCACCAGCTTCTGCGGTCAACCCAGGCAACATAGTACCCAGTGTAGTCAACGTTATACCAGTTCAATCACTGCTTCCGGTAGGCGGCGTTCCCGTTATTCCGATTGCTATTACAGATGGCCAAGGATCTCAAACTGCAGTCAATGATGGACTACCTAATCCCATTCAAAGCATAGTCGACGTCGGAGGCAACGTCGGTTCCATTATACCTTCAGTCCTAGGGGGATTTACTGGAATCTCTAATCCTGTTGCATCTCAAGCTGCCGGCGGTTTGCCAGTTCCTGTTGGTGCAGTTACTGCAGCCCTTGGCAACGGCGATATCATCACCAATATACCTCCAGGGCTGGCCGGCATTGTATCCTCCATCGTTAATGGCTTGCCACCAACCATCACCGCTCCTGCAGCCTTGTTTTCTCCGGTTCCCATCGGTCTCTCCGCACCCCTCGTCGACCCTATCATATCGAGTTTGAACAACGTGCAACCAATCTCAGTTGTCATGCCACTTTCATCAGCTCTTCCAGTCAATCTCAGTGGACTCAACGCACCCCAGCTTCCTGGCAGTCTCGGTAACATATTAGCCAGCGTCACGGGGGCTGCGGGCACAATTGTCACTGCAGTCGGTCAGGCCGCCGAAGTCATTCCTGGGAGTGGAAGCGTTGCCAGCTCAGCTTCGGTTACCATGGACTTAACCCAAGGCAGTATGTGCACCGTTGTCAACATAGCTAATGGGATTCCAACCTTCATTGTCACCCCGTGTTCCTCTACCGCTCCAACACCCCTCCAGACAACAGCTTCCCAGGGGTCTATTTCCACAAGTCCCATTGCCATTACGACAACGGCAAGTTCTGTCGGTCCTATCACATCTTCGGCTCAGCCACAAGATTCTAATAGTGGCAATGTGCCCCTGCCGCCTCAAACCACTGCGATAACCTCACAAGTAGTCCCAGTTACAACAACGCCAGTTTCTGTCAAGCCTTCTGCTATTATGTCTGCTGGTGGTTCTGATACAACGGCTTCGTCATCTGCAGAGGCGTCTCAGAACAACAGCAACGGACAGCCCCAGAACACCCGTGGAGCAGCTCAACCTCCTTCCCAGCCCCAGAATCCTGTATCAGCTCGTCCTCCAGGTAGGTTGGCATCGCCCAAGGTCTTGCTTTCCGAGCTAACATGTCCTACCAGCCAATTCACCACTTCCTGGCTCAGGCTCTATCGTGAGCCAGTCTGGCGGTGCGGCTCCTGATCCTGCCTCAACACCAGCTCACGCAGTCACCCCTTTCACAACAATTACAGTTGCAGGTCCTCCTGCCTCCCCACCTGCTGGCGCGCCATCCAATGGAAGCGGCGGCCAGGGTGCACCTCCAACACCACCATCCGGCGGGATCTTTGGAGTTGGCGAAGATCAAAACCCAGCGTCTGGGGTAATTTCTCCACCGCCTACACCAGTCATTCCAATCTCCGATTGTCCTGCAGTTGTACAATGCCAAACATGCCCAGTATCTCCCCCCAAGCCACCTGCAGGCTCTGCGCCTTGCCCAGGTCGAGGATACTCATGCTCAGAATGTATTGATGGTTGGTTCTGCCCCCCTCAAGAGACACCAATGCAACCTGCACCCTGCGGCATGGGCTGGCCTTGTTATCATTGTAAAGGCGGTTGGTATTGTGCTCCTTCCGTCACTGATAAGATCCCTTCAAGCGCCAACGATCCTCCAGTCATTATCATCAAGACTGTGACTGCTTTCGTTGTAAGTCAACCCACTACAGCTCCAGACAGTGGAAACCCAGGTAGTGGTTCTAGAAACGGCAACCCTTCCAATGTTGGACCTGCCAACAGTGCAACCACGCTCTGCTCATCAGCAAAGCCCAGCCAACCTACTAGTAATGGCAATGGTCCAGGCTCCGGCAAGCCATTAGCGGCCGACCCAAGCACCGGTTCTGGCAACGGACCAAGCAATAGTGCTCCTCCAGGTACGGTGGTACCTAAGGCTGCTCCCGATGTGTCTGGTTGGAAGCTTCTCGGCTGCTTCAAAGACTCTCCTATTCGAACACTCGATTGCGACCCATCCAACTATTTTGCTGGAAACATGTCCAATGAGAAGTGTGTTGCACACTGCAGCTCCAAGGGCTTCAAGCTCGCCGGTACAGAATACGGAAAGGAGTGTTGGTGTGGTAATGCATTCCAGATCGCTGAACGTCTCCCCCAAGAGCAGTGCAACGAAGTTTGCGACGGCTGTCCCACAGAATTTTGCGGAGGCAATTGGGCTGTTACCGTGTACAGTGCCGATGGCCAGGCCATGAACGTCCCTTCTGATGACGATACAAGCAACGGCACCGGCGATGGCGCGGGTGGCACTGGCAATCCGGAGACCGGAAACCCCTCGTCGCCTCCTCAAGGAAACTCACCTACTAAACCTCCAGTGACAACTACCCAGACGCCTTCTCAAGATTCTACCAAGCCTCCTGCTCCTACACAACAATCATCGCTTGCCCCTGCAAGAGGCCAGCCAACGACGGGCATCCCAACTTCAGCCAAGCCTATTGAGCTGTCACAGGCAGATGTACTGGCACTGCTTCAGAGCATAATTAACTCCTTGCCCAAGGGAAGCCCTAGTGGTGGGTACGGCGGCGGTCTAGGAGCAAGAGGCTCCGGCGCTGGTGGCAACGCCGCACCTGGTAATGGCAACGGTGGTCTCCCTGACCTTGGATCATTAATGGGACCTGGACCCGTGATCCCACTTGCAGGACTTACAGAATATGGCCCAGGGAAAAGAGCAGTGCCCAGCCGGAGTATGAAGCGGAGCCGCATCATAGGGCGTGCGCTCGCAGGCCGTGATGTCTTGGATTGTGTCGAAGGAGCTGATGGGAATGATGAAGATTGCGTTGGCGCAAAGTTTTAGGGTTCACAAAATGTTAGTTGACTTTATCGCATGTATGACTTAGAACTACTAATGATTGGACGACGGATAGAGTAAGGCTTATGGATTTTGAGGAACCGGGCTGTAGCATGCAATACTGCCTGAACTCGGGTAATGTAATCCACACTGCTTTTACATTCCTTGGACTCAATGTCCCACAAATCAATCGACTTCACTTATAATACTCTATCATGCTGTGTTATGGCACATACGACCATACAAAATGGAAAACTCGGGATCCTGTCCGCTCTCCCATAGATAAGCCAGTAAGGGGTTAATTGTCGACTGGGTCGACGGCGACCGGCGAGAAGAGTGGGTCCTCCGTCCAACGTGGACGGAGGCCTTTCGACGACTAGCTCCGTTCACCGTGCCGTCTTGCAAAAAAATAAATAATACAAAGTCAACTATATCTAGTATATTGTAAGACATAGAGTTATAAAAACCAACCTTAAACTAACGACTTAGCTGCCTTCTAGTAGGAAGGATTTTATTCGACCTCTTAACGACCAGGGTCCCAGGCTGCTCAACGAATATCGAATCTCCGCCGCTGCAGGCAGCAATGACGCTAACCTGATTTGGCCAATCAGGGTCCCCCATCAGTACGCCTTGCCTTGAAAAGAAGCTGACAGTAAGCACTAGGTATTTTATTCTTCTTTCAAAAGGTGCCTGCTTCTAACCTTCTCATCAAGTGTTCAAGGTCTACCTACGTGATCTATTTGCGAAACTTTGTTAAGTCCTAGTAAATCTACAAAGCACGTTTTACTATCCGAACTCCACTAGAAAGAATCCCCCACATTTTTTATAAACACCGAAGCCTAAGAGAATCATCCCGCAGCACTACTAGGATGTGGCTCATCAACACCAAGAGCCTGGCTCTAGTAAAAGTGTCGGAACCCTCATCGACCAAATATGCCATCCTCTCACATACCTGGGAAGGCGACGAGATTACATTTCAAGAATTCCGTGACCTTGAACCGCAAGAAGCAAGACAGAAGGTCGGGTATACGAAGATCGTCAAGACCTGTGAGCTTGCGCAAGAACGGGGCCTTGATTTTGCCTGGGTCGATACCTGCTGCATTGATAAGTCGAACAGTGCGGAACTCAACGAAGCCATCAATTCAATGTTCGCATGGTATAAGAATTCCACTGTTTGTTTCGTACATTTATCCGATTTAAAGACCCCAGAAGACCATTTGCTGCCGCGACTACTTTCAACGAAAGAAACAGGCCTCGAACACAGTTTCCCCTGCAGTCAGAGTAACTTTGGTGCATGTCGATGGTTTACCCGAGGATGGACATTGCAAGAGCTTATAGCCCCCGATCACGTGGAGTTCTTTGATTCTCAATGGACGCAGTTCTCTCAAAAGAAGGATTGCGTCGACATTCTAGCCGAAATTACTGGTATAAGCCAATCAGTCTTGGAGTCCTCTTCCAACTTGCGGCAAATACCAATCGCAGTGAAGATGTCATGGGCGGCACATCGGGAAACCAAACACGTCGAGGATCGCGCATACTCTCTTCTCGGTATTTTTGATATCAATATGCCCATCATGTATGGAGAAGGACCTGGGGCTTTTCGTCGCCTCCAGGAGGAGATTTCCAAGGAGTCAAACGACTTGTCCCTGTTCGCGTGGAGGAGCCCATTGCCAAGCAGTGAAGGATCTCAGGTGTTTAGGGGTATCTTTGCGAGATCCCCAAGTGAGTTCAGCAACTGCTCACAAATGCAGAGCCCTACAGATGGTCTGAAACCTGGTGGAAATTTTGTTTTGACGAGCAAAGGTGTCAGGTTTGACGCAGAGCTTTATCAGCATACAAAATCCACTTACACTCTGTACCTGGGGCTTACCATGGGAGGCAAAACACCCGTCTGCATCTTCCTCTCTCGTATGGGGGATATGTATGTCCGTACTGAGCCCTGGCTGCTGGAGTACGACCGGAACGTCGACGAACTTGAAAAGATGTTTACAGTCCATGTTCAAAAGGATGTAAGCTCAGAAGACGATGTGGTGCTTCGGAAAAATATCCGCAGGTGCTTTCATGTCGACATTGACCGGCCAAAATCTATCTACATTGAGCACATTGAACCGAATCCTGAGCATCTGTGGGATGCGGTCAATTGGACATTCCTCAGCAGCGACTCTGACAAGTCATTCGCCCACAGACTTACTCTTTTTGTCCGCTGCGTTCGCGGAGGGCTGAACAAGACTTTCCCATTGACTCTCATGGTGGGATGGTCTAGATTACGCCAACAGCCTTTTGCTGTGCTTTACGATGCTAGAATGGCAACAGACACAGACACGGATCTGTCGATTGCGCACACACTCCCACATAACTTCCCCGAGCTTCTAGACCTTTTGGATAACGATACCAAATGGGATCGCTCACACGAAGTCAAGTTTGAAAATGCTTTGTCGAGAGTTTTACCGAGCAAGGAATTTCAGTCCACGGAGGTACAGCTTCTACACAAGAAGCCAATGCTCCAGCAGCCTGGTAAATACAGGGTTACTCCCTATGTGGCCACATTAAATATAGAGCTGAAGACGCAGCAGACGTGGGGCGATAAGAGTACTGTGACGTATAGTGCCTGTCTGTCTGGTGAGCTGTCACAGACGGAAGCGAGCAAAATCGTGTAGCCTACATATTCAATACATTCAACAGTTTTAGACTTTGGAGAGTGTACACAAGCAGTGTATAATTTTTATACATGGACCTCATAATGTATGTGGGCGTCAGGAGTTTGAGATTGGTAGAGGCATTGGGCATTCATCGCGCTACCTACTTCCATTGCCTCAAACCTGCTCACCGCAAAGCAATAGATATTATCGCTAATGAATTTTCAGGCGGTGTGTTCGGGTAGTCGCTGACACCGGGCTCACAAACATGTCTTCCTACATCTGTCAGTGGGAGACGGGTGTGTTACGCGTGTCACCACACGCAATCACAAGGCGGCCTACAAGACGCAGTCGTTTGGCTCACTGCTTGATGTTTCCTACCGAATCCATCCATCTCCTGCTTTCATGACATCCCCAACAGCCATCCAACTTCTAAATTGTCTTACAGACCTAGGCAGTCTCTCCTTCCATTAGCCTATGCTACGAACAGGTCAGGGCAAGCAACTGTGGCCAAGGCAAAAATTCGGTTATGACAAATATGTTGTCATTATCCCCTGTTCACTATGTAGGTACGCCGTACAGTGACCAACTGCACTGATGGTATCAAAGCTGGATCCAGGTTTTAGTGTTGTGGGCCCACTGGCGCAGCAAACAAAAGTCCTACGGTTCGATCGCCATTTCAAAAGACTCATATTATCACCCACACCTCAAAAAACCGAGGCGAAAGGAATGGAATCTGTCTGTGAATTATAAAGTAGCAAATCCTTATGAAAAATACACGTCGTGAAAAACACTCTTGGTAGCTCAGGTAGGTACAAAGACATATTTTGTTTAGATGGCTGTCCGTTAGATAGATTAGCAGCCGCGAGTGTGCGATTAGTGGCCAAATCTGAGTTTATTCAGAGTCCTTCCCCCGACAGCGCATTTCGTGGGTATGGGTGAAGCTCTACTACCACTTGAGGTGTCAATCATCCCAAAGGCACTGAACCGGAATAACGCCATGGCCTTAGTTAAAAAGGACTAAACATTGTTAATCATATCATTATGCGAGAAGAGACCCAGCAGCTGCTTGCCTGGCCCAATAAGATAGTTGGGTAGTGTGAGCATTGAACACTCACTCGGCTATGGTGTGTTGTACAAGGGGAAGACCTGATTGGACACAGGAACGCACTTTGCCTTTGACAGAAAGTCAAGTGTTAGCACAGAAAATGAACCCAAAGCACACCTTTTACATAGCAGATTTTAGTTGAATCATCTATAAATACCATTTAAGCTTTCATTGCCATATAGCATTTACTACAATTCCCCAGTGTATTCTTTTATGACTCCCGCATATCATGCTTTGATACTAATCTTGGTGCTTTGTTAGTCTAGCTACTGTCCATCGTTGTTCTCGCACCAACCTGCAGATAGTGCAAAAGTTCTTATGTGGAGTGACAGCCAAGTATTTTGAGGGGTTCCGTCAGGCTGACTATTTTCCTCCATTTTTCCCTTTTTCAAGCGACATAAAACCTTCTGTGCAACACTGCTTTCCTTCCTAAACTTTTCAGACATCGATAAGTCGATTTCATCAACAAAATGCCGTCTGCCGTGAATCTCTGGGACAAGGCCTTTGACAGCCTAGCCCCCGACCTAAAATTGATCCTTAGTACTACAAAATCGCAAAGACGGGACATTTTGGTTAGTAATAACCGCTGCTCTCCTTCATCCTATACAGATCGAATCGCTGAATAGCCAAACAGGGGGCCGTTTTAAAGGAAGCTCAATCAAAACGGGACCTGTCAATCCAAAAGAGATGGAAATTTACGAAGCCGGACGGCGGCACAATAATTGTCAGAGATGTTCTAGAGAAGATCACTGGCTGGGTACACAGATTCATAGCCACTGGCGATACTGTGGTGCAGTATGACCCTGGACATGCGGCACTCCCCTGGGCAGCAGTGAGGTTTTTGCTTCAAGTAGCCATCTCAGAGATTCAAATGTTTGGAGCTCTTGTCGATGACTGCAAGTAAAGCCTTTCTATTGATAGCTCTTACAGTTTTCTGACCAATCTTGCAGTGGAATACATAACAGGCATGATGGTTCGTTACCGTACTTTTGAAAAGCTGTACTTGGGCGACGCCCACTCGGAAAACGAAACAGGCCTGCAGGACGCTTTGGTTCGTCTATATGCCGAAGTCCTGACGCATCTGAGCAATGCTGTCAAGTTCTTTGACGAGAGAACCTACGGTGAGAATCTCCTCCCCGACCTTTCAAGTTTGGACTGTCTGGAGTGACTAATATTTCCCTTCAGTTCGTCTACTAAAGAGTCCCTTCCGTACCGCCGACGTCGAGCGGGCAAAGGCGATGCACGATCGAGAAGTCGAAGTGGAGCAGTTTGCCAAGCTAGCAGATGCAGAGATTTTACGATCTCTTAACGCAACCTTCTCAAGACTATCTGTACAAATTTCTGTCACCATAACGGAGAAAAAGTACAATGATATTGTCGAGTGGCTATCCGTGACATCATATCACAGCCATCACCAGTCTATCTCACACTTGCGTCTGCCTAATGCTGGCCAGTGGCTGCTTGAGCACGCAGAAGTGGCCAGATGGCAATCGTCAAGCTCCTCGTCTCTACTCCTACTTCATGGCATATCTGGCTCAGGAAAAACAACATTATGCTCCGTCATTGTAGACTCTCTACTATCAAGAGCATCCAATAATCCTTCTGCAGCCCCATTTGCTTATTTCTATTGCGCAAATCCCGAGTTTGAAAAGGCTCGCCGTACTGCCGATGACATTATGAGAACCATACTGTTCCAGCTTGCTATTGATGGCTCGAGTTGCACGAATATGAAGGAATTCCTTCCTGACGAGTATGAACGCCAACTTCTCCGATCGCGGGCTGGGAAATCCGATATTCATAGATTGACGACGGCAGACTGCGTACGGCTCATTCTTGAGTTGGCCCAGCAGGACCCCATAACCATAGTGATTGATGGCCTTGATAGCGTTGATAACAAAGAGCGACCACGTCTCATTGAAGCGTTGGAAGAGCTGATCTCCACTGCAGAAAATGTTGTAAAGATCTTCGTCACGAGTCAGACTTCGAATAGCGCTTCAAATCTCCCAGTCTCAGAGTTCACAATTCAGATCACACAACAGGAGGCTAGGCAGGATATGGAGGAATTCATCGACCACTTGCTTAACACTGCCGTGGCGAGGAAAGAACTGCTTGAAGGGAACTTGCCACATGACACGCGCGAACTACTTCGACAAGGTCTTCTGGATGGGGCTGGTGAAATGTAAGCCTTTCATTTCTCCTTGGTGATCTCGACTTTCAACTTCCTAAGAATCGCGGTTTTTAGCTGTTGATGCTAACTTTCTTTGGGCATGGCCTAGGTTTCAATGGGCAAAACTTCAAATTGAGCGTATGTGCCGCGAAAAAGTCGAGGCCGATTTGATACGTGTTTTGAAGAACGAGATTCCTCAGGATATCAACTCACTATACCAGAAAGTCCTCCAAGAGATATGGAAAGCAGGAGACTCATCTCGTGAAGTTGCTATGAAGGTACTGTCGTGGGTGCTCTATATGAGAGAGCCGTTAACGCCCGCAGCCTTTCTTTCGGCGCTCAGACCTGAAGACGACGCAAGTTTGAATCTGCGGCAAGCACTTGCGACCTGTACAACGCTGGTCGCTCTAGATACTAATTGCAACGTGGTTCGTTTTACTCACCAATCCATTCAGGATTTCCTCAGCCAACACCCTCACTTCACGCCTGCCAAGGCCCATCAACTCTTAGCGTCTTGCTGCCTCGAAGCCTGTTTACACGGACCGGGCCTGGTATCGGAAGAGGGGTTCGGAATACCCAGCGATGACTTTTATGTTTATGCTGCGATGTTTTGGCCTGTGCATGCCGGGTTAGCACAACAAATGGATCATTCTTCCCTACAAGCGAAGAATCTGGTCCAGAGGATAATTGCTTTCGCCTTCGATGAGGATTGGGAGCTTACACTGTCTTTCGACGCCTGGGTGGACAATGTACGACAGGTTGCCTCTCTGCTTCCAAGAGATCACACCCTGAAGGTAAAGCTAAATGCAATACCTGCGATTGATCCTGGTGCCCTGTTTCCATTGAGCATATTTGGGTTCGACAATATTCTAACTCTGGCTTTGGCCCATATTCAAAACTTGGACGTGAATTGTTCCAATGAATTTGGTCAAACCCCTATTTATCTTGCATCCACGTTCGGCCATTTGAGGACTGTAAACTTGCTTTTAAGTCACGGGGCCCAAGTCAACGCCCAGGGTGGCAGCAAGGGAAGTCCTTTACATGCGGCATGTTTTTGGGGTCACTTGGAAGTAGCGCAGAGTCTACTTCGGCATGGTGCTCAAGTATCTTGCGGTTCAGTCTTTAAAACTGCTCTTGATGCTGCTTGTCGAGGAGGAAGAGAGGATGTGGCACTTTTCCTTTTGGATGTTGACGCTTTGATTGAGAGCTATGATGAGGCTCTGAATGACGCAGCTCTTGTTGGCTTCATTAGAGTTGTCGAACGCCTTCAAGTCCACTACTTCACATCTTCAGACGAGCAACAACCTGACAAAATTAGAAAGAAGATACGAAAGGCCATTAAAGGTGGACAAGTAGGTGTTCTTCGACAGTTTCTCAACTGCAACACGAAAAACCGGAGTTTCTTAAGCCATGATTCAGTCGCGCTGGCAGCTTTGTACAATCACAAGAGTATGGTCGAATTTCTCCTGGATCTAAAATTGGACCTGGAGGCTCATGGGGATTTTGGGTCACCCCTGAGGACAGCCTGTCTTTTCAATCATCGTTTCATTGTCAGGCTGCTCTTGGATAGAGGGGCACGGATCAATGCTTCTGGACCTCTAGGTCATGCACTTCAAGCCGCGGCTTTGAGCGGCCACACTTCCCTCGCCAAGCTCCTTATAGAGGAGGGAGCAGATACCGATCAGCGGTCAGGATTCTACGGGACAGCGTTGCAGGCAGCTGCGTACAACGGGCACCTGGATACGGTCGAGCTTCTGCTTGAGGCTGGTTCCAAAACGTATGATCAAGTAAACGAGCTTGAAGCTCTTCAGTTCGCTGCTGAAGGCGGGCGCCAAGACGTGATCATGCTGATTTTGAGAAAAACAAGGAATCTAGCGCCTATTAAGCCACTACCGCCGGCGATGGGGAGTGCGAATCCTCGGCCCCAACCCTTGCAAAAAACGCTCCGTTGGAACCTGCCGTTCTCTGGCGCTGTTTCAGCTGGGGCGCCTATATCTCGTGCCAAGAAAAGGCCCCCAGTCACCAAAGGGACTCTTGAGGCTTTAAGCAGCACAGGAAAAACCCTTCCGCTGAACCAAGTGAGTGATTTTGAAACTAGGCGCGACGCCTTGATTTCAAACAGTCTCTTGATAGGATCAGCTTCATGCGGTCATCACAAGACAGTTCAATGGTTGCTAGAACAGCAACAAAATAGTCTCGAACCGTGGTCCATTTGGAAAGATATTCCTGAAGCCATTTCGGCTGCCTCGGCTAATGGACACCTCACTACCTTGTACATCCTCTTCGACTTCATCTCAAATGAAACATCAAGAGCTACTATCGGACTTCCCGAGTACGAGGCAGCTGGTGACGTGGACAAGGCCATTGAACTGGCCAGCTGGCACTTGAGTGGTAGCGAGATTACCAAAATCAGTACAAAGTACAGCAGAGCGGCACACAAGTACGGTCTTGTGCACGTTACAATAAGCGAACTACTCGAAGACTTCTCGGTCAGTTGTGTGACGGGGAACCTTCATCTAGTAAATTCAATACTGCTTTCTGAGCATCAAAAGCTACTTTCAACTTGAGACCTGGACGGCGGCCTCCAGCTTTGCGGCTTACACGGACAGACAACATTGGCAACTCAACTTCTGGAATCTTTGGCTCTGAAAGATCGCATGCCGCAATCAGGCGTGGAAGCGTTTGTTTCTGCCGCTGCGGGTGGTTCCGTGGAAGCAATGCAGCTTTTTACGTCTCACTGGAAGAATTTGGATGCGAACAAGGAAGCAGTATGCCGAGCGCTGGTGGTGGCTAGTGAACATGGTCATTATACCGCAGTCCGTTACCTCGTTCAGGATCTCGGAGCCCCGGTGAACCATTGCGCTCCCGACCTTGGCTTTGGGCCCCTGTTAAGCCCTACGGGAAATAGACTCCGAGTGACCATTGAGTACAGCTCGGGTTGGATGACGGTTGAAGGTAGACACGGAGTTTATAACGTGCAAATTGCACCAGACCGACATTGGGACTCACCAGAAACCGATACAAGGGTAGAGCAGTGCCCGAAACCTCTGGTCATATCGCCCCTCCAAGCTTGTTTGCAAGGCTATGCCTACAATTTCAACAAAAACCTCGAGTATTCTACGTTCACACAGTTCTCTCTGTTGGAAACAAAGGAATTGGGAGAATGGTGCAAACATGAGCAGCAAAAGGTGATTGACTTCCTACTACAGCAAGGCGCTGCACCTAACGACCTGGGGGGACAGAGAATGTTTCCTATCCAGGTCGCTGCGAAGTACTGCTCCGGGAAGATACTAGAGTCTTTGATCTCAGCGGGCGCGGATGCATCACTCACGGGGCTTGATTTGGCCCCCGGTCAAGTTTTACGCGAGGACACCTACCCAAGTCATGCCGAAGCCCGTCGGTACCATTTCAGTTCTGCTAATACCGCTCTCTTCGAAGCCGCTGGACGTACCGCATCCGCCTCACACGTTCGAACTTTGTTGCTGTCTGGCGTAACTCTCCCGGAAGACACTGACGGGAAAGACCGGCTTCTGTTTCAAGCTTTGCAATACATCGAGAACGACTTTCACAAACATATGCTAAAGAAAGAGGTTAGACCTGAATCACCATATCATTATCATCATCACCGTTTCGTCATGGAAGAACCTATCTCGGGTGAACTCGGCAGGGTGCTTTCTATCCTCTTATCTCACATACCCGGGATAACGACAACAGGCGTCAAATGGACTATTGCCTTGCAGATGGCCGCTTTCCAAAACCAAAGCGACCTTGTTAGTTGCTTAATATCCAGAGGAGTAAATTTGAACTCAGTTGGAGAGTACTACGGCACATGCTTGCAGGCCGCAGCTCGCTGCGGTCATGTCGCAATGATGCGGGAGCTCATAGACGCTGGAGCCGACGTGAACGCAACGGGTGGATTATGGCACACGGCTTTACGAGCAGCTTTGGTGAATGGCAACGAAGCGGCCATAACCTTGCTCCTCGACAACGGGGCAGACGTAAGACTCGAGGATGATGAGGGGTTACAGGATTATGAATTCTCTGAAAAGGAGTTACTGAACACACTACAGCTAGCCTGCGAGTCTGGAAAAGTAGACATCGTCCGGCGCCTCTTGGCACACGGCGCGGATGTGACTGCCCGTGTCTCGGGAGGATCTCAGCATCCTTTGATAATGGCGGCACATCAGGGTTCAGTCGCCATGGTCAGAGACTTGATAAACGCCGGAGCTCCGATAAACATCTGTGGGGAACCACTCAGTCAATACGAAGGGCCTCGCCCCGAGAATGGCAGTCCTCTGCACGCAGCCAGCGTTGGGGAGCATTTGGAAGTCATTGACCTTTTGCTCCTTTTAGGGGCGGACATTGAGAGCCCGGGCAACGGTTCAGAAACACCGTTATCTGCCGCAGCCTCCAAAGGAAAAATTACAGCTGTTGAGCGGTTGATTCAAGCCGGCGCTAAGACAAACGATAACGCAGCTCTGGAGAAAGCCCTTCGAAATGGGCACCTAAACGTGGTGAGAAGCCTCATCAAGTCGGGAGCCGACCCGATTGGTGTCGTCACCCTAGCATGCGAACTTGGGAACCTGGACATGATTGAGTTCCTGCTTGATAAAGCGCTGTCCAGCAATTCGACAGAAACGGTACTTGACAAATCCTTTGCGGCTGAAGATCTCGGCGAATCAGTGACGCGAATCCTCATTCAATATGCCACTCCCACTGCGTCTCAGTTCTGTCAGGCTTGCGCGACTGGCTCAGAGTCTTCGGTTGAATTCATGTTGCGACAAACTAGTGTCAACGTCAACAGCCCTTGCGAGTCTTCTGGCTGTTTTCCTCTGCAACTCGCCGCCTTTCACTTGAGATCGGATATTGTTCGAGTTCTCTTATCTCATGGAGCGGATCCGGATGTTGAGAGCTTTACCCATGGAACTCCTTTAAACACAGCATTGAAGGCTTGCGCTGCTCCAATCCTCAGGTCGCTGACCAGTGGAGACTTCCGCAGCATCATTGATAGGTTATCCCTCCCAGCACCTCGGGATAAACCGTATCCGTATTCCGACTCATACCTAGACGATGATCCTCATCGACCAGACAGCCTACTACTCAGCAAGTGCAGCGATATCGCGAAGCAGTTGATAGAGCATGGAGCAGACGTTCTTCGGCCGGAAAGGTATTTGGGACCGCCTTTGCATCTTGCCTGTCTGCTCGGAGATCAATCTATCGCTGAATTGCTCATCGACAAAGGAGCAAACCTCAACGCAACGGTGGGCCATTTCCAGACACCAATATTCGCTGCAGTGCACGTCAGAGCTTTTGATGTCATACCGTTGCTCCTCGAGCGTCAGACTGATTTGGGATACGTACACGGTGAATATGGAACCCCGTTGCATCACGCTTGTAGACTGCAGGATGGCTGGTCCGCACAGCAGCTACTGGAAAACGGCGCAGACGCCACTATAGCAGATGCTCAAGGCTTGACACCATTGACGCTTGTGCTTCAGACCGAGCTTGATATTCGGCACTCGACGACCGAGAGAGTACCACGATATGAGTGGGAGACCAGCGCGCTGGATGCCTTGCTTGCTTTGGCCAGCCCGATTCATGTTTCTGATGATGATTTGCTAAAGGCAGCCAACTTGAGCCGTGGGAACGAAACGGCGACCAACGTTCTCAATCGACTCCTATGCCTCGACGGGAGCAGGCTTACTGGCTCGTCACGGCAACCAATCGACGCCATCGACATGTTACTAAAACACGATTCATCATCAATCGACATATCGCTACAGGCGTTTAAAAATATTTTTCAAACGGGAGAGGAGGCCGCTACACGCCTACTTGACTTGTATGAAAGATATGCAAAGCGCTTGCCTTTCTCAGACGATGTACTAATAGGCCTGGACATTAACTACCATTCTGTGAAGAAGCTGGTTGAAGATGTACAGGAAGGCTTGGAGCCCGCCCGGCCCGGACGTCGGACACGAAGGGCCCGCTGGCGACAATAAGTGACCTCTAGCTCCGATGCCTCCCAAACGAAACGTGCATCCCGGGTTCCACATTGATGATAAGCAGCTAGATATTAAAAAAAAAAAAAAAAAAGTGCTGTTTTGACGTGGGAGAGGAGGAGGTAGCAGATAGGGGGTTTAGGCGAACGGGTAGGGTAAGGAAGTCGTCTTTTAATGGAAGTGAAGGGGGTTCTCAGGAATGTAGGCTGTTAACTTACCACGTTTGATCAATCGACGATTACTGCTGACCTTGGATCTAAGCCCGCAAGGCCCAACCGTTTCATAATGAATCTTAGTTATCCTGCTGCTCCTTCGGGATTCGACGACGAACCCTCCGGTATACAGCTGACCTGACTTACCCCCCTCCCGCCTTGCTGAACTGACGTACACAGGTGTGGTCTGCTTTTATTTCAATGAATTTATAGAAGAGGGTAGGCCAGGTCAGCTTAAAAAGGCTCACACTATATCTGTATACTTAATCAAGATAGTATTGCATAAACTATCTTTACAATAAGAAAATAAGAATAAGGGAACTTTGCTTGTAATAAGGAGCTAATCTAAAGAAAGTAATGAGCTTATGTATTTAAGCTTTAGTTGGTTAAAGAAATAATAGCTAGCTAAGAAAGAGAATTAGGCTAGGTATATAGTTAAGATAATATGCACAGCGTAAGGGCCGGATTGGTAGTTGAGTCAGTGATGACCAGCGAATACCTAGTGTTGCATGCCTTTTTTGGTTTTGTATTACAGGGAAAACTCATTTTGAGGATTCAGGTTAGAACCGCAGTTGACAAAGTGAGGTCCTCCAGACCAACATGCTTTCACTGTATAGCGTGTGGAGGAGCTACCAAAAGCCTCGAGCAAATAAAATGTGCCTTTCAATAGTGCGTGATTTGATTGTTCTTTTAAATTTTATTCTGTTTAGCGCAAGAAGATGCAGAATCTAGCGCAGTTCATGGGTCATCATCCATGCTTCAGCCGGCATAGTCCATGCCTAATGCTTCGTATCCCTTCCTCACGGGCCAAGCGTGTTGGCTCTTCCACTCTTCCAAAACGCCTAAGAGGGCGGCTCTCTCCCACGGATCATTAAAGTAGTCGCCGTACAGCATGATTCCCATCCCTGCTGTGGTAAGATTCGGTGCTGCACGCAGGTGGTGTAGCGCGAGGCCACACAGCTCAAGGATCATGGCCCGAACCTGGTGCTCTGCGTCTCTCTGGGCTCGCCTATTGGATCCTTGTCTACTATTTCCACGTCAGTCTATTTATGGAATTGATAATGTGACAGAAGGAAGGGGTGGCATACTGTAAACTCGGGTCCTCGGCTACCAGAATCATCCTCGCCAAGATGAAGTGTTGCTGGGCGGTGACCTCGACGTCGGATCCGTACCAGACGAGGGGGAAGATCTCCCCCCGGGATCGATCTGCCGGTCGCTGCGTCAGGGGGATGAATTGGCGTGTGCTCTCGAGAGCTAGTATCTCTTCGTCGTGTTTTAGTCTTTCTGAAAGGAGAGAAGGTCAATTAGACTCCGCCAGAATTATGAAGTCATGTGGCGATCTCACCCCATTCCACCTCTGTCCTGTCGCCCATCTTCCACTTGGCGACTTCGGACATGAACCAGATGAGCTTATTCGCAAAGCATGCCTCCCGCTCGAGATCTGGCGGCTGGGCGGTTATTTGCGGGGACCGCTCCAGCGTCAGGGCAAAGTATATCTCCTGTCTTACCGCGACCCAGTACACTGCGCTCAGCAGGCCGGACCACCTCGACGGGGCAGCGCGCAGTATCGCTTTGGTGATGTCGAGGAAGTTCACATTGCCATTCCCAATGCCAAAGTCGGAACCTCCCGAACCCTGTGCGTCTTCGGGGTCCATCTCCTCGAATTGACGGAGGATGAGGGCGGCAGCGGCGAGGTTTTCGCGGTACTCTTCGTCCTGCGTACGGGAGACCTCGTGTAATGCAGGTATGCAGCGGAGCATGTACTCGAAGGCGCTCTGGGGCGTGAGGTCCGGGAGGGGTTGGTTCTGGTACATGATGACGCCGCCGCCGCCGCTGCCACTGGGGTCCACGCGGAAGCGGGGGTGCCGGCAGAGATGACGGGCGGCGACAGCGAAGACGGCATCCCTAAGCGGCTGACATTGCCGTGCGCGTCGGGCGACCACGAGCTGGAAGTGTCTCTCGTCGTCACAGAGATCAAACTAGATTAAAAGTGTTAATAAGTCGACTCACGCGCCGGGCTTGTGTGAGGCACGTAACCCATGGAGAGAGCTCTTCTACGAAGTACCGTAGGAGACAGGCTTCTTGGATGCCGTCGTTTGGTGTTGGTTGGGGGGGCTGAAGGCCTCCTACGATGGCGGCGTCTTCGACGCTAGGCGGATGGTAACTGTCCGCTGAAGGGGAGAACTGGTTGACGGCCGTCACCTGCTGCTGACCTGTCGACTGAGGACTCGATAAGGGCGGCTCGTCATCCCTGAGACGGACGCGTCCTGTAGGTAGGACTGTTGTCGACCATGGCGACGCGCCTGAAGTACCGGAGCCAGCTGGCGATACCGGGAACTGACTGCCACTGCCGTCGTGAGGTGCGGTCTCGGTCCTCCGTCGCTTGATGGGGGCAGGCAGAGGTTGGGCCTCTTCGAGCCTCCTCTCGCGAATGAGGAGATCGGGGCCGTCAGAGAGATTGCGTACTGTCTCGTGCAATACACTGCTCACGGCAAGTCGAGTCTCGGGTAATGAAGAAGCGTTGCTGGCGGGGGACTCATTGCTGGCATCCTGAGGCTGGCTGCTCTCGCCGGCCTTTTTGTTCGCGCGGCTATCAAAACGGACTGAGTGAGGACATCATCATCAGACAAGTTCGATGCTGGAGGCAAAGGTACTACATGGAGATACTTACATGCCCGCGGGCGACTATTCACCCAATGTTGGTCCCTAGTGAAGGCACCTTCGTAATTGGCGGTAGAGCCCTGGCGGAAAGAAGACTTTCGTTGAGGGCGATGACATTCGACGCCGCGTTTCTCACACCTACTACAGCGGGGCTGCTGGTCATCGCCTGGCAGTAGGGAACGAATCCAAGGGTCAGAAAAGTTGAACAAGTCAGATACGCGGAATTGGTCTGACAGACCGGAGTCAAGGCCGGACCCCCTGACGTGGCTCGGCCAATACCCCGGGAAATGGGTCTAGGAAACTCACACTTCTCATGCCTCTCTGAACAACGTTGACGTCAGTCCGGTGGAACCTGTCAAGATGGAGTCACGAGGGTGACGGGGCCAAAGAACCGAGTGGCCAGCAAGGACAACTTACCTTTGCATCTTGCGCAGGGCTTCGTGCCGCTTGGCATTTCCTGTGGGGGGGGAGGCCGTGGGAGAGGTGCCCCGACTCTCCTCCTGATGCTGCAATCGCTGCTAAGGCCCCAGGATGCGAAGGTTGAGTGATGAGCGTCGCCGATGCGGCTGCGACTACTGCAAGACAAGATACCGCCTTGGACTCGGATTGGAAAGTCTCGCCTGGGCTGCGTTCGTGGAGGTGGAGGTCAATAAGGGTGGCGGGAGCTGGGATAGGCGGACTAAGGAAGAGGATGAAAAGAAGCGGAGCAGCCTCATCGGCGAAGCCTGCTCAAAAGAGTAATACTCTTTTTTAAAAAGGAGCGACTAAAAAAGAAGGGGAAAAAATAAGAGGAAAAGAGGGTCTGTGGGGAAAGCTGTGGTCGTGGCGTTTGGATGGGAGATGTTGGCTAGTAGAATGAAGCACAGATTGTGAACAAAAACGTGCATTAAGCGGCCAAGGGAGGGGAAAAAGAATTTCAATAGAATAAAAGGCAACTGGTCTTATGTGTCGGATTTACCCCGCACTTTCCCCCCCGAATAAAAGCCCAGAAACAACCAGGAGCGCCCGACTAGCTAGGACGATCTAAATCTGGGAAGGAGCTACTGTAATAGTGAAAATTACCTGATTCGGCAGGTGGCGCCGATGGTAGATCCCGAACATTGTGTTTCGAAGACGGTTTGGGGAGCTTTACGAAACTCCAGACCGCCGAAATAAAAACAAAAGATAACTTGGTATTCGGCATCCGGGGAAAATGGATACTGACCGCCTTGATCTTGTGGTCTATAGCTATATTCCACATGCCGAAGCATACCGAGAAGGGAAGGAACCGCCGATGTTAAAAGAGGCCGTCATATCGCCCATCCAGAGTTTGGAGAAGAAGCTCTCTACTGCACTCACTGCTCAACCTCTTCACTCTTCATTAAGAACCATTCCTCAATACTCAAATACACATTCTAGTGTCAATTGACCTCCTGGAACCCCGAGATCCTTCCTCAAATTCTTTACCAATCTTCGCAAAAGAAGAAACACACATCACAATGGCCGGAGAGAAGCTCAATGTCGCCGTTGCTGGCCTTGGCCGCATGGGTATGTCTCACCCCATATTACCCCGGACTTTGAGCTTCAGACCTTCGGCGAAGGCGGAGAACTCATGAGCTGATGTGGGCTGTTGTTTGCTAACTCGGTGAACGCAGGATTGCGCCATGCCAGACACTTTGCAACCCTTACCCCCAAAGCCAACCTCATTGCCGTCAGCTCACCGGTTCAGGCGGAGCTTGATGCCGCCGTCGCCGAGTTTGGCCCTCTGAGAACCTACCTCGACTACGATGAGATGCTTCGCAAGGAGTCGACCCTGCAGGCTGTCATTGTCGCCAGCGCAACCACTGTACACGCCGAGCAGGCCATCAAGGCTATTGAGAAGGGCCTGCATGTCCTGTGCGAGAAGCCCCTCAGCACCAACGTCGATATCGTATGTTCGCATTGCCTGCCTGCCTGTCATTCGCCGTTTCCACCTACCCGGCGTGAGCTTTACATGATTGACTAACCACCTCTACTACAGTCACAATCCGTCGTTACCGCCTACGAGAAGTCCCTCCTTAAGAACCCCAACCAGAAGGTGATTTGCGGTTTCTCTCGCAGATTCGATGCTTCCTACCGCGACGCCTACCAGAGAGTTGCACGGGGTGACATTGGTGCCCCTTCCGTCTTCCGCTCCCAGACCTGTGATAAGCTCGACCCCTCAGGCTTCTTCGTCGACTACGCCGAGTTCAGCGGTGGCATCTTTGTCGACTGCTCCATCCACGACATTGACTTGGCTCTGTGGTTCTTTGGCGAGGACAGCGTCGTCAAGAGCGTGGCCGCCATTGGCATTACTGCCGTGCAGGAGGGTCTGAGAAAGCACAACGACAGAGACAATGCTGTCGCAATTGTTGAGTTCTACGTAAGCTTATTTCCACAGTTGCTGCTGCACTTGTAGAGCATCAGCTAACCACATACAATAAACAGGGCGGTAAGATCGCGCAGCTCTTTTGCTCCCGCATGATGGCCGCTGGGCAGGAGGACACGACCGAGATCTTCGGTACCAATGGCAAGGTGGCCGTCAACACACAGCCCCAGCTGAACCTGGTCAACCTGTACGAGCCGACGGGCATTCGCCGCGAGATCCCTCCCGACTACTACGGCCGCTTCCGCGAGGCCTTCATCACCGAGGCCAACGAGTTCACGGCGTGCTGCCTGAACAACACGGAGCCTCCCATGAAGCTCGTCGGCGCCGTGAACGCCGTCAAGATTGGCTGCGCGCTGCAGGAGAGCTTGATCACAGGCAAGAAGATTGAGTTTGACGAGACAGGAAAGCGCATTGAGGCTGCTCGCCTATAAGCGACAATAGAAAAGGGGGGGGTTGAATTTATATATAGATGTCTATCCACGGACTGGGGGTATAGACGCAGACGCGCGGATGTGGTGGCGAAATGGGAAACGGTCATGATGATGATGTCGTTTTTTTTGTTAAAAGATCTCCTAGTCTAGTTCCTTGCATATTTAGACGCGTGGGTGGGGGGAACAAGGTCACGAGGATTCGGTATTGCACGTTAGATGAGAAAAAAAACAACGTGTTTCTTCGTCATAATCTGGCCCTAACGTGATTGTCGGACAGTTTCCGTGGTCATGGGTCCAAGCTGCGCATGGTGTTGTTTCGTTGCTAGTGTTGGCTGTTTTGTTTTCTAGTTCTTCGTCAGAGTTCTTGCGCATTCTACTCGTAGAAACTGCAATCTCATCACGAATGGGTCGTCAATGACGTAGTTTCAAGGGCCCTGGTCAATGGTGTTGACAATACTGTCTGTTAAAAGAAAGGGAAACAAAAATGAGGCTCAGATGGGGGCCTGTTTGATGATGGCATCGTCGGGCCCCCTGGTCTGGTCTGTTAGCAGGCAGTGGGTAATCGTGTGCGCCTGAATTGGAGACGGACGTAGCCAATGGAGTAGTAGTCCAAGTCATTTACTGCCTATTCTTTCCCCCCCTTGCTATTCCCATGTAAAATGTGTGGCCCTGGTTACCGCAAGATTAGAACAAATCGGGAAATTTCCTATTCGGGGGAGTAAGTTCAGTGCGGGCGGGATCGGAGGAGGGATTGTCCTTGGTGGGGGGCCCGTTCCTGAATCTCTCTCTCTTCTTTACGATTCCTTTTAATCTCAGCCATGTGTGCATGGCCACATTGGACTGTAAGGAGTGTGCAGAAAAGGGGTGGAGGATGTGAAATAATTATGGTAATGCTATATTCTGGCACATCATGTCTGAAAGTCGATCCGATGACCCCTAAATGCTTTTTTGTATGGTCAATGGGATTTCCCTTCTTTTTCGACCGCATTGAATATGCGTGTATTCGGAGCTCGAATCCCGCGGGTTATCCAACCAATCAATGCCTGGAACAGAGGGCCGCATTAGCGAGTCCCGAGGGTTATGAAGCTTGGCCTTTTTTCCTGTGTACACTTCTCCATGATTGGACCGCCGGAATCTTTACGCCGATGCGGGACCCCCATCCCGACTCACCCCGGGACCCCCGGCAGCCTTTGCAACTATAGGAATACGTACGGATACGTAACGACCAACAATTAATGAGCAATGGGGCCCATGTCGTCATAGCAAACTCACAGACAAACCAGCACTATATCCCCCCCCCACCTCTTCCTCGGGCGCAGCATCGTTCATCCACGTATAGGCCACACCGGGTTAAAGATAACCCGTATTTCATACATAGTATGTCCCCAATATGTCTACGCTCAGACATTTCCAGTCCAGCCAACCAAGTGCCCCTGTTCTTGTGCCTCTCTGTCTCAGAAGGCCAACGAGCAAAAAAAGAAGGGTAAAAAGAAAAAAATACAAGCCAGGGTATTGGAAAATGGTCCCGCCAGTGTGCCAGTCGACCGGGGTATTCGTAGTACACTACGTACTAATTAGTCTACGCTCCCCCCCCAAGCCTCATCGCCGACGGGTTCCCAAAGAGGTAAAACTTCGGCCACAAGCCCGCTGTCAAGACCATGGCCCAGAATCCCCCAGCCGCCGATGGAAGGGGGCGAGGGTGAGGGGAAGACTAAACCAACTAATTACTATCCCTTCTTTGGTACTCTTCGCTTTAACCCTCTTTGCTCACCACGTACAGACCGAACGTGTTCCCACCCCGGTTTTCTCTCACTCTCACTCTTTCAGCTCGACGCTAGTAATGTCTCTCTCTCACTCTCTCACTATGTTTGTCTCTCTTTCGCCGAAGAATTGGCTCGAGTTCCACTTTTACTTCCCTTCCCCGTGGGGGAGGATGCACAAGCAAGGACCGTGTTCCACTCTACCGGTGGAGAGCGTTAATGCTAGGGGGGGGGGGGGGGGTGGTCTCTTACATACGTATTCGGCGGGAAATGACAGAAGCATGGCACGAACTCTCTCTCTCTCTCTCTCTCTCGCTCTCTCTGACGCCCTCACGCCCTGACGCCTGGCCCCCCCCCTAGTCTGTAAACGGATGGGTCCCGTCCATTGTCCAAGAAATCCTGTTCTTTGCTGTCCGCCTTGCTTACTCTCAAGTGACTTGTTCTCAACACCAAGCACTGGATATAAACTATATATAAGAACCTCGTCGTCTCACCTGACTTCGGATCTCGTCTCATTTTTTATCCACGCACCACTCCTCCCATTCCTTTCTGAATACTACCCTCTGCGGTGTGACTTATAATATCATCGTGTCCACCTGATCATCGTCAATTAAACAAAACACAACACAGTTAACACACAAGTTCACGATCATCAACGGCGGATCATGTCGACCACATCAGACTCACGGACCCTCAAAAAGGTCTCGAGCGCCGACAACGGTCACGGCGAGCACGTCGAGGACTTCATCGAGGCGGCCGACATCAGCCTCTCGCCCGCCGAGGATGTCTCATACGGCCGGGGCGGCGTCCGCGGCCTCTTCGACTCGCCCTTTGTCGGCGGTGCCGCCCTGCTGGCCTCCCTCGGCGGTTTCTCCTTTGGCTACGACCAGGGCGTCATCTCCATCATCAATGTCATGAAGCAGTTCCACGAGGTCTTCCCCGACGCCGCCACACCCTTTGGCAAGGGCTTCATGACTGGTATGCTCGAGTTTGGCGCTTTCCTTGGTTGTCTGTTCATGCCCACCCTCGCCGATAAGATTTCGCGAAAGCGGGCGTTGACGGTTGTCGTTGCCATTTTCAACATTGGTGCTATTATGCAGACTGCTGCTCCGTCATATGGTGTACTGGTTGCTGGTAGAACAATTGGTGGTATCGGTGTTGGAACTCTGGCCATGGTAAGCACACCCTCATAAACACCACGAACTCATGAAGATTTCAAAAACGCTAACGACTGTGAAATAGGGCTCGCCAATTTACATTTCAGAAATCGCACCGCCAAACCTTCGAGGAACCCTCCTAGTCCTCGAATCCATCTCCATCGTCACCGGCGTCGTCATCTCCTTCTTCATCACCTACGGCACGCGACACATGGCCGGCGAGGTCTCGTTCCGACTGCCCCTGGGCCTGCAGATGGTCTGCTCCACGCTCCTCGGCATCGGCATCAACTTCTACCCGTACTCGCCGCGCTGGCTCGCCCTCGTCAACAGGCCGCAGGAGGCCCTCGACTCGCTCGTGCGCCTGCGCCGCCTCCCCGCCGACGACCACCGCGTGCAGGCCGAGCACCGCGGCATCATCTCCGAGGTCGAGGTGCAGAAGATCGTGCAGGAGCGCAACCACCCGGGTAAGGGGTTCTGGGCGCTCGAGTTCCTCGGCTGGCGCGACCTCTTCAGCAGGAAGCTCTGGCGCCGCACCGCCGTCGCCGTCGGCATCGCCTTCTTCCAGCAGTTCTCCGGCATCAACGCCTTCATCTACTACGCGCCCACGCTCTTCCAGTCCCTCGGCCAGTCCGAGGAGATGGCCCTCATCATGTCCGGCGTCTTCAACATCCTGCAGCTCGTCGCCGTCGCCGCGTGCTTCTTCATCATCGACAAGGTCGGACGCCGGCCCCTCGCCATCTTCGGCGGCCTCGGCGGCGGCACCGCCTGGGCCATCATGGCCATCCTCACGGGCGTCTACTCCAAGAACTGGGCCGCCAACCCGGCCGCCGGCTGGGGCGCCGTCGCCATGGCCTTCGTCTTCGTCCTGCTCTACGGCATCTCCTACTCGCCGCTCGGCTGGATCCTCGCCGCCGAGGTGTACCCCAACTCGCACCGCTCCAAGGGCGTCGCCCTCGGCACGGCGACCGTCTGGCTGTGCAACTTCATCGTCGGCGTCGCGACCCCGCCCATGATGGACCAGCTCGGCTTCGGCACCTACGTCTTCTTCGGCGCCTGGTGCTTCATCGCCTCCGTCTGGGCCTTTTACCTCGTCCCGGAGACCAAGGGCAAGACCCTCGAGCAGATGGACGAGGTCTTCAAGGACACCTCGGCGCAGGAGGAGAAGGAGATTATCAGGCAGCAGATTGCGGCCTCCCGCGGGCAATCCCTCGGCGGAGCTACCATGGAGACCACCAAGCTTTCTGTTTAGAGAGGAAATGTTCAAGGGGGGAATTTTACATCATTAGGCATGCGTTTTTTTGCTACATTCAGGGATAGTGGCGTAGATGGAGTTGACACTTTGTGTGCGTTTTGTACCAATAGTTTTATTATGATTACGGGATACGGGATACGAATCAAAGATACCACTTTTTCAACCCCAACATTTGTCTGCCTCCATCTTTCGTGATGTGCTTCGTTTTTCGCCTTCATGTTGGACTTTGTTTGGGTATGTCGTGAATGACGATACGTGGTCTTTCAGGATGAACTCGGTTATGGGACACACTAAGTCGGGCCGGATCGGATATCCACCTCACGACAGAGCCGGAGGCGCGGCTGATGTACAATGGACCATTTCCGTACGCTACCTATACGCTAAACCAGTCTACCCAACCACATATTCGCGAAATCACTACCGACGTTAAAGAAAAGAGAAGGGGGTGGGGAAGGTCCCAAGGGGGGCTGAATAGTAACTGACTCAGTGTAATGCATGCCACCGTACTCGACAACAAAAAAAAGGATCCCACCCGTGTGTGTGTGCCGGAACCCGTGGCAAAAGGCTCCGGTCAAGAACCAGCCAACAACAATCGAGAGAAATCGCAGCGCCAAGGAGACTGAGAGAGAGGGGGGGGATGGCAAAAAGACAAGCCCAAGAAAAGAAAAAAAACCATGACAAGAACCCCCCCGTCAAGCGCCGCTTACAACGCGCCAATGGTCATTGGCAAAACAAGAAGACTGCTGAAACGCTGCAGCGAAAGCGGGCTTCTAGTTCGTTTAGTGGAATTACCTCTTTCGGAAGGCTTCGGCGATGGCGGGGCGGATCGACGCCGCCCGGTGGTGTCCCGTTGTCCGCGCCCCCCGCCCTTCCTCCCCCCCCCCCTCGGTGGTTCCCCCTCATTCTTCCTCCACACTTTTGTGACCCCTCACAGCCTACTCTCTCCATCATGCGTCGTCCCCCAGACGCGGGGAACGGACGCACCGAGAGTTGGCCGAAGGGGAACCATCCCGCAAATTACACTGGTGACATGGGATGGGATGCGGGTTTCGTTCTTTTTTGGTTTTTTTCTGCTTCCCCAGATAACCCGCAAAAGACCATGTCTATATTACGTCCCCCCCCCCGGTGTTTTGTAAGGTTTAGGGGTGGTTCAGATGGCGGCGTGACACCTTTTGAGGGATTAGACGCCTGCGTTTGTCCTCTGCGTTCTGCAAGGGGCTGTGTGTGTGTGTGCCAGGGGGTGTTGTCCTGAAGTGGTTTGTCCTCATGCCTAGTTTGGAGTCGCTTTCCGTCGTTTTGTACGGATGAGTCTGAAGAGGAAGAATCAGCGCAAGGTTGCGTTGCGTTGTAGAGGGTACCGTGTTTTCCAATCTTCCAAAAACCTAACTCCGAAAAGTGTTGGAGAAAGATTGATTCGAATTGGGATAAGTTGGGAATGTATCGTCGTGAATGATTCTGAAGAGTGTTCTTTGCGGACATGCCGCGAGATCAGGTGAACACAACTCGATAGCTGTCTCGTTTACAATTATTAAATGAAAACAAACCAGAAGCAACGAAACCTCCCAAAATCGTCGCGGCAGCTCTCCAACGAATGGTCAGGGAAGAGCCATTAGACCTTTGGGAAGAAGCGTTAACAATCGAACAGGCTGTCGCCATGTCCACGATCTCCTCCATCGAGTACCTCGCTTCACCGCCGTCGCTGTCTGCTTGGAAAGGCCAACTCGTTCGAGGAGTACAAGGAGTTCAATATCACGGTCTTACGACTGGTGTGAAGGGATGCTCAAGCGCCCGGTCTCCAGGCCTTCTGGATATCCCACCAGTGCCAACGTCAACGCGAGCCAGACGCTTGCCACGGCCAAGGTAGAGAGTACGTCTTGTGCGAGAGGCTGCTTAGCACCGAGATAAAAAGAGATACGGCTCTCATGTCTTCCAAAACGTGGCATGAAGTCGAGGTTGACAGTACCAAATCTCAAAAGTCATCGAAGCAGCCGAGGCAAGTCTGGAAAATCAAAGTAATGGCAAGACACGTGGTAGATGATAAACCAGGAAGGGTTCGACGAGGACGTCCAGCCGGCGCCTGACGACAAGCCCCCGACCTTTGAGCCGCTGGTGGTCACGGCGTCGTCGGGGGACTTCGTCACGGTGCACGATTTCGTCTCGGCGGTACATCCGTGGCTGACGGCGCGACGGGACCTGATCCTGAGGGCAAAAAATGTCTACAACGACACCTACCTACCGGGCCCCAATGAGAAGTTGATTGTCTCGGCAGGCTATCCGGAGGTGGTTGTGGCCAATTACGAGCAGGAGTAGTATACGGAAATGAAACACAGCTGGCACATGGCGAATGGAAACTGATATGGACTTTTGGAGTGCAATTAGGTTCGTTGGAGCTACAGAGCAACCATGAAAAGCACCACGAGGCCCCTTAAGAGGCTTATGGCCAAGAAAACAATTTCGTTATTTGATCACACACATTCACAGAGACTTATCTAGTATACTTTGTCTATCTAATGCCGTCTAACAACCCTTGTTCATCTATTGTGACTCGTCTTCACAGAGCCCTCATCTCCCGTTCGTGTTTCCTTGCGGGTTTGATGATAGTGTCGAATTTCACCAGATTGATACCGCCTGCCATGTAACCAGGTATCTTGCGCCGGATATTGGCCTTTGGTAATCACGCAAATGCTGCTCGCGGTCGGCTCGACAGCTTCCCAGCAAGCTATACGCTGCTCATCTAGGGTACATCGTTAGCTACGAGCCCTGACTAGGTCGCATTAGGTGGCACATCATATTGGTTAGTGCGTGGTCCAGAGAGAAGCAGGATCAGCAGACGTGCAAACCAACCCATCATCATGCTGTTGCTGAGGAGGCATTCCGCTCAGCATCGGGAGTGACCAAATTGGCCGTTCCAAGGCACCACGAAGATGAGGACGGACGGCTTAAACTACCCATGCTCGCAGGATGCAACATATTCAGCGTTCAAGAGAAACCACCCAATGCGGCCTTCACCATGTATGCTCCTTTTCTTTCTTCCCCGTTTGCCTCTGTGCCTCCAATTGGCCTTACCATTGTAGCTGCATTCCTTGGTGCTGGGGCGTAGGCACTCAACGTGGTTCTTTCCTTCTATCCTCCCAAAAGCTTAACACGCCGCAGGGCTGCAGCTACTTGGGAAATGAGGGACCATCCACGTAGTTTAGCGAACTGTTTCCGGGGCCTTTGTGTGCGGAGGTTGTGTGCGGAGGTGTCACCCAAACTCCATGACACGATGTCTTTCCGGCCTACCCTCAAAGTTCAGCAAGGAAAATAAAAGGCTGTTAGACATTAGCTCCGCCATTATCTTGCTTGGGAGAGCCTCCTTGCTTCAAACTTAATTACGCAGCAAGCCTGAGCATTACAAACTTCAGAGCGACTGGAGCTATGCCAAGGGGACGAGACGATGCACCAGCAAAGAAAAACAAAATAAAAGTTCCGTTGGTAACCCTGGCGACATCCCTGCGGTATCCCTGCCGCGCGGCGCATTCCATATTACAAAAAGGCCCTTGAGGGACGTTAAAACAAAGTGATAGGGTAATGTCAAGATTACGCCTTAACAGAGTGCGGGGCGAATCAACAATGAATGCGAATTAGGGAGGAGACTGGCCAGCAGTGGGAAGAGGTCATCTCCATGGAAAGCGTCCCAAGACAGGGCCGGATAAAGTGACACGCGAAGCACGGTTCAACAAGCACCAGCCACCAGGCTGCAGTGATGAGGGGGGCATGCGGCACTGGCAGGCAACCGCCAGGTATCTACGTTTTGTTACAGGAAAGCGTCAAGCAGATTAACCCGTAGTTATGTTGACCAGTGTGTGGATTTCGATATCCCATGGGCCAGGACTCCAGAGTACCATGCTCGGTGGCCGTAGAAGATCCAGGGAAACCGCCAGCAATGCTGCCTTACGCTTCAAGTGGTGACAGCTACCTAAGAAGAACATCCGCGGCGGCATGTCCGGCCATAGCATAGGGTAACCGCATTCGATGTAGCTGCGGAATCGAAGTGATTGCGAATATTGCCAAGGCCCCTAATTAATAAGTAAACTTTTGCAGTTTCGCAAATCTTGCTTCAGTCGTATCATCACATGTCGCCTACTTCGTGTTTAGACATGAAAGTGAGAGAGATAGTGAGCGTGTGTGTGTATGTATTTGGCAGGAAAACTGCCATCGGCGAGTCTAGCTACTAGTTGTCCAACACGTTAGGCAAAGCGACTCTACCGTCTCACATCGAGTGCAGTTTCCACCTCGAATTCTTGCTGTTAATTTACTACGGTGAGGCGTTTATAAACCGGCGTTAAGGGGATTATGGGAATAAGGGGTGATGCAGCAGCTATAAGCCGTTTCCGTTCCCGCTTTCCTCTTGTACGCCATCATATTATCTAGATCTTCGACGCAAATTTCAATTTTTAAGTAAATCAGGGGACACTTTATGTCAGTTTGCATAAGTTTCGGGCTTTCAAACCTAGTCCTTCAAGGATTTTGATAGCATTGCCGCCAAGGACGAAGGTCGTTGCGACAGGGAAGTTTCTCGTCTTGAACCTCCTATCGACTATTCAATGGACTAAGGTTCCCTTGGGATGGTTAGGCTTTCTTATCGTAAGTTTGACTGTATAGTAGAAAATTCTTTTGTAACATAGTTAGACAAACGATGTCGCTCAAAACAAAGTTCGCCCCGGAACTTGGAGCATAAAACTACCGCAAAAACCTGATCTTAGGGTAACCAGGCAACCACTTATCAAGGGCTGTTCTGTCACTGTTGGGAAAGCGTTACATTCTGCCTTAGAGCTTATACATGTGTTGTACATCAAATCCCGATCTAATGTTATGGTATCATCATATCTACACTTCTTGCAAGACAAACCGTAGTAAGGAGCAGTCACCCTTTCTTTTTCAGCTTCACCAAAGTCCAATTACTCAACAAAGAAAGTTGCAACTCATAGCGGCCAAATCTTTTTAGGTGCAAAAGTCCTTAACTCCTTACTTCGTGTATAGTGTTTGCCCAATGCCCAAGTTTGACAATCTTCGGCCCAATGTTCGTGCGGGTAACAACAAAGGAGTCCGTTGGTATAGTGTTTTACAGTGTCCCGCGACCTTTATTGGTTTGCCATTGTCCATCTCAACGCCGAATAATCACAGCCGCTCGAATTGTCAGGCCCATACATAGATAATCTCTTTCTTAGGTATCTTTCACATTTAATCCGGAGAAACCGCATTATCAGTCTACTTACGATTTCGTAACCGTTCCCGTACAATCTATTCGCTAAAGGACCTCTCTGGTTAAATAAAGTCGAGATTTCTATTTTTTAGCCACAATCCAGTCGTCTTTTCAGTCTTCAGCGCGTCCGCCAGCCAAAATGATCTCAATCCCCAAACTCCTCCTTCTCGTCAGCCTTCTGACACCACAGCCCTTAGCCCTCTCAGTCCGTTCTTTCGCTCCCTCTCTTTCCCCCCGATGCGTCTATAATGAAACAATCCTCGGTCCGCAATCCTGCTTCGATAAGAACCACATGTTCAAAGACGCTGAGCCCGTCAATGCCACAGATCTCTACCAGGATGCCAAGAACTTTTGCAACAGTATAAGCCACAAGTTCCCGACGATGCGGCCGCGCGCTATGGTAAGGGGCAACGGTCATGGCGCAAAGTCGAAGCAGCATTTTGAGATACGCTGGCTCGACCTATGCTTCTGGCCTGACATCAAGACAATGAGTCTTCTTGACCCTTTTGGCAATAACGAAAAACCAGGAAAGAATGGTGATGATTGGTGCACGCATCTTCTTACGGAGAACTAGAATTCTTGTAAGTCTTCATTGCGTTGGCGTGATCCAAGAACATGATGCTGATCTGGATGTTATAGGCAAAGACAGGAAAAACGGAGGCATTGGCGGGTTTAGACATGTTGGATGTGTTCAGTTTCTCACAGGTCCTGGGCACCTTAATTAATCGATGTGCTTCGATGGGTCGCCTTAGCTAACGAGTTGTGGGAGCGGCGGATTGTCTAGCTAAACTTGCTCTCAAGTAGCTGTGACCGCTTCCCCATTTACTTTCTTTCACTTTCAGGTTGCTACTCCTTTGGTCTATCGCAACTCCACACGTAATAGAAATAACCATATGAACCAACAATAGAACACTCCCCCGTGTATAATACTTTTGGCGAGTCTAGCTCTGTTCGAAATTCAAGCGCAAATAATCTAGGTATTTAGAGACACACCAAGTACCAGATAAAGACTCGAGGTTAACAGGAGGTGGAAAGCGATCAGAATGGACCATGTTGGCGCAAGGCGGTTCAAGTCTTGAGAACATTGGAGGGCAGGGGTGAGAAACGACGGAAAGTTGAGGGCGAGAAAACTGTTGCAATAATCGGAATCCCGGGTTGAAGTAGTTCCGCAGCCGGCCGGCCTCCGTGTTACGGCCAGCTAACTGACAGTGGGTTTGTGTTAACAGTAAGCCAGGGATTGAGAGTAGTAACAGTCGTTCCGTGGTCCTGGTCGAATAGATCGTAGATCTTCAAAGGTCTTGGTGATCAGTCAAGGCCTCAACAATAGTCGTAGAGTAGTCGTCACTTAGGTATAGCTGAAAGTACCGGTTAGGGTAATCACGAAGTTGATTGCTGAAGAACTAGGAAAGGTAGGACTCGAGAGGACTCGAGTCCCAACTATATACAAGTCTGGTTCCATGCTGAACACTTCCTGATCCTGGGGGACCGACACCCAGGACGTCGGTCCATCGCCATGGACCGCCCTTGGTTGATTGATTGATTGATTTATTCCTACTCGGTTATGAAGCCGCTCTTATGCCAGCAGCTATGCCCGGAAAGCGGGGTTTGGCAGGTAGCCGAAGCGTCGACAATGAACAGCGACGCCCCACTTCGCCCTGATGTTGCATCAGGGCCAGCTATCCCCAAGCTCCCCACTATGTTCTCTATTCTGTGTGTTTGTGCCCTCTGTTGAAGAAGTGTGTTGCTCTCCTGTCTGCTTTCTCGCTTTTGTGTTGCTCTCTAGAATGCTTGTTTTGCGTCCTCCTGCTTCGGTTCAGTTGGTGCTGGTAGCACCGTATCTGGTTCTTTGTACCTACAGTCTCCCCCCAGCGCTCAGCTTTGTCTCTTTGTTTTGTCCGTATCCTCCCGGACTTGTATATGCCGTTTTCTCAGTTGCATCTGTAAATTCTTTGTTGCCTCCTGCCGGGTTCCTATGTGGCCTCTTGTTTCTTGCCTGTTGACCACTATTGCCCTCTACCACATTGGCCTAAGGGTCTTCCACGAAGCATAATGCTCTACTGACTCCGACATGTTCGATTACTGGGTATGAGAGCTCCCGCACAGATTCCGCAGACATTGTCGCGCGTTGAAGGGACACCAATCCTTCTTCGCAAAAGGGGCGACAGGGGACCAGTCTGTCTGTGGTCTGTAGTATTGTGTGGCATCGATCGTAGCATGCCTAATGCCTGGTGCTTTCTCCGTGCGGAAGGTGATACTGTTCTGTCGGACTCATCTTCGTCGTTGTGGGACGTTGCAAACTTTGTCGGGGGTGATAGGTGACCCAAAACCTGTCGGCGGCTGTTGTGTTGAAGTTGATTGTTTGGGCGCAGTCTTAGTGCTTCGTGTAGCGGCTTGTGGCTCGCCTGTGGTGGTGGTAACAGTGTTGTCTATTGATATGTCGTATTTTGCGGCTTGCTCTCAAGTTTTTCATTGTAGTCGGGGCGTGCTCTGCGGCCATCTTGGGCCCCTTTGGGACGTAGAATCAAGGCCGAGGATGGCATTGCATCGAAGGGGGCTCTGTGGCCGCGAGCACGCGTATTTGGGGCCGTTTTTGCTCCGATTTTCAAAAATTTCGTTCTCGCTGTTGTTGATGTTTTTAGGACCGCCCTTGGCACCGTCGGTCCTGTCCCAGGACCGCTTATCGTCCGTCGGTCCTGCTTATCGTCACGTAACCTGTATCCTAGTTCTTCCGTTCCGTGGGGGTTGTTACGACGTAACGGCTGACGGCCGTCCCTATAACCGCTGAGCCCCTGCGGGAAACATCAACAACAGCGAGAACGAAATTTTTGAAAACAGCATCAAATTGATCAAACCACGCCCGCTCGCGCTCTCAGAGGTCACTTTGGGCATAATGTCATCCTCGGCATTGATTCTGCTCCCAAAGAGCCTGCTCGTGGCCGCGGGCGGGCTCTGACCACGAAAAATTCGAGAGCAAGCCACAAAGTATGACACGTCAATAGACAACACCATCGACACCACCGCGGTTGAGTCACGGGCTATCACGTGAGCACAACGACCAAGCCCAAACAAACATCAACACCACAGCCACCGATAGGTTATAGGTCGCCTATCACCCCCGACAAAGTTTGCAACGTCCCGCGACAACAACGACGACAAGCCCGACAGAACGGTATCACCTCCTGCATAGAGAAAGCACCAGACACCAGGCATGCTACGATCGATGCCACAAAATACTACAGTTTGCAGACAGATTGGTCCCCTGTCGCCCCCTCCGCGAAGAAGGATTGTCGCCCCTTCAACGTATGACAATGTCTGCGGAATCTGTGTACGAGCTCTCATACTTAGTAATCGGACGAATCGAAGCGGTTGGAGCATTGTGTTTTGCGGATTGAGTCCGACTCCAGGCGGTGGATGGAGGTGGTGGTCGAAAGATGGAAACATAGAGCCACATAGGAACCCAGCATGAGGCAACAAAAAGATTTACAGATTCAACTGAGATATAGCACATGCGAGTCTGAGAGGATGCGGACAAGATAAAGAGACGAAGCTGAGGGCTGGGGGGAGACTATAGGTATACAGAACCAGACATGGTGCCTAGCACCAACAGAACCGAAGTAGGAGGACGCGAAAGAAGGATTCTAGAAGGCAACACCAAGCGAGAGAGCAGGCAGGAGGACAACAATCTTCAACAGAGGGCATAAACACACAAGAATAGATAGCATAGTGGGAGCTTGGGGACAGCTGGTCCTGATCCAACAACAGGGCGAAGTGGGGCGTCGCGGTTTATCGTCGATGCTTCGGCTGTCTGCCAAACCCCGCTTTCCGGGCATAGCTGCTAGCATAAGAGCGGCTTCATAACCGTGTAGGAATCAATCAATCAATCAATCTATAACCGCTGAGCCCCTGCGGGGTCGTCGTCAGTGGTCTGTTAACTGTCGGGTCGTAATATCAGCTCCCCTCTTAAAGGTCTTGTCCTCGAGACCTGAGTATAGGTAGGTCGTTGGTCCTAGGTTGGGGATCTACAAATTTGCTTCCTTTGTTTTTCATGATGCCGACACTATGTCAGGTCGCGTTCGAAAGACAAAGTCGTACTTGACTGTGATAAAAGATCGTGAGAGAGCTGCGCTTATTGAATACGTGGAGTCCCGATCGATTGCTAGCGACATGCCTTGCACTCGTTGTTTCCGTGCAAAGGTCCCGTGTCGTTTTGGCGAGAAGTCTACACGCTGTAGGACTTGCATCGAGGCGAAGAAACCTTGTGACGGCGTCCTCGTGGCGTCTACTCGTAAGTCGTGTTTTTGTGTTTTCGCTGTTCTGGGGGTTGCTAATGTTTGCTTTTAGTTCAGAAGTTGAACTCTTAGCAAAAGGAGTGGGATGAGAAAGAAGAGAAAGCGGGTGAGGAGCTATTCGCGCTTCATCAAGAGTTTGCTCGTTTGCAAGTTCAAATGGCGGATGCTGCGGGTCGTCTGAAACGGATTCGGACGGTCCGTAAGATGGTTCGGGAGCGGCAGACCGAAGTTTTTGAGCGTGGTATGCAGGAGGTTGACAGGGAGGATGGCGTCCTGGCGGACGACGAAGTCCTACCTGCCTTGGATGCTTACGAGAGGTTCGTCGTTAGTGACCTCTAGGCAGTAGGTCTCGGGAATGATCCTCCTTGGTCCCTTTTTGGTTTTGGTGACGAGTTTGTGGGTTTGGGTCCTCTGGTGGATGGCGCGGGTGCGGGGAGTGTTGGAGGTTCCTCGGCTACTCAGGGCTAGGTGTTCCTAGGCGAAGAAACGTTTTGTTGCCCTGGGGTTTCTTGGTTGGTCGAAACTTGGGTTGAGGGTTTCTGACGCGAGGGTTGTGTGTTGGTCTTTGCATGACTTTGGCGTGCTGTCGTGTTTCCCATTGCGTCTAGTATTCTTGAAGTTCCTCTTGTGCGTGCTCTAAGTTTGATGCGGGTTCCCATGTGTTTTCTTCGTGTCCGTAGTTTTTCCACTTGATTAGGTATTGTATTTCTGTGTCATCGTGCTGATCGATGTGATCGAGGATCCTTTCGACCTCGTAGTCCTGTTCCGGGTCGACTTCGATGTGGTCTATAGTTCGTGATCCTTTTGGTGCTGGCTCGAGAAGTGAAATATGAAAAACTGGATGACACTTCATAGTGTCTGGTAGTGCGAGTTTGAAGTTGACGTTGGATACCTTCTTCGTGATTTCGAAGGGTCCAAGTTTCTTGAAGTCCAACTTATCGCTTGGTCGTTTTGTTTTGATGTTCCGGCGGAGAAGGTATGCGCTATCCCCCTCCTTCAGAGTTGGTCCCTCAACTCTTGTCTTGTCAGCGTATTTGCGCATGCGTTCGCGCACAAATTCAAGGTCTCTGGGAAGATCTCGTTGGATTTCCTTGAGTTTGTTGATATCTGCCACAGCTTTCAGAGCTGTTGGGCCTTGTCGGGGTTGTCCATAGGCTGTCGGGTTGAATCCGTAGTTTAAGTAGAATGGTGATTCTTTTGTACTTTCTCCTACTGCGCTGTTGTAGGCGAACTGGGCCATAGGTAGCAGTTGGACCCAGTTGTTTTGCTGATAGTTGACGTAGCAGCGTAGGTAGGTTTCCATGATCTGATTGATTCGTTCTGTCTGGCTATCGGTTTGCGGATGGAAAGCGGTGGACATCTTGTGGTCAGATCCTAGCTGCGAGATCAGGGATCTCCAAAACTTGGAAGTGAACAGCTTGTCTCTGTCGGATACGATTTCCTTCGGCATTCCGTGTTGGCTTACGATCACCTGCAGAAACTTGTAGGCGAGGTCTTCTGCAGTGCTTGACTCCATGTACGGAATGAAGTATGAGTACTTTGTGAGTCTGTCGACGATGACGAGGACACTGTCGTAGTGGACGTTGGTCATCGGTTCTCGGGACTTAGGTAACTTAGTGACGAAGTCCAGCGAGATGGATTCCCATGCGGTTTGCGGCACTGGGAGCGGCTGTATCTTTCCATAAGGCTGATGTCGGCTGGGTTTGCTTTTTGCGCAAACCTCACAGTCCTTAATTGCTAAAGATACTTCTTGTCGTGTAGCCGTTTTGTCGTAGTGTTGACGGATGCGTTTCCACGTTTTGGTTACGCCTTGGTGACTATGTGCGGGTGCGGAGTGTATCTCCCTAATGGCTTCAGGAGACATCCTTCCAGGCGTGCTGGTACTGTCTCTTCTGGCCATCATTAAGAGTCTGGCTGCTGGCACAAGGTCTCCGTTTTTGTCTGTTTTGAGGATAACTCGGGTTTCCTCAGGTACCTGGACCTCGTGGTCCGGTCGTCGGCTGAGGGCGTCGGCCCTGCCGTTCTCCTTGCCCTTCCGGTAGATGATTCTGAAATTGAATTCTGACAAGAATTCGGACCATCGAATTTGTCGTTTGTTGAGATCTTTCGATGTGGTGAAGTGTGCGAGGTTCTTGTGGTCGGTGTATACTTTGACCTCGTACTTGGTTCCTGAGAGTTGCGGTCTCCATTCTTTGAATGCCTCGATAATTGCCATAAGTTCCTTGTCGTGTATCTGGTAGTTGAGTTCTGGGCCGTGTAACTTGCGTGAGAAGAAGGCGCAAGGGTGTAGTCGTCCTTCGTCGTCTCGTTGGCCTAGTTGTCCTCCTATAGCGTAGTCTGAGGAGTCGGTCTCGACTTCGAATGGTTTCTCAGGGTTTGGTATAACAAGTATTGGTTCCGATGTGACTTGTTGTTTGATCTCGTTGAAGGCTTGTTCTTGTTCTTCTTCCCATTGCCAGGGAACATCTTTCTTCGAGAGTCTCGTGAGAGGGTCGTTTTTGTCTGAGTACCCTTCTAGGAACCGTCGGTAGTAGTTCACATATCCAATAAAGGATTGTACGTCCTTAACGTTCTGTGGTGTAGGCCAGTCTCGTACTGCTGCGATTTTGTCTTTGGACATTTTGAGGATTCCTGGGGCTATCGTAAAACCTAGGAATTCGACTTCTTTGGCGTGAAACTTGCTCTTCTCGGGTTCCACTAGGAGTTTGGCGTCTTGCAGTTTCCGCAGTACTTGGTGTACGTGTTTTTTGTGGTCTTCCAGAGTCTTGGAGAAGATTAGGATGTCGTCGAGGTAAACTACGACGAACACATCTAGAAATTCTCGTAAGACGTGGTTGATCATCGTCTGGAATGTCGCGGGTGCGTTGGTGAGTCCGAAGGGCATCACAAGGTACTCGTAATGTCCTCGGCGTGTTCGAAACGCTGTCTTCCATTCTTCACCTGATTTCATCCGGATCAGGTTATAGGCTCCTTTTAGGTCGAGTGCTGTAAACCACTGTGCTCCGTGCAACAGGTCTCGTAGTTCGGAGATGAGCGGTAGTGGGTAGCAGTTCTTGATCGTAATGTCGTTGAGTTTCCGGTAGTCGACGCAGAGTCGTAGTTTGCCGTTCTTTTTTGGTACGAACAGGATTGGGTATCCCGCTGGTGATGTAGAGGGTCTGATGTATCCCTTCTGTAGATTTTCTTTGAGGTAAGCGTCGAGTGCTTCCATTTCTTTCTGGTTGAGTCCGTAGATTGCTTCTAGCTTTGGCTCCTTCCCTTCCTTAAGGGGTATCTCGTGGTCGTAGTTGCTGTGTTCCGGGAGTCCGGTCTCGAGTTCTTCGGCGAATAGCTTCTAGTATTGCCGGTATTCTTCTAGGATAGACAGAAGTCGGTCTTCCTTGCCGATGTCTGTTGCTGATAACGTCCTGGCGTTTGCATCCTTTATCCGTAGGTATGCTAGAAATCTCTTCGCTTCAGGAGTCTTGAGAGGTTCGTTTGAGGCACCGTTCCGTGGTTGCTTCTCAGTGACTGAATCCTGGTCCCAATGGAGTTGGCCTGTTCTCCAATCTATCCGTGGGTTACTGTCGTATAACCATGGTCTTCCAAGGATGACATCGTACTTGTCTCCTATCTCCGTAATATCGAAGTTCAGTCGCTCATTCCGGCCATGGATCTGCAAAGGGAGTTGCGCTGTCTCCATAGCAATGCGTCCTCCGCCGTACTGGACTTGTTCTCCTTCAACGGTGCTGAGTTCGTAGCAGTCTTCGGCTGCTTTTCTTTTCTAGGTTATCTTTCTTTCATTTACCGTTCTTGGTGATATGAAGTTTCCTTGGGCTCCGCTGTCGATCATGGCGGTAGCTGTTCTTCCGTTGAGCTGTATTTGGACTTGTACATGCTCGTGTCGTTGTGTCGTGGGCGTCGTTGCGCTACATAGGGACCTTGTCTGGACTGCCTGTCGTTGTCCCTTGTCTTCGGTAGGCGAGTCTAGTTTTTTGACTGCTCGTCCGTTCCTTGTTCGTCGTTTTCTTGCTGTTTCTTCCATGCTTCGTCTTTCTTGATATAGTGGACTCGGCGCTGGTCTTGGTAGCAGTGATACTACTGTATTTCTTCGTCAGAGTCCTCTCCAGAGCTGGTGTCGTTGACTGAAGCGACTTCAAAGGCGACTTCCAGTTGGGCATGTTGGCGGGCAACATCGCGAGGTGTTTCCGAGTCGTTGGGGGTGTTCTTGGTCGTTTCTGATTCGACCTGTTCTTCCAGTTCTTGGTTGATTTGGCGGATCCGTGCGGGATCTCCTTGTGCATGTTGTCGTCGTTCGATGTGTGCGTCCAGCGCACCGAGTTGTCGTTGCCACATAGGGTTTTGTGAGTCCTGTTGAATCCGCTGCAGGTTGGCTTGTCGTCCTGCGTAGAGGAGGTTCAGTCTTCGCTGATTGTCTTGTTCTAATTCCTCGTTGTCGTTCATACTGTCGAGCTGTTCGATTGTCTTGCGCTCGATTTTGCTGTTGCTTCTATATCCCATAGCGAGGGTCCGTTTAGGTGCGTTGGTGGTGTCGTAACCAGATCGTTCTTGAGGTTTCTGGGGGTACCATCCTGCGTGTTCCTTACTGCTAGAGTGGATATGGCAGTTGTCATCGAAGCAGGTGGTCCAGTTGAGTTGTTCATGAGGGATCGTCTTCGTGGCGATACTCGCTTGTCGTTTCTCTGGTACCGGTTGGAAGCGTTCCTTCTTAGGTGACCTGCATTCGTATGCTAGGTGTCTAATCTTCTGGCAGTTATAGCACTGTCTATCTTTCTTCCAACTGTCGTTCTTTTTGTCGTTTCTCTGTGTAGCACTAAGGTCCATTGGTCTACTGTGGTGACCATAGGCAGTACTTTGTCGGGGGTTGTTCTAGTTGTTGCGGGGTCTATTGTCGTTTCGCTGGTTGTTGAACTGGTGCTGAGGCTGCCACTGGTACTTGCGTCCTGAGTTGGGGTTTTGTCGTTTTTCGCCTCTTTCCTTTCGTCGTTCGAAAAGCCGGTTGTCGATTTTGATGGCGAGTTCGGCGTACTGGAGAAAGTCGTCAGGTCGATCAATCTTGATGATCTCGTCCTTGACTTCGTCTTTTAGTCCTTGATAGAACATGAAGATCTTGGTTTCCTCGGTGAGGTCGAGTTGAACGCTAAGTTGTCGGAAATTGGCGGAGTAGTCTTTGGCGGACTTAGTCTGCTTAAGTTGTGCCAGATCTCGTTCGGCTTGTCGCTTTTCGTCGGGGTCTTGGAAGAGTGACCTGAGCGCATCCTCGAATCCTTTAAAATTGGCGTAGATGTCGCGGGTCTCGGTGGTGCACTCGTCGAGGGTCTCGCATTTGAGGTATTCTTCCTGGATTGGTTCAAACCACTTGAGGGCCTTTCCTCGGAGGTAGGTGGCTGCGTGTACTACTTTTTCGGTTTCGTTGGTGAAATCTCCATGGTGAAAGTTCTGGTAGTTTTTGACCTGAATCAGGAATCCTTTAAGGGTCCCGGGGGTTCCGTCGTAGGTGACAGGCGTACTGAGCTTGAGCTTTTGTCGTCCTCCGTGGACGGGCGTGGTGACGATGTTGGCGGCGGCCCGGAGGGTGGTGATTTCCCCCTGGAGTTCCTGGATCTTCCGGAGGTTGGCGTCCCCCTTGATGTCTTCTTCCAGCTTCTTGTAGGCCTGTCCAGCGTGCTGGAGTTGCTCGTTGAGGTTTTCCATTGCTTGTCGGTTTTCGTTGACGATTTTCTGCATGTCTTTTGTCTCGGCTTCTTGTTTCTGGATTATGCGTCGGAGCTTATCGTAGCTTTCCTTGGTGAAAGAGCTATCTCCATCGGAGTCGTACTTGAGGTCCGGCATGTCGAAGTCCTCAGTGTTGGCGGGCTCCTGCGCGAGGCTCTGAGGCTGGTTGCGCGAAGAGGATGAGGATCCTGGAGTGGGTGATTTGGCAGAAGCGCGAGAAGACATCTTGTCTATACTGTTTAGTAGTTCTCAAAAGGTGACTTACTGAACAGGAGCAATCAAAGTGTTACGGCCAGCTAACTGACAGTGGGTTTGTGTTAACAGTAAGCCAGGGATTGAGAGTAGTAACAGTCGTTCCGTAGTCCTGGTCGAATAGATCGTAGATCTTCAAAGGTCTTGGTGATCAGTCAAGGCCTCAACAAGAGTCGTAGAGTAGTCGTCACTTAGGTATAGCTGAAAGTACCGGTTAGGGTAATCACGAAGTTGATTGCTGAAGAACTAGGAAAGGTAGGACTCGAGAGGACTCGAGTCCCAACTATATACAAGTCTGGTTCCATGCTGAACACTTCCTGATCCTGGGGGACCGACACCCAGGACGTCGGTCCATCGCCATGGACCGCCCTTGGCACCGTCGGTCCTGTCCCAGGACCGCTTATCGTCCGTCGGTCCTGCTTATCGTCACGTGACCTGTATCCTAGTTCTTCCGTTCCGTGGGGGTTGTTACGACGTAACGGCTGACGGCCGTCCCTATAACCGCTGAGCCCCTGCGGGGTCGTCGTCAGTGGTCTGTTAACTGTCGGGTCGTAACACTCCGGCCGCCGAGCTGCCAATGTGACGGCCAGACTGACGGGATATATCTTCTGCAACCACTTCAGCCCTCACTTCTGGAAGAACTTAGACAAACACAGTTACAGGTACAGCTACACTCACAAGAGACGTGTTACCCCTTACTGCAAATCCCATGTTTTGGGTACCCCTGTGATCCCAACAAAAACAAAGATCGTCAAAGTTGATATGGAGAATTTTAGAAGCAAAAGAATCTGTTGCGATAGTTGGAATACGGAGTCGTGTGGCACTTCCAGCCACACGCCCGCCAGGCTGAGAGGCCCAAGCCTCCCAGACCCACGTGACAGGCCAAGGGGGAATATCCCCACCTTCTAGTCAACAACACCACTTTCAACTATCATGAACCATCGATTAGAACTAATTTACTATTATTTATTATTAACGAACGGAATTCCGTTTTACCCCTTGTGAAACCTATACTGATCAGTAGTAAACCTTATAGTTGCTATTAATTTAGTTAACTTTATAATTACTACTCTGCTATGGATAAACCGTAGATCAGCAAGGTTAACACTAGAAGAGACGACTTCTTAAACTAGATACCTAAGCCTAGGTAAAAGTAAGGATTTCGTGCTAACAAGAGAAGAAGCGAGAGTAACTAGGATCTACGGAAACTAGTAGAAGAAAGCTTCTTTTCCTCGAATCTACTAGCAATCCGATTATTCGAGTAACCTAGGGACTGCTATGCTTACCTTAGGCGGGATAAGGTTAATCGCAGCTAATTATCGCTAGCAAGAGCGTTCTATTACGCGTTTTTAATCACTAGAAGAAGAGACCTACCGAATCGACGGTCCTCTAACCTCTTCACGCTACAAGGGCGAAGATTCACGAATCCCACAAGGGATAACAACTTCCCTAACTATAACTATCCCCTACGCGCGGTGCCAACCGCGAGGCGCCTGCCACAAGAGACCTCCCTACCAGAAGAAGAAGAATACGCCGAAAGGCGAGCAGAGACTACCGGCGGTAATCCGCCTATATAGCTATACGTATACGCCTCCGAGGCTACGGCTTAGGAGAAACGCACGTGGTTATAGGCGTTATAAAGCTAACTATCCGCTAGATTCTAAACTTCCTAATAGTAAGGAGCGAAGCCCGAAGCAAGAAAAGAGATTCACGAGAGAATCTACGAACATTAGCGAGAATGGCGCCGACGGAAACAAACGACGAACCGACGAAAATCTCCGATTTCACGATTCTTTCCCTTTAGAATCGTAATATCCCGAATCGTCTTTTAACTCCTACTTCCAGGCCTGTATCTTATACTAATCGCAGCTGACGCTATTAAGGATTAGAATTCAAGATTCTGAATAGAAGTAATCCTTTTATACTGTCAGAATAAAGCGAAATTTACGAGAAGGATCGCCCGCAAGCAGCGTCACTGCTAAAAGCTAATCAACAGTCCCTATCCTATAGAGAATCGAAAGTATAATCGATCTAGCAGTATAAGGCAACTAGGCAATCGACCTTACAAACGCTAGCCTATAGCAACTAGGTTCCTATATAGGTTTCCTACTTGAGACCTATAAGAAGAGGAATCTTACGGGCCTCGAGCTATAGAACGAAGTTTCTCCCGATTTCGCCGACTAGTCAGAAGAAGACTTCTAGAACATACCTTCCCTAATCCTACAATTCTTCAAAGACTATTTAATTGGTAACGGCGTCTACGTCGAAATAGATAGCAAGAAAATCTTGAAAAACGTAGCATTAGCCCTCAAAAAGGAAGAATTCTACTACTAGTCACCTTAAGAACTCGAACAAGGCGTCAAGAGATATCGCAACCTGAAGGCTTTGATAAAAGACCCCGAATTCTACGAAGAGATTACGAGACTGGCAATAGTAGCTAATAGCATAGGAGGAAGAGTCAAACCAACCTTACAGCCACCTCCTCTATAAGAATAATAATAGTAGCAACTACCGTACCGACCGCTATATCCTACGGTCTCTCCGTTAATAGACTTCTAACTATATAAGTTAACAGACCGTATCGGAAAGTAATTAATAGAATTCGCAAAACTATACCCCGACGATATAAAATATAGCGGCGATATATACGATATACTCGAAAAGAAGATGCTAGTATTCGTAGATTACTATAGAATGCTAGGAATTTATACCTCCTAATATAACAAGGTACTTCCCCTAATACTAAAAGAAATAGCTAAAACCTACTTCTACGCCTCGATTAAAGTAATTAACCTATAGCCTAACTTCGAGACCATAATTAACTAATTAAAATCATACTTCGAGACTAGGGAAAGGCAATAAGCGTACGTTACGTAGTAGAATATAACTACTCTTCCCTAAATCATTCGTAATAACCTTAGAAAGACTAAATCGGAGTATTTTAATATACTATATAACAAATTAAGCAAGATTCAGCCCGGTTTGCTATAACAGGATCATAACGACCGATCCCTCTATACCTAACTTCTATACGCTTATAGAGATATTCTAGAGTATATAATAGCGTTATTTATACCGGCTAAGACATACGAAAGACTTTGTAGCTAATTAATCTCGTCGATCGAGACAGCTACCTGTCTTAACTAATAACAATTTAATATAGTAGCTAACCTACCAAAGCAGTACTAAACCGACAGAACTTTCAACGGTCGAGGGCGTTATTTACGATATAGTCGTTTATTACGAAGTCGATTATTACGAGGAAGAAGCCGTAACAAACCCTTATTACCGCTAACGCCTAAGAAGTACTACGTATATAGAAAACCTAACTACTAGTTAACTAAATATACTATAGAAGAGAGACGAAAAGCGTACGAGAAGTTTAAAACTACCTAATATACCTAGGATACGTTACTTCTAGCATATAGCTAATTTCTCGTCTAATACGAGGGTTTCGACGGGTTAGACTTATAACCTACCGCCGAAGACCCCTAGCAATACTACTACGTAACTAAACAAACTAGTAAAAGTAACGAAGAGGAAGAGACCGGCAGCGATAGTTAATTCCAAGTTACCGCCTATTTCACTATAATAGCAATTAACAGTAACAGGATCGCTACGATCCTAGCAGACTAGTTAACCCGCTATACTATTACGAAAGAAGACCTCTTCCGCAACTAACCAGAACCGAAAAAGCTACCTTCGCAATTCATACTCGAGGGACGCTACTCTACCTAGAACTTCTAAGGGATCATGCCCGACTCGGGCGTAATAGGATTCTTAACCGCTAGCTACCTATAATTCGTAGCCTTATAACAAATTTACGAAGGAATTACGTTAAATACTAAGGCGGCTAGCGGCGTTATAGTGAAATTCGGCGATAGGATACTACTAGAGTCTATAAAGACTACTAAAGTACTAACGCCGTTTAGAAACGTTAAATTTTACGTTATTAAGACTAATACTCCCTTCCTTATATGCCTAGGAGATATAGACCGATTAAAAGTCTACTTTAACAACATTACAAATACCTTCATCTAAGGAAACAAGGTCGTACCTATTATTCGCAAATAAGGCTACCTATAGTTATTACTCGATAAGGAGAAACTACTTGCCTAGAACTACCTTATGGATGCTAAATTACGACGGGTTTACCGTCGCTTCGGATACCTATCTATTTAACGATTATACAAGGTGCTCTAGAGGGCTAGCTACCTAGTTAAAATTACGGTAATTAAGCAACTATCGAAAGTCTACTATCGATGCTAAATATACGTACTAGCGTTATTACGGTTTAAATTTACGTTACGAGACGATTACGAATTTAACTACGAGGTTATCGCCGACGTAATATACCTTAAGGGTAATAGACCGGTCCTCTACGTCGTCGATACCGCTACGGCGTTTAACGCCGCCCGGTTCCTTAAGGATATTTCTACGAAAGCTACTTAGGAAGCCTTACGCCTCTGCTAGATAGATATATATCAGGGACCCCTAGACTAGCTAGTTACCGACGCTAGAACAAACTTCCGCTTAATAGAATTCCGAAACGCGGCGAGAAGAATAGTAATTAAAATCAAGGAAATTCCTATAGAAGCTTATAACAGTATTAAGAAAGTTAAACGATACTATATACCTCTAAGGAAGGCGTACGAAATTATTAAAGCAAAAGACTTAACAATTACGCTAGAATCAGTACTTTAAATAGTAGTCAAAGCAGTTAACGATACTGCTAGCCTGAACGGAATAATATTAATACTCTTAGTATTCGGCTCGTACCTACGAATTACTAACGATTCGCTGCTATCTCCCGAAGTTATAAGGCGGGCGAAAGCGATTAAGAAGGCGATAAGCGAAGTATATAAACTTTACGTAAGGCGATAGGTAGTAGAAGCTATCGCTACCCGTAATAGCCTTGATATAAGGCTAATTATTAATTTACTACTATGGTTATAAGTATAAGTATAGCGCGAAAAGAAGGGCTAGACTAGACTATTTACTTTAGCAGTTATAAACGGCAAAACCTATACTATCGATATGCTATATAGTCCGAAGACCTTCTAGTCTATTATAGTTAAACTATACTACGAAGATCCCGATTAACTACTTAATTCTATTGCCGTGCTAGAAGAAGAAAAACCTAAAGCTAAGATACTATAGTAGGAAGTAGTACGCGACGAAATTATCGTCGCCGGCGGAGGTAGTAAACCGGACGAACCGCAAGAGGCACCGGAGCTACCGAGAAGACGCCTAGGCAGACCCCGGAAGAGACTACTACTAATCGCCTACTTTATAAAGGAATTTAACGATAACCCGGATTATTAATAAATATTCCTATTAATTAAGGAGTAAGTAGACGAAGAATTAGTAATTAAACTACGACGAGAAGGTATTATTACTATACTAGGCGAACCGTTCGAATAGTCAACTAAATAAGAGATTAATAGTGTTCGAATATTCGTAGGCGCACATTCAGGGGTCAATCGTGATGTGTATTGTGCTTCTTCTTTTCCTAAGACCTGTCCGTATCCCTTACGCGCCTTCTTCCGGCGTGTTCCCTGTGACTAAGCGCACCTAGCGCGGTCCTCGGCCAAACATTCCTCCTAGCGCCTTCCTGGCATCCTAGGCGCTCTGCGTGTGCATCGCTTCCAGCGCCCCTGGCCTACCACCCTTTTTGACAAATAGCCTTATCGCTAGAAGAGTATTTAAATTTACCTAGTTTAATAAGAGAAAGTACTAGAATATACGAATCTTCTAATCTCGTATCGTTAACGAAGTTAAAGGTAAAATAACCAAACCCTACGAGAAATCGAGACTTATAATACAAGGTTACGCCGACGATAGCAAGAAGGCTATATTAACCTAATTGCTAACGATTTAGCAAGCAAGTTAATAGCTAATTCTATTAATTACCTTGTTACTCCTACGAGAAGGGAAATAACTATAGCTTCGAGATATTATATAAGCCTACGTTTAATCTTCTATAAGGCTTAATCGTACTATTCTTGTCAGATTGAGCGCGCTACGCGAGGCTTCGGCAACGCTCGGCAGAACACTATTTCCGAGCGCCGAGCCCCGGGTCAGGGGGTGGCATACCCCCTTCCCTACGCGCCCCTGAAGGGCCCTTAGACAGTTACACACATAACGGAATATACATCGTTCTGAACCCTCAATTCGACAATTAACAGTCTGATACGTGCTGCGTTTACGTTAAACGCCGCCAGCCATCTATTCTACGCATACGAAAGCCCTTTCTACGCGCCCAATTGAACCCCTATCGTCGAAATGTCCTCCTCAAGCGCGAAAATCACCCTGAATACCCCTGCCGACTGGATCCTATGGATCGACCAGCTGCAGTCGAAGGCCAAGTCCTACGACCTCTGGCGATATATCGATCCCCAGCGCCCAGGCGCCTTAAACACGGGACAAACGCGTCTCGAGCGGCGGATGGAGCGGCCGAAGCGCCCCGAAATATATGATCACCCCAAGACCGGCAAAGCCGAAGTGCTAAACGAAGACGCCGACTACGAAACGCGCGCATAAGCGCTGGAGGAGCTCTCGGCAGCCAATCTCGCCCTGTATAAGGAACGTCGGTCTGAATATATGGAGCGCTCCAAGACCCATGAAGCGTTCCTGAAAGGGATTCGCGTGCTCGAAGACTGGGTCCGAGATACAGTCAGCACCTCTCTCCTCAAGAGCTGCTGTACCGCGGACCGCGCACTGGACCGCTGGGTCTACGCGTTGAAGGAACGCGTAGGGATAACCACTCGTGAGAGACGCACCGCCGCGAGCGAAGCATATAAGAGAGCGCTCCAGATACCGGAGCGGAAGCGACTCGCAACGAAGAAAGAGCTGGAAGAGTGGCTTACGAAGTGGGAAGAATCAATCCACGAAGCAGCAGCGGCGGGCGTCCCGGGTACCGAGCTCCCCAGTATATGGTTCCCGGAATTCACCTACGCCGTGAGCCACAGCTACGCCGATACATGGATCTTCTCATACCAGACCGTCAAGGACGAACGCGTCGAAAGCGAGAAACTGAGCGTTGGAGAAGTCCTGTCAGACGCGCGGCGGTTCCTACAAACAACCTCTCAACACAACCCGAAGAAGCAGGCCGGACGCGGAGCGTTTGGTCCTACCACAGAAGCCACTTCAAGAAACGAAGAGGAAGGGGAACGAACTTCCCCCGCGCGCCTAACGGTACCAATGAGAAGCAGCCGGGGATCTCGAGGAAACACGCGCTCCAGAGGAGGAGCTCGCAGAGACCGGTCGCGGAAGAGAAGCGATGGGGAGAGCGAGGGCAACCGGCTGTGCCCTGCGTGCCTGAAACCTCACCCGCTCTCGAAGTGCTGGCTCGTCAACGAACGGGAGCGCCCTGAGTGGTACGAGCCGAGTAGAGAGCTTCTCGCGAACCTCGACGAGCGGATGAGAAAAGACGAAACGCTCGCAAACCGTGTCAGGAAGGTGAGAGAACCAGCGAAAGAAGAATACTGACTATATGGCCGAAGCAAGGGGACCGTCCCGAGTGCCTTCCATACCGCTCCGGAGACATACGAGCTCTTCAGATCGGCGATCCTGGACTCTGGATCAACGATCCATGTATTCAACGACCCCTCGTGGTTCACCACACTGTCAGGAAAGCGCAACAGGCGCCAGAAACTCGCTCCGCGTGCCTGGATAGGCTACCTAGTCGGCTACATATCAAGCAACTCGTTCCGGATATGGAATCCCCTGCGTAGTGAAGTATTTACCACGCGCGATGTGGTGTTTAACGAGAAATGCCACTTCGACGGCAACGTCAGGTCCCTAGTGGAAGAAATCAACCACCTCGACCTGCAGGCGATTCAGCAGCGCATAGAGGAGCTGATCAGACAGACCACGGGCTCAGAAAACTATATACAAAGCGCTGACGAAGAAGCAGAAGAAGTCTCAGAGCACGCCGATCCCGGTGAGCCTGCCCTGGAAGCAGCAGAAGCGCTCGGGCACCATAACGCTGAAGCGGACGCGCCTAAGCAAGTGGAAGGGCAATACACGGGAGCGTGGTTTGAGCCCTTTCCGACGCCGGAGGCGTCGCCTCCCACATCCTTTCTCGCGGTGCTTACCGAGCTCGACGTGAGGGGGTGGGGAGAAGAGCATACGCGGGATATCCCCGCTACGAAGCCTATCTATAAGAAGGTTACACTACGGACGTCGTACAAAGCCGCTTTTCTAGCTGGAACGACGCTTTACAAACAAAACCCTAGACGTCAAGACGGCCTACGAAGGGATCGCGTTGTGCATGGCCAGCCGCGCGCCCCTGAGAGGGTTTCCGAGGCAACCTTCACCGTGAAATCCGGGAATGACGGCGCGGATGAAGGCCCTTTGGAAGACTAAGTTACAGGTCAGCAAGAGGCAAGTGAATCCCAGGAAGGTTGCTCCGTGGTAGAAGCGTTTGAGACAAGTAAGCCCAGCTCCCATAGAGACCGGAGCTAGACGCTTGCAGAAGAGACGAAGGATCTCAGAGCGTGCGGTAACCGGGATGTGGTGACTGCGTTGGCGCTGACCGAGCTCCGCTCCCGCGTGGAAGCGCAAGGCCGAAAGAAAGGCGCCTACTAGAGGGATCTAGCCCCTTTGCCAACGTCTCACGATCAGTTGCAACGTTACCCTTTCCGGGAGGAGTTCCTGCGCGCTGAAAGAAGCCACCTAGACGGGCACAAGGAGTCCCGCTCGTGGGAAGAGGTCGCAAGAAGCGCCTCGCGCGGCTACCAGGTCCTCGGATGCCACTGGGTATACACTTACAAGCTTGATAAGCACGGGCGATTAGCCAAATTCAAGGCACGCCTGGTTATTCGAGGAGACCAGCAAGCAAGAGACGCGCGGGAGACGTACGCCGCGACGCTCGCAGGTATGTCGTTCCGAGTTCTGATGGCCGTTGCCGCGCGCTTTGACCTAGAATTACTATAATACGATGCGGTAAACGCCTTCGTCTACGCGGATCTAGACGAGACCGTCTATATGGAGCTTCCGCCGGGCTACCGCGTTCTAGGAAGAATCCTGCGATTGAGAAAGGCGCTATACGGCCTACGACGTTCCCCTCTCCTGTGGCAACGCTACTTAGAAAAGGGACTCGTAGAACGTGGATTCGAACGCGTGGCAGGCGAGAATTGCTGCTGGCAAAAAGGCGAAGTCATGTTCTTCTTCTACGTGGACGACTGCGTACTGGCGTTTCCCCGCGTGCGCAAGGAGGCAGCGCTGCGGGAGGTCTCTGAGCTACAGAAGCGCTACTACTTCGAAGGAGGCGGAGACCTCCAGTGGTTTTTAGGAATCGAGGTCATACGAGACCGAGCCACACGCCGATTATGGCTCTTGCAGGCAGTTTACGCCGAGAAGGTGAGGCGGCTGCTTCCACCTATAGCTAACGCGTTAGAAGACGGTTCTGAAGCGCGCTCGTACACTCCTATGGTCTTGGAGGAGCTTCTACCCTACGAAGGAGAGGCTAGCGCGTGGGAAGTCAACCAGTACCAGAAGAAGGTCGGGACTCTCCTATACGCCGCAATAATGACGAGACCCGACGTCGCGTTCGCGGCAAGCCGTCTCGCGCGCTTCAACCAGAATCCCGGGCTGAAACACCAACGCGCAGCGGACAGAGCGCTCGCCTACCTCTATTCCACCTGCTACCTCTGCCTTGAATACGGCTGCGAACCCGGCAGCGAGGAAGACATGCTTATCGTGGCGTTAGATGCCAGCTTCGCAGACAACTCCCTGGATCGGAAGAGCTCTTAGGCGCTCGCTATGAAGCTATTCGGCGGGCTTGTTGCGTGGCGCGCTAACAAACAGGCCACGGTTACCACATCTACGACGGAAGCTGAGCTGCTATCCCTCTTGCAAGTAGTAGAGGAAGCGCTATTTGCAAGCCGCCTGATCTCCGTGCTAAACGTATACCTTCTAACAGAAGAAGCGCTGGAAGCGATGTTTCCCGCAGAAAAGCGCAGCATACCCACGATTCAGATCTAATGCGACAACTTACAGACCGTTCGACTGGTGATAACGGATCTAGTGACCTTTCAGACGCGCTTACGGCACGTGGATATTTACAACCACTGGCTACGACAAGAGGTCGTAGCGAAGCGCGTATCCGTGGCATACACACCGTCGTCAGAGCTTATGGCAGACGGTCTGACGAAGAGTCTCGCGCTCCCATAGTTCCGCGAGTTCCGGAAGCAGGTCTGTATGAGCGAACAGGCAGAGCTCCTGAAGCGGAATCGGAGACGCGAATTAGAAGAAGACGAAGAAGCGTGGGCCAAGAGAGCCGCGCAGGAAGACGTCTGGGCGGTCGAAGACCACGAGAAGCGCGCTCCGAGTGCCACGGGAAGCTCGTGACTTGCTGTGGTACGCGAGTTGTACGTATAAAACGTCCTCTTAGCAGAAGGAGAGGAGACAGCGCAGTAGAAAGCCTACCAGCCGAGGGATGAGCGAAAGAAGAGCTCTGAACGCAGTGTAATCTAAATACGAGGGGGAGAGGGCGACTCGAGGGCAGGGAAGCCCCGATTCGGCGCTCCCCTGAGGGGGTGTGTCAGATTGAGCGCGCTACGCGAGGCTTCGGCAACGCTCGGCAGAACACTATTTCCGAGCGCCGAGCCCCGGGTCAGGGGGTGGCATACCCCCTTCCCTACGCGCCCCTGAAGGGCCCTTAGACAGTTACACACATAACGGAATATACATCGTTCTGAACCCTCAATTCGACAATTCTTGCCTACCTACTAAAGCAAATTTAAGACTTGTTGGAATAACGATAATCACATGACCGTACGACAAGGCTGTCACAGGCAAAGGGGTGTATAGGTGGCATGACTAGCACCTGTAACACCTAAATGTCTGAGGAAGGGATCATGGTTTATTACCTGTCATGCACGACTCGTGTCTAGGTATGGACAGAGATATATCTGTTCGTACGGAAGGCAACATCTAGTTAGGAAAGGTAATCACGGAAAATAGAATCTTTGGTTCACCCTACATTTATGACAGTACGATCGTACAGAGAGCCCATTCAACAAGACTAGTACCTAAAAGGGACTATTATAAAGGTTATAAAGCCTCTATACGGAATCGCAGAAGCTAGAACCTATTAGTAGGCAACGTATTATAAGCATTATAGAGAGAATCTTTAGATAGTTACTTCTTCGTACGATCTATGCTTATTAATCTTATCTACCGAAAATCTATACTTTAGCTATATCGGCATATAAACCGACGATACCCTCGGTTTATTAGACAAGGCGTTCTTATAATTAGAAGACGAATAGTTAGAAAAAGCGGCTTTTATAGCAAAAGCAAAGAATATCCTTATAATTAACAAACCCTTCTAATTTAACGAAAGGATAATCGCGCTATTAACCGATAATTCGATCAATTTAAGGCAAAAGGGACAAGCTAAGAAGTTACAATGTATTAAGACTACTAAACCTAACCTAAAATAGCAATATATCGAACAACGCGCTAGAGGGGCGTACATCGCGTCAATTTGCTAACCCGAGGCTTGTTTCGATTTATCTACTACTACCTAATAC